CCAATCACTTATTCCTAACAACGTGAATAATAAGTTCATTATTCCTGTTGTTAAATAAATAATTTATAATGTTTTCTACTCCCACCTTTAAAACGCCCATTATCGTACATGTTTCCATGACATTAACAAGTTGTGGCTTTATGGCGCTTTAGGCACGGGCTGAAGTTAGCAACAGGCTTTTAGTAACGGACTGAAGTTAGTTTTAAGTTAGTTAACAGTTGTCAAATGTCATACAATCGTCTATTTTCAAGGGATAAATTTTGATTTACACAGAAAAAAATTGAGATTTTAACGCCGGTAGCATCTCAAGTTAGAATTTCTAACGAGAATTCCAATAAATACAGCTGTCATTTTTTGAACCTTTAACATTTCCCGTGTAAGAATTTTCAATACTTTGTGATAGTATTTTGCAATTTTGTCATAAAAAAAATCAGGATAAAATATTTTCTTAACATAATCATATTTTGAAGTTATTTTAATATTTTAAAGTATCGATAATTGTTAAGTTTAATTAAAATAATAACGGGCAATATTAATGGTGAAAATTACGTCAAAAATGTTTATTGGGATGGTTACTTTATTTTTGTATAGATGGCGCTTTATACAAATATTTAATTTAAATCATTTTTACATAATTAAGTATTTGTCGAAGAAAAAGTATAGTATACAATTTGTTTATAAACGCATTTAATTAAGCACTCGCTCGTGCCTAAATTAAATTCATGACTAAAATGACTAAAACTTGACACAAAATATACTATTTTGTGCTGCAATGGTTTAAAAGAAAAAAAAACAATAGCCCTTATAAGTTAATCATATAGAGAACATTTAAATAACTTAATATTCAATTAGGCAGGTCTAAAACGCCGTAGTAGATTGAATTAAATTGAACGGATGAACCGTCACTATGAAATTATTATTTTATAATGTACGACACGTTCATAAATGATCAGTGTTTAAAAATAAATAAAATTTAATCTACTTACTGCAAGACTTCTTTGTGCAAATCCAGCATTTTCCCAACCTAAGTAACAAAGTTTGTTAATAATGTAAAAAAGTTGAGTTTTCTACATACATGGTGTATTTCACGACATTGGCAGATTCTTATGATGTTCACTAGAACTAGTATGACAGGTAGACATTTCACTAGCAGCATAGTCTTCTCACGTTTTCACTAATAGTTTAAAAATCGCACGTAAGTACATGTAGTTATCGTACGCGTTAACTTAATCACCTATTCTAATTACTATAAATCATTGTGAGTGTGTGTGTGTAAATGAACCAAAGCGTGGCATGAGTGATGATCGTTTCGGATTAGTGAAAAAAAATTGAACCGAAATGCAAAATTTTGCACATTACTTTTTCACTTTCACTACTTCACGTTTGTGTGTTGTTGTGTATAATACGTTCCATCTCCTCCTGATGTGAAAGTCAATAGATTATAAGTACAATTCAGGCTAATGAAAAATAATTAATTCGATTTGAATTCATTTAAATTTAAATATACCTGTCGATTCGCAGGTATTTAAATTACTGTTTTGTTTGAAAATTTAGCATCCTTTGCTCGACAAAAAACAGGTAATTTTTACTGATTCTTATCACGTTTTATGGATCTAAAAATATTCCCCACATTTAGGTCATTCAGTTTAATTATTTTTACCTAACGGTATGCAAAATTACAGTATTTTATAAGCAGAATTAAATGTATTTTTTTGTGCTAGTTTGGGGTCACTGAACACAAATATGTCATTTTAATAATACAGGGTGTGCAAGTGTTAAATACAACAAAAAACGCTACGTTATTGTTTGTAAGCATTTTGTGTTATTAAATATTTATTTACAAGTTAATCACATTCAAAGGAGTGCATTGCACATATTTTAAAAACATTTACAAGATGCAGGTACTGTTTGCTTGATTAATATGAAAAAAGTAATATTTTTATTCAAAAGGTAAATGGGTCATTATACAAATAAGGCTCTCTGACATTTGTCAGTTGTATAATCTGTGGTTGTCCATAACAATTCTTATTAAAAAAAATAGACAGCTAATATACAGTGTGTTATGTAATTAATGTAATATATTAAAATGATTTATAATGACCTTTATCCTACCAAAAAGTAAATTTATTATGTTATGGTTGGTAACAACCAGCGTTTTCAGATTCTGTCACAAAAGTTGCCAGATTTTGTTTAAATTTAGCTTAATTACAAAAATGACAAAATCAACAATGCAAATTGTTAATTTGGCGTTTTTATTAATTGTTGATTATGTCATTATTCTAATGAAGGTATATTCAAACAAAATTTAGCAACTTTTATGACAGAATCTAGTGCATTTCTTTCAAATTTTAGGTTATGTGCTCAAATTGTAAACATCTTAATAAGGGAAATGCTTTTGGATTTATTTACACAAATTGAATGTTTAAAGTTTAACCTGTGGACTTGTCCTAATTTCATCTGAGTAAACAGAAAGAAAAAACCGATGAAAAGATTAATTTTGTGGTTATGGAGTTGGATGAGTAAATAAATGCAGAAGGGCATTAGAGCTTTAAGGGCATAAACTTTTGTATTTTTTGAGTTTTTATTTATTTATTGCAAGAAAAATTGTTAGTAAATTTTTTTTACACACAAGTGTGTAACTAGTGGCGTATCACAACAAATATATAAGGTTAACATTCAATAAATTTAAAAAAAATGATTTGTAGTTACAGTATAGTTTTTTACATCTTAAAAATAAATGATAAAAAATGTGTTTTTTGTAGTAGTAGTAGTAGTAGAAGGGATGCACTCAAACGAACTGGCAACAGTGCATTTATATTATTCATACAACATTATTTTTCTTTTGATAAACATTATGCCCTAACTCTACACAATAACAAAGTTATGATAATTTCAAGTTTGGATTTTTTTACACAAATTCTCATAAAGTCCATCTGACAACCCTGCTAACTTCCGATAGCTATAAAGTTATAAAGTGCTCTTTTAGTTCCACCCTTACATCCAAACTAAGATGTCCCATAAGCCAACTGAATGGCTTGTGCGGGTTAGGGGTAGGAACGGACCGACGGCTTAAAGTCCCCTCCGAAGGACTATATAAGCTGCTAGATGCCTTGTTTATTTTTTTTTCATAACAACTCTTACATGTGCACTTAAAAACTATGGTTTTAAGGTGTCGAAAAAAAACGGAAAAATTGGGGGGAAAACGGTTTTTTTTTTCAGGCCTTGGAAAAATTGGCTTTTTTGGGAAAAATTAAGTATTTTTAACATTATTTTAATTTACAAAAAATCCTTTATTACAGAAACAAAAACAAATAAAATTAAACATTTAATCGATATAAAATAATAAGCGTAAAATATACTGGGTCCTTTTTGCAAAAGGGAGTATCCAATTAAAAAATAATAATTGATTTATTAAGTTAAATTTCAAAATTATAATTTTATAAATTGATGTAATAAAACGATAGTTATGTTAATATAGCACCAAATATGTTTTTTTTTGACCCGGTAGAGTATTCTTTCTGAATTAAAATAAAAGAAATAATTATTATAATGATAACACAGTACGAAAAAATTTGATTTTTATCCCTCAAGTGAAAAATTTCTATAGATTTTGAAAATGGACTTAATAAATGATACCCTTGTCTCGGCGTTTTTTCAGATCACGTAATATTTTTTTAAGTGCGATCCAATAAATTGTATCCACGGTATTCGGCACAGCTTTGATAACAGCTAGACAGTATATTTTTATGAAAAATGTATTCACTGAATAAATGGACAACCATAAATTATTTATTTATTTTAAAATTATTCACGTTCGTGGTCCATTGAGAGTTTCTGAGAAACATCAAAAGATATTAATTTGAAATTTTTAAAGCGTTTATAATCCAATTAAGTCTATTTTTCTAAAATATTTTAAACAAAATACCTCTTCCAGTTTGACCGGAAGTGGCATCAACTTTGTTATTTTAAATGGAACACCCCATACATTTTTACATTTTTTAATTCCACATAAAATTTTAAGTAAAATTACTGTACCATGTCCTATACCTAAAGTAAATAGTTTTCGAGTTATTAATTTTTTCCGTTAAAATATGACAAATGCGCGTCAATCAAAAATAGCCTATAACTTTCTTGCTATTAGGTTTGCGGAAATGGGGTGGAATTTTTGGAATCTTAAAACATTGTTTAAAAGATTCCATGTCAATTAACGTTTCGAGTTAGCCCAATTTGCCCTGGGTTTTCTCGGGTAATTTGTTGAAAAATGTCAAAGAATTGACATGAAATTCTTTAAACAATGTTTTAAGATTCCAAACATTTTACCCCATATCCGTAAACCTAATAGAAAACATCTAGAAAACTTTAGGTATAGGACATGGTATAGTAATTTTACTCGAATTTTATGTACAATTTAAAAATTATTTTTACATTTGAAATAACAAAGTTGATGTCACTTCCGGTCAAACCGGAAGTTGCATTTTGTTACTGTGTAATCAGCGTCGGAAATTCACTTTCTTGCCGATTTCCAAAAAAATTATTTTAGATTTATTTTATAAAATAAAAAAATTTTCTGAAAATTTCCCTATGTTTTCGTTTTTTTTTTCGCTTACTTAATTTTTGAAAATCTATTGAAAACTACTTTTTTATACATTTTCTTAAATTTGTGTTTCAAAATATAAAATATTTTTGTGATAAAAAGACGTCTAATTTATAAATTATTTTAAGATTTAAAGCAGCAAATCTTAAAAAAAAAACATCTGACAACCATGTCCATAGTTTTTTAGATAAATGATCCTAAAAAAAATAAACTTTATTGGATTACTCCAAAAGGTTAACGACCTAAGTCTTTCTGCCTAAATGATTCTATTTTTTGTGTATAAGGAAACGTGCAATATTTGCAAATTATGACGAAAGATAATAATTATTGTTTCTTGCAAATTAAACCGTTCATTATAATAAAATTCGTTTACGAAACTTTCAATAGAAAAAATAAAAATGTTATGGCCATGTACCAAAAAGGCTACATTAAAGCAAAACCACTTTCGTACATAAAATAATTCGATTTATTAATATAACAGAACAAAGGTCGAATATATAAAATTAACGAGTTCATAGGCTTACTCATTATGTTAATAATATTAAAATTAATGTTCTAATTTGATATTAATTCGGTGATATGCGTTGCTTAGCACGCCCCTAAGATTCCAAATGTTTTCGAAGCCTTCCGGTTGAGTATTGTAGTTTGAGTCCACTGCTTTCGCCCAAATTTCCATCTATAAGCACAACAGAATATGGGTAATATACGGGGTGGCCGAAAAATACGTGCGCAACGAAATACTACTAACATTTTATAAAAATGAAATAAAAATGCATTTTATTTTAATACACTCACGTTTTTTGTGTTTTTGTCGACGGGAATTTTTGCCGACCACAAGGTCCAAGTCCAGTGGCGTGGCGGTTCGGCCGGGTCTTGGTGGTCCAAATTCGCCACGTGCCAAGTTTTACCGCCGTCACTGGTCAGATCCACCCTTACGATTTTTTGACCGCCTCCTGACCACGCATAACCTACGTTTTAAAAGAATAAGATTTATAAAATAATTAAAGAAGATAAGTAAACTTTTGGAAACAAGTAAATAAACGCAAAAAAGCAATTGTTATTATAATATTTGTAAACATATAGAAAATCAAGAAAAATTGTATAAAACATTTAAAACCCCTCCAAAATAATATAAAACATCCCAGAATGCCAAAACATGAAAATAAAAAATCGCAAAAATTTACAAAACCCAAAAATTAAATTGAACTTTATTTTTATTATTTATTGTTTTAATACCACTTATTTATATAAGAGACACAAAACTATTTTCTAATAATGTTTCAAAAATAAATAAAAATTGGGTTTTGTGTCGCTAAATTTTTTAAACATAAATGTGTAAAAGGTAAAAAATTTAATAAAAAAGTAATTTAAAAAATGCAATTTTTTCAAAATATGTAATTTAAAAAAATGGTATATATATATACATATATATATATATATATATATATATATATATATATATATATATATATATATATATATGTATATATATACTTAAAATTTAAACTTAAATAACTTTTCAATCAAATCAGAAAAACTGTTGAAAAGGTGTAAAGTGAATGGTAAAATAACAATTATAATCCATATTTTGAAAAATAATATAGGGTGTTTTATGTATTTTATGGGTGACGTTCACAATATCGAAATTTATTATATCGAATTCAAAATATCGAACACTTTTTATCGAAAATCAAAATATCGAAAATACAAAATGTCGAAAATCAAAATATCGAAAATTAAAATGTCGAAAATGATAATATCGAAAATTAAAATGTCGATTTGAAAATGTCGAATAATTAAAATTTCGAAAATTAAAATGTCGAAAATGATAATATCGAAAATTAAAATGTCGATTTGAAAATGTCGAATAATTAAAATTTCGAAAATTAAAATATCGATTTAAAAATATCGAAAATTAAAATGTATGATTAAAATCGAAGTGTATATGTACAGAGGCGCCTCTGTAGATAAAGTTACGGTTATGCACCGAATTATCTTGGCTCCCTGGCTCCTAGAGATGCGCGTTTTATAGAAATGTACTCAAACTCAACAACACAACCCAACCGACCCCGCCCCATTGCCCCCCCCCCCGCCCCATTGAGCAAAAAACCCAACTAAAATGGGCAAATTCATGTTACGATAAAAATAAAACACTTTTTAATTACATAAATTAGCCCATTTTAGTTGGGTTTTCTGCTCAATGGGGCGGGGGGGGGGGCAATGGGGCGGGGTCGGTTGGGTTGTGTTGTTGAGTTTGAGTACATTTCTATATCAGAGGCGCCTCTGTACATATACACTTCGGATTAAAATAATATGTCGATTAATTGAAATATTTAAACAAAATATCAAATTCAAAATAAGAAAATATAAGAAATAAAATTTCGACATTTTGTATTTTCGACATTTTAATTTTCGACATTTTGTATTTTCGATATTTTGATTTTCGATAAAAAGTGTTCGATATTTTGAATTCGATAAAGTGAATTTCGATATTATGAACGTCGATATTTTATTTTCGATAAATTGAAAATTCGATTAAATAAAATTTCGATATTATCATTTTCGACATTTTAATTTTCGATATTTTGATTTTCGACATTTTGTATTTTCGATATTTTGATTTTCGATAAAAAGTGTTCGATATTTTGAATTCGATAAAGTGAATTTCGATATTATGAACGTCACCCGTATTTTATGTGTATAAGGGTTTCAAATAAAAAAAAATATTTTTGTTATTTTACAGTTTTAAGAATATTAAATATTAAATTTTAATTGGGTACCTATATAAAAAGATAACAATAATTAAAAAAAAACATTTTTAAAATAAAAATTTTAAAATTGTTGCAACCGTTTTCAGATGTTTCATAAATTTTCAAAAACTTGTCGGAAATTTTTTTAATTTTTTTGCACCTTTTAAAACATACGAAAAAACTAAAAATGTTAAAATGCGAATCATCATCTAAATTTATTTGATATTATCAATAAAAGTAATTTTTTTTAATTCGAAATAAAAAATCGCAAAAAACAAATTTCAAAAACCTCATCAAATCAAAAAATATATACATTGTGTCCTGAAAATGGCACACCGATGGTACCATGCTGTGGAGGGGTTATTTTAGTTATAAAAAAATTACAGTGAGAATTTTTTGAGTTATAAGGGTTTTAAAATTAAACGGACTTTTTTAATAAATCAAAATATTTTTTAAAAATACCCAAAATTATAAAAAACTGTTTGCAATTAATATGGAAAAAATGTTAATAAGAAAAATAAAAATAGAAACAAATAAATATTTATACTTACTAACCTTTAACAAGAATATGTCCATCTTCAACCTTAACAGTATCGCCATCTAGCGGTTTTCCTATAGCAGATATCACCGGCAATTCCTGAATGGCAGGCGATTTCTTAAAATCTACGGTATCCCAATCGGTAGAGGGAGAAAATCCCTTATAATCGTTTTGTTGCCAATGAGAATCGCTTTCCTTCTTCGAAATAACCACCTTGGCTAAAAAATTATATAGTATAGTGTGTTCACTACTTGAAAAAGCCCGGATAAATGTTTATTGCTTGTAACTTTTTAACCTATACAGTTGGCAATGTGAAAATTGTAGGGAGTTTTAAGAATGACAAGGTTAACAATCTATCAAAATTCCAACATTGCAGCGCAACAGTTATTTGAGTTACAAGCAGTAGAAAATTTACTCGTGTTTTTTCAGTTTCCGAACATACTATACATTCGATTTTTTTTTAACTTTTGTACACTTACTCAGCCATTTGACGTTTCTGGCGCCTACTATGCCAGGAACTATAACTCTGATGGGAAAACCATGGTCTCTTGGTATGGGTACTCCATTCATTTCGTAGGCTAATATGACGTCACCTCTTTTATCCACTGCCTTCCATATCGGTATGGATGCGCCGTACATTTTGCCTGTCACGTCTACGTCATCACCTTCAAACTGAAGTCATAAAATGATTTTTTTAAATTATTCCAATTTGGAAAAAATGTTGTGCAAAATAAATAAATTTGTGGGTTATGGTAAATTAACCTTAAAATTAAAATTTGACATTTGATAGAATAAGGTTTTTTTTTACAACATCATGAGCTGGCCAAATAGCTTTTAAATTAGCTAAAGGCCAAAAATTTTGAAGAAGAAGAAGAAGAAGGTTTTTTTTTATACAAAATGGTTCTTTTTTTATTGTATTTTTCTAAAAAAGGCAAAAAATTGAGGTTTTAATTTTGACATTGCCACATTTATTTTACTCCATATTTTTTTCGGTTGAAGTTAATAATATGAACAACTTTCACCAAAAGCCCTGAGTTGGCTAAATTCGTCATTTCGAAATTATTATTTTTTTTAATGAAAATGCCATTTTCTAGTAAATTCGTTTTCGCAACGCGCGCGGCATCTGGTGGACTTCAAAAGCATTGCCTGAATTTAAGAATTGTCAACAATACATTTAAAGCATACGAACTGTATGTACATCATTTTTAAATAAGTAGGTAGTTTTTTCACAAAAGAGAGGAAGGTAGAAGTCTTATTTGACAAATTTTGTTCAATTGCACGGCTAAATTGCGCACGTTATTTGTGTTCTACGTTGCAAAAACAAAAAAACTGATTTAGTAGATACTCGATTTCGATTGATTATTCCTTATATCATTGATTAAGAAACTCAACGCTTAAATGCTTATATAGTTACGTTAGTGTGTGTATTTTATCTAAGGGATCAAGGTGAATTATTGTGTTTTTAATTGTAGAACTAAATCGTTGCATTTTTATGTTTTCCAATTCGGTAAGTACATTTGTTGGTGCAGAATTAACTAATGATAACTTTACCTAATATAATTTATATTTAAGTTTGGACATTTTTAAGAAATTAGTAAAAAATAATTTTTGCACAAACATAACCTTAAAATCAACCATTTTTATATTTGAGTTCTCTAAAAAACAACAACATATTTAATTCATGGCAACATAATGTAATGGTATTTTAACATTCTGTGGAGACTTTAAAGAATTCTTAATCAACGCTTTTAATAATGCCAAATGCTGTTTAAATTTAGACGACTTATTTGTTTGACGATTTTTACTGAATTGAAATGTTTACACTTTTCACGTTAATCAATACTAAAATGTGTATTTATTGTATCTAATAGATACAATTTATATTTACAGGGACTGTATGAAATTTATTTCTCTACGACTACTTAAGAATAGTAAGATTCTAGTGTAATTTTTGATCATAGAAAGGATGTTTTTCTGCAATACTGTGCGAGAATATTCCTACTCTTGTTTAAGAATGGTCACAAGTAACGACATCTCCTGGCTGTTTACTAAACGTAAAAAATTTAAAAATATTTAAATATTACTGTATTATTTATTAATTAAAAAATAATAGCAGTTGTATAATTAAGGTTTAGGCACAAAAAATTAGTTATATTTATTGTTTTTCAAATATACAAATCAAAATTATAATAAATTTGATATTAAAATGATAAACCAGTTACCTACTATACCGGCTTTGAAGTTTTGACAGATTCAAAAATTTAAAAAAAAGACCTTTAAAATGTAGACAAAGAATATATGTTGACATAGATTACTTGTAAAATAAGTTTTGTATTTGTTACAATGTTATTTTTTTTATTAGTTAGTGTAAATAACTATTTTTAATTATAATAAAGATTTAGGCATACCATTTGTTACAATTTATTATAATTTACATTATAAAATTGTGACGGCACAAAATGGTTTGACAATACAAAAAACTTAAATGTCAAAAACTGCTTGGTTTCTTTTCTCTGTTTAAAATTATATAAGCATAACTATTCTTACGTAGTCGTAGAGAAAATAATGTCTGAAACACGTTTGGAATAGCATATTCCACTCTCGTAAAACCGTCACACTCGCCTTCGGCTCGTGTGTCAAATTTTTCCTCGAGCGGAGTATGCTGTATTCCAAACTTGTTACAGAATGTACTATTCTTCATTCGGATTAACACTGTTAATTGGAAAACCGGTAAAAACTCAACCCAGGATTTCCTCTCGAAATACACCCAACAACACAACAAATCGTGCCACGGTTTTTTTTTTCGATATTTTTTAACATTTTCTGGCTTTATTCTCAAAAACATTTGTTTGTAACATAAGCGTTTGACAGCTGATTATTAAAAGTTGTAGTTTTGTTACGATGATAACGGCCGAATGGTGGCGCTACTAGCGATGCTTCTTTAGCGTATGATGTTTTCAAAAATTTCCTACGGGTGAACAAAACGCAAAAAGAAAAAATACGCGTCTCATCGATTTCGGTAAAGAAACTGTAAAATGATGAAAAGATAGAAAGGCCAATGATTTTTAGTATTAAGTCTCACCTGAACATGTTTGAAATTTTCTTCATCTTCTTCACTTAGTCCAGCAAGTTTTAGTACTTCTCTTAAGGGAACTCCCTTAAATTTTGCTGTACCAATGGCAGCAGCCCCCCAGTTAAGTCCTTTAACAGGTTTAATCTTAAAAAAAATTTAAACATGTACCATATTGCTAAAAACCTTGAAATATTGATAGTAAACAAAAATTAAGTTTTGCGAATTTTAGTTGATTGAAGATTAAATGATTAAAATAAAAATAAAAAAATTTGCATTTTTTTACAGGGTGTTATGTAAATAATGTTAGTAAATGGGTAGTTCCTTAGGGCCCATGAAGAAGCACCTGAATTTTTTTTTCTAAATTCTAAAGACAAAATAATTTATAATAACCTTTATCCTACCAAAAAGTACGCCACTGGTCGACTAGGAACCTTGGGCTAATCTGGTTGCCTAATTTAATTTATTATTTTATGGTTGGTAACAAGCAGAGTTTCCAGATTCTGTCAAAAAAGTTGCCAAATTTTGTTTAAATTTAGCTTAATTACAAAAATGACAAAATCAACAATGCAAATTGTTAATTTAGCTTTTTTATTAATTGTTTATCATGTCATTTTTGTAACGAAGGTAAATTAAAAAAAAAATCTGGCAACTTTTATGACAGAATCTATTACATTTCTTTCAAATTTTAGGTTACGTGCTCAAATTGTAAATATCTTAACTAAGGGAAGTGCTTTTGGATTTATTTACACAAATTGAATGTTTAAAGTTTATCCTGTGAACTTGTCCTAATTTCATCAAAATGAAGTTTTGCCCCCAAAAGGGCTTTACATTCGAATTCGTTGCTATTATTTTTGGCATAATTATCTTTTTATTTATAATTGACAAATAAATTATCAATAATAAATATTATTGTCAATTTGACAGTGTCAAAGTATTTAATTAAATTCTTTAGAAGTACCATTTTTAAAAACTAAAAATACTAAGTCAAACTGGCATAAGCCACCAACCTAACAAAAAAAACATGAGTCCAGATAAAAAAAAATGAACTGTACTAAATTTTCTAATCATTGCTTAAGCTAATAGCTGGATGAGTAAATAACACAAGTGAGTAACCAGTGGTGTATCACAAAAAATATAAAAAACTTCTAATGCATATGTTTCTTTTATCTTTTGAAAAATATTTTTTTAATACCTTAGTCATTTCACTTCTCCTATTCCCTGCACACATAATTGTCGTGGTAATAGTTCTACACGGCATTTTTTTCAAATCCTCCAAAGTAAAAACCTTTGACTTTTTTCTTCCCTCAATCTCAATTTCCAACTCGTATGTTTCAGGATTAATATTTGGAACTGGTAAATGATTGCGAACATAAAACAACTCACTAAAAAAGTGGCAACAGTATTTCTAGATAATTTAAAAGACAAAAATAAATACTTTGGTGTTATAAAATTCTCAACCAATAAAGAGGGCAAAGTTTCAGCATTGAAAGGTTTTTTACTGGCTGGTATTAAAGCGTTATGACGCTTTGGATCTCTACCATAAGGATCCGACATATCCTGAGTCAAACTAACTGCATCAACATTGGATAAATTCCCTAAAATGAAAAAAATACAAAAAACCCTTTTTTAAGATTCTTAAGTGACTTTGATAATTTGTCAATTTTTCTTTTAAATGTTCTTGAAAATAAATAAAGTTATTTATCTCCACGCGGTCTATAATTTATACTTTTATTGTTATCAACATTCGATAAAGAAATACCTTGTTATGGCCTAGGCCGATAAAAATTTTTATGAGGCAAGTAATTAGTTCGATTTTTTCTCGCTAGGGGAATTGTTTTGACAAATTAATCCTTTTCTAAGAAATTAACGTACTAAACTGGTTTAATTTACTTATAATAAGCACTAATTTGTTTGTTTTACTGTTAATGTTTAATATTTTTCATTAAATTATTGTAAAATTATTGAATGATAAAACAAAAAGTGAGGTTAGGCAACCAAGAAAATGCACGATTCTTTTTCTTCGATTTAAATTATCTTTAAGTTTTAATCTGCTTTAAGTTTTCAGTGAAATTAAATGTTAAACACAGCTTAAACATTCCAAACTACCTATTTTTTAAATAAAAATCCAAACAAATTGAAATTAGATACCTACCTTTTTATTAAACAATTAATTGAATTCAATGTAATAGCAAAAATCCATTTCTACTTAAATCATGTTGCTAGGTATTGTCAAACTATTACTGCTTCTAAAAGCATTAATAATTATTGTACGTTTAATGTAATCTTTAGCTAATAAATAAATGAGATTCTAAAAAAGTAAGGTTAGGCCGCTTTGATGTTGAATTAAATTGACCTATATGAAGTGCTTTGAAGAGAAAATGTTGGATGCCATTCAGCCAAGAAGTGCCTTTTTGTGCTTCGCTCAATTTAGCTTAGCACAAAAAGCCTTACTTCTTAACCTAATGACATAAATAACTATTATGTACAATTTTTTTACAGAACCCAAATTAAAATAATCAAAAAAATTACCAATCCTAAAGGACTCCAGTAACTCATACACATGAGGATTTTTATGTACCGCATACAACATCCAAAACGGCTCCACCGAACTGCCAGCAGCTATTAAAATTTGTTCACCACCAGGGTGCTCATTCACAAAATTTGTCACATCGTAAACGCCTTCCTTATAAGTCACCCAAATCCCTGTCGACCTTTAATATAATAATTTTTATGATTAAATTAAAGGGTAAGTAAATTTTTTACTGTTCTGTATGTTGAGAGACTTCTTCAACAGTATAGGTGGGTAGATTTTGTTTATGTTTACCAACATCGTAATCCACTTCGATTTGAGCATCTGCATAAACTTTTTTTCTTGTTATATCTACAATAAAGTTATAAGAAACCATAAAATACGTATTATTATACTAATACCATATATTTGGTAGCCTATAAAAGCTACAGTTGTTCCTAAAACTAAATATTGACCATTATTGTTTTTATTATAGTTTTTATCCCTATTATCATTTTCATAGCCGTTACTTTGACTTAAAGTACGAAATAATTGATTTATCAACCTATTGCTAGATAGTGTTGGTCTTAAACTAAAAAAGAATATTATTATTCTATAAATAAACACATTATTCTAACCTTTTGATCATATTTTATTTCTTATTTTATAAAATCACTTTTATAACATTTGTACCAAAAACATATACCTAAATACATTAAAATTTCAAATAAACTCTTATCATTATTTTTTATCTTATCGCGATATTTAGGCAACTTACAAGTCACAAGGTTATATTTGTAGATTTGTTATTGCAATTTTTCTCCTTTAAACCATATAACCTCGATTCTATTTATGGAAAATTTTCTTTTATTGCCCATAAATTTGTTCGTATTGAGTATTTTTGTTTGTTTTAAAATAATTTGACGTTTTTTACTGTCAAAAATCTAACCTTAAACTTTTTAAAATTGACTTGGGGATTTTCGTTATGCAGCGTTGGTCAGACTGTGGTCGCGACATCTGGCGGCGTTCGTTGCGTTCTGTCATTGTCTTTTGAAGTTTAGTGAATGATGGGTGTAAAATGTCAACATTTGTTTATCTCGAAGGAATTTCGTTTGTAAATGTGCGTGAGATGCGTGAAAAAGTGAGTTATTTAGAATGGGCGGGTGTATAGGAATAACCCGTAGCAGAAGCGGTCAAATAGACGATTCTTCGGGGTCAGTTTCGAGGCCTAATTCAGGTAATTTTAACCTTGGACAGTCTCAAGTCCAAATAATCGTTTAAGTTGTTCCCTGGTTGATACTTATTTATCTGTGTGTTCTACACGAAGAAATATGTGTACATCCCACAATTATTTAGTATTTGGAGTTGCCCATTTAAAAATTCAACTAATAACACCGTTTTTGGAACATCACTTAATGTAAGCCTTTGACCAGGGTTGGGTCAGTAGAAAACCTTAGGTAATTTACCTTGGTAGAAAAGGGTAGAAAACTTGTTTTCGACTCGCGTCGAAAACCTATAGGGTTTTCTACCTACGTAAATTACCTTATTCGACCTTCTCCTTCCACTTCTCTATAATTGATAAAAATTTGCCCTCATGCCAAAAATTATGTTGGGGTCTCCCAACCAAACGTGGCCCTTTTTTTCCCACCGTAATAATGTTAAAAAACTCCAAATAACTTCAAATGTATGGTAGGTGTCTGATTTTTCACAACATTTAACAAATCATAATAAACAACAAACTTGCATAACCTCACATTTTTTGATATTTGACAGTATTCTACTTTTTTACGTTTTCTACCGTCGAAAACGTCGAAAAAGGTTTTCTACATGTCGAAAACAAAAATGTAGGTAGATACCCAACCCTGCCTTTGACAGTAATATAACCTTACATTGTAAGGTTATATTACTGTCAAAGATATCAACGTTACTTCAAATAAACGGTTTATTTAAAGACAAGGATTCTTTGTTTGGAGAATCCTTGACTAAATTATATCTACCTATAATCTAAAAAATTACATGTTTGTAAATATATATAATTTTTTACGTTAAATTATTACTCCTTGTAAAATTGTAGTTTTGGTAAATTAAATGGCCAAAGGCTTATTGGAAAGGATTTTTTATTTGTCATTTTTTATGGCACGTAAAAACTATAAAAATAAAGTAGAAACTAAACAGGATAATTTATAAATTTAAACCAAAAATCCTGAAAGATTATTTAAAACATCTGTATAATTAGATTTAATTTAAATACCTATTACTAAACCATATTTTTAAAACATTTTTATGAGAGTAATAAAAAACCATATTTTAAAATTTAATGTAAAACCGCCAAAGATATTTACAAATATAAAGATTAAAACTATTTTAGAATTGTAAAACCAAAACCAAGAATTAATAATAACTTTGTCAAGGTTTACTGACTAAACAAATTGTTTAAACCGTCAACAGTATTCATGGTATTCTTTTATCTATGTCTATGACAGTATTTCGAATTTTTAAAATACCAACGGAAATTTTTTTGAACGTCAATCTTACTTAAAAATTTTAAACGTAATTATAACGTGTTAAAAATTTACCTACCTAGAAAAAAATTTATTTTGTCGTTTTAAGAAAAACATTCATTTAGAATGTCAAAACCTTAATAATTTTATAATATATAACATAATAAAATGTGTCAAAAACCGAATAATAATAGTTATTTATGTCATTAGGTTAAGAAGTAAGGCTTTTTGTGCTAAGCTCAAAGTTTGAAGGCCGACGCGTAGCGGAGGCCTACAATTGAGCGAAGCACAAAAAGACACTTCTTGGCCGAATGGCATACAACATTTTATCTTCAAAGCACTTTATATAGGTCAATTTAATTCAACATGAAAGTGGCATAACCTCACTTTTTTTAATCTCATTTATTTATTAGCTAAAGATTACATTAAATGTACAATAATTATTATTCCTTTTAGAAGCAGTAATAGTTTGACAATGCCTAGCTACATGATTTAAGTAGAAATGGATTTTTGTAAGAAAATGGTTTACTTACCCTCTTGCTATTACATTGAATTCAATTAATTGTTTAATAAATAGGTATCTAATTTCAATTTGTTTGCATTTTTATTAAAAAATAGGTAGTTTGGAATGTTTACGCTGTGTTTAACATTTAATTTTACTGAAAACTTAAAGCAAATTAAAATTTAAAGATAATTTAAATCGTAGAAAAAGAAAACACAACTGTGAAACGTCAAATTGCAATGTCCTAACCTCACTTTTTATTTTATTATTCATATTTAATTTTACAATAATTTAATGAAAAATATTAAACATTATAATGTTATAACAGTAAAACAAACAAATTAGTGCTTATTATAAATAAATTAAACCAGTTTAGTACGTTAATTTCTTAGAAAAGGATTAATTTGTCAAAACAATACCCCTAGCGAGAAAAAATCGAACTAATTACTTGCCTCATAAAAATTTTTATCGGCCTAGGCCATAACAAGGTATTTCTTTATCGAATGTTGACAACAATAAAGTTTAAATTATAGACCGCGTGGAGATAAAACAAATTTTATGTTTCTTGAAAAACAGTGCATGCACTTCAGGGCGGGAGTAATTTATCATACTCCACCAAGACCTAAAAGATTTCTCTAAGGGCCTTCCCATCTCAAATCAACCAGGCAAAAGGGGTAGGTCGTTATTTTTTCACAATTTTTTTACAGTTTCTCTACCGAAATCGATGAGACCCATATTTTTTCTTTTTACTTAAATTTGTTTTGTTCACCTGTAGGAAATTTTTGAAAGATGGATAGAAACATCAATTTTTCTCTTTTTACGAGTGACATTTTTTATTGAAAATGCGATAACTTGGCCAAACATGTTTCGATCGTTACAATGTTTTTTTTTATAAATTGTAGGTAATTGTTTACCAAAAAAGAATATAAAAAATTAGGTGAATTCACTCAATTGTTTTTTCCATAAAAGGCAAACAAAAATTGAGGTCAAAATTTTGACATTTTTTTTTACTTCATATTTTTTCCGTTTGAAGTTGATAATATAAACAACTTTCACCAAAAGTCCGGAGTTGGCTAAATTCGTCGTTTCGGAAGTATTATTTTTTTAATGAAAATGTCATTTTCTAGTAAATTTGTAGTGCATTGCAAAAATTTTGTATTTATCTAGGGATATAAAACTGCAGTCACCCCATGGGGTGACCTTTGTAAAGTGTAGTTTGGAACTTTTTGACAGATTTTGTCTAAAACATTTCTTTTTATTTGTAATAGACGGCGATGTAATTAGAGATGCGACTTGAAAAAAAAACGGTCCGTTTTTTTGTTTTTTTTAAGTTTTTTTTCATTGCTTTTTTTCAAATGTTTTTTTTCTCACATTTTAGGTTTTTTTTCAAGACTAGTCCCATTTGCCTAATTTTTTAGGTTTCATGGACTAAAATTAGCCACTAAATGACAATTAGTAAATGTAAATACAGTCTCGCGCTATGCACGCGCCACACTCACCGAATTGACCAATAAGGGCCGCGCTTGTTTTCATTTTGGTCCTAAAAAAAGTAACTACATATAATATTTTTGATTCAGCGCTTGATTTTTCAAAAACCTTCCAAAAGCACTTTTTTCATGATTTTTCAAATTCATGTAGAGTATGGAATTTTTTTTCTTCAAAAAAACAATACCAAATTCTTGTAGAACATTTATTCATTGGTGGTTAAGTCAGAACATTCCGTGGACCAGAAAGCCAACAAAAAAATAGATTATATTTGTTAGGATTGAGCGTTACACATTTTTCATCTAAAAATCTAAAAACTAGAAACTTCAAGCTTCAAATTGCTTTTTTTACGGCTCCAATACGAACATTTTCAACAAAGATACATCTATCGGAAGAATCGCAAAACAATTTTTTTTATCCTTTAATTTTTTGTATTCGTGTAGAAGTTTTACATTGCTACTGGTTTCCAATGTGGAAACTACCAAATAATAAGAAATCAGATTTTTTAGTCTCGGTCAAAATTTTCAATAATGAAAAATTTAATATATTCTACATTTCACTTTATTATTAATATATATTTTACTCAAAATTTCATTTTGAAAAAAAAAAACAAAAAACCGTTTTTTTAAGGTTTTTTTATGTTTTTTTTTCACATCTAAAAAAACCGTTTTTTTACATCTCTAGATGTAATGAAAAAAATCAATTTTTTTCGATTTTTCTTCTTTATACGATTCTCCAATAACTTTTGAATATAGGTTTTTAATACTTGGTTTTATTTTTTAAATTTATTTATTTATTTTTAAAATTTTAATTGAAGTAGGTGCTCAAAATAACAATATTAAATATTTACTCGACGAACTCTTTTTTTCGGTTGAACACTCCCGTTTGTAGTAAACTGCTTGACTGTACGGTGAAATGAAGTACGTGATCGAATTTTTATAGGTATAGTTTATTTATACCTCAATAATAATTATTATTTATAACTAAATACCATTTTTTATACCTCAATTAGATTTAATTAATTAATTGACAAAATAATGTTTTTTTACCTTAAATGAGGTATTTTTATTAAAAATAGTACAATAATCCTTTAAATTAAAGGATTTTATGTTGGCAGGTAAAAAGTGACCATGGTGGGCAATTGATAATTATCACCAAATGAAATAATGTATAAAACTTAAACCAAAGGAAACTTAAATTTTAGTAAAAAAAATCATGGGTACCGTAAACACGGGTGGCTTTGGCTCACTTTCAAACTTAAGCTTAAAATTTTGGTGGTTTTAACAATAATAAACATTAAATCTTGTATACCAAAATTTGAGTCTTGAGTTGCTCTTTCATAATAACTATGTTATAATATAACATAGGGCTGAGTTTCAAAAATAAAAATTAAAAACTGGGTGTGCAAAGTTACTTTGTCTCACAGTGTATTTTTCGTATAAAAATGAATTCAATATATTTTTTTTTTATTAGACACGTTTTAGCAGCGACATATATCTATTGCAAGGGATTACCAATAAAAAAAAATCGACCTGTAGTTAACCAATGATCATCATTCCAATGGATTGCGCATAATATAGAAATTGTAACGCGTGTATTTCTAAGAGTTTTGCACTGATGCGATATATACAATTTTAAAGTGTAATAACCCCCATTTCTTTCTGTAATATAAACTCAATAGAATCGCTCAATTGACAGGTTTAGACCAACAAATTATAAATGTTAATTTTATCGAGCGCGAAAAGATTTTTCATAAATGGGTTAAATCGCCCGCGGGGTACAAATAAAAAAAATTTGAGATCGATCTATTTTTAAATAAATACCGAAATGTCACCAATCCAAATGAAACACACTGTATATATATTTATATATATTATATATTGAAGTTGATAATACAATTTTCTTACTACCTCGACTGAAAATACGTTGTTTCGTCCCCGATTCCACGGCAGAAAGTTTACGTTTCTTGCATTGGTCAAGCTATACGCGCACACTCTATAATAGCGGGAGTAAAATTTTTTTAGTCGTGTGCTGAACATATGCAACTCTGATTACGACACTAATATAACCTCAAAATTTGGGCAGGCGTCAATATGTTTCGATATACACATTTAATTTTTTCCCGTATTTTCGGCCGGGTTGTATTTTCGGCCGAGGTAGTAAGAAAAATAGTATACACTACACCAGTGTTGCCAGGTCTACCGTTTTAGATTATGACCTACCGTTCTACCGCAAAGCACTCAGTTTCTACCGCTAAACTAAATTTAATCCATTTTTAAAGTAATTATGTAAAAATATTAAATACTAATATTTAAATTAATTTTTAATTTAAGTTATAACAATATATGGCGGCAGCCACACTTCTCTGGTCAAAGTTTAACCGTCAAAACTAATTGGCCTCGGCTCTCGCAATAGAGATGTCGCACAAAACAAAGAAGTGCTCCCAAAGGTCCGTTTAATTTGGCGAAAGCGTTTCGACAGATCCTGCGAATTCGCAAGATTTGAATCTAGGGGACGGGAATCTTGAGATTGATAAAATATTTTGTAAAAATCGCACTAATGCGTTTCGCATGCACATTAATGCAATTACTTATTATACCTACGCCATTTATGTTTATTTCGTTTGTATCGTAGGGTTTTTTGGTTTTTTATAATGGACAAAGAATTTTTTAAGGTACATTAATGTTTCTTATTTTACCTTTATAGCCACTTTAAGTAACATTACTATTTTAGAACCTAAAAGAGCATGGAAAATATAGAAATATGAAATAGGAATTGCGAATATTCGTATTTCGCAATTCGCATTTCGCATCTAAACTGCGCACCAGTCAATGTGTCGCGACCAAAAATTTCGTCCTTTTTCAAAACGACATAACTTTTTTGTTTCTTGAACGATTTTATTTTGGTTTGTAATGTCTGCTAGCCCCATTCACTGGCAATTCATGGTATAGATATGAAGCTCACGGTTCTTCAAGTAAATTTACTACAGGGAAATTTTTGGTCGCGACACATTGACTGGTGCGCAGTTTATATGAAACCGACTTAATGCTTTCAAAAGAATACATAGATAGTGAATGCTTTAATTTAAAAAGTGACAAACAGTTGTCGTCATATTACAACAATATTTACAAAAAAACAATACTTTTTTTTTTTTATTAAAAACCGTTTATTAATACCCAAAAACAATTTTGTTAAATATCTACCGTTTTTCTAACGCTTTTTTCTTTTACGTCTACTGCTTTTTTAATTCTTAACCTGGCAACACTGCACTACATGGGCAGAAAGTGTGAGAGCCCTGAACTGCGTGCAGTGCGGGAATCTCACACTTTCTGCCCTTGTAGTGTAATATACTATTGTTCCCATCGTAAAACAACTGAATTAATTGGTGATTTTTTAAAAAATCATAGAATTAATTGGCGAATTAAATCACTCACTTAATTCACCTGAATTAATTCGTGCCAACCGTGATCTTTCTTATTGCAGGCAGCAACCGCAAGAACCACCCGCTGTGCCACGAGGCGATACGCTGGAAGTCGGACGTACCGCTGACGGAGGGCCAGCTGCGCAGCAAGCGCGACGAGTTCTGGGACACGGCGCCGGCCTTCGAGGGCCGCAAGGAGATCTGGGACGCGCTGCGCGCCGCCTCCGTGGCCGCCGAGGCGGCCGACTACGAGCTGGCGCAGGCGATCCTCGACGGCGCCGGCGCGTCCGTCCCGAACGGCTACCTGACCGAGTGCTACGACGAGCTGGGCGCGCGCTACCAGGTGCCCATCTACTGCCTCTCGTACCCCATCAACATCGTCAAGGACGACGGCGGCAGGGATTCCCCCGCCGAGTGCTCCGAGCCGGTCGACGGCGGCACCGAGACGCTCTTGAAGCTGCGCCTGTCGCACTCCTGCTCGGACGTTAAGTTGTCGGTGTATTCCACGGACACGATTAGTATGTGCAAAAAGAAACTGCAGGTGAGTTGTTAATTACCTACCTACTAGGGGTACATTTACGCTTTTTGGCGTTAAAAGATGAAACTATCATGTGTTGAAAGTAGTGATGTAAATAGAAAAAAAAAAACGTTTAGTTTGTTTTTTTCAAAAATACTGTTTTTTTTTCAGAAACATTGTTTTTTCTTAACAGATATTACAAGAGAAAAGAGTAAACCTAAAGTAAAATAATCGTTATTTATAATAGAGGTTTTTATATAAATCCACCAAATAAAAACTTGCTTCTAAAATAAACATACATGAGTGTCTATGAAAATTAAAACATGATTTTTATTTATAAGAAAAAAAAATAGGCAGCATCTAAATCTTACATGACATATCAATGTAGGTACCTAGCCTACATTACCTACTATTCAAAATTACTAAATCAGAATTCTTCTGGTCCTTTCGATTTGTCAGTGTCGTATACAGACAAGTTTTCAGAAGTACTATGCTCCACACCTCAAAGTCCCACCACGTGACCACGTACGGAACGCAGTATTTTGAAAATTTGGCATTTAAGGCTTTTCAGGTTATGTATCTGTCAAAGTATAGTCAACGAAAGAAATAATATTATGTTTAGGCGTTAAAAATGTATAAATCTTTATAACATTACTATAACAATGGATGGTTTAAGAATTTAAGAATATAAATACTGCATTTAATAAAATTCTAAAGTGTATGGTGCCAAATAAGTAATATTTTTGTGCATTTGGTCCAAATATTTGGTTTTCTCCATAATATAATTTTAACTAAACAGCATTAAAAAAATCTAGCTTTTCTATTATGAAATAAGAATATCTGTTTTAAAGGTAGGTTAATATATTATAACAAAAATATCATCTAATTTTCTAATTTTAAGGTTAGAAAAATTTATTTTGACCAAAATAAATAAGTATTTTGGATTATTTAAAAGACTGTATAATATGGTATTTAAAAATGTGTTAGTTTTATTTATTCAGCTTAAAGTGTACCTACATAAAGTTTTGTCAATAAAAATAGTTCAAAAGCTTCGACTGAACTTAATCTATCTACATCGAAAAATCATTATAACTTTAAAAATTTTAATAAATCATATGTCATGGGAGTATTCAATATTTTCACCTTGCAAGTTTCTCTAAAAATTGTTTGTTTTCTTATAATCTAACTTAACGTAGGTATGCCGAGAGGTATGCACAAGTTTTGTCATTAGAAGTATAAAAGCTTCAATTTAATTTGAACCATATTCAACAATTATTTAGTATACCTATATTTATTTATAACCATATTAACACACTTTTCCAAATAATCCACTTATTTATTTTGGTCAAAATAGATTTTTCTAACCTTAAAATACAAAATTAGATGATATTTTTTGTTATAATACATTAACCTACCTTTGATACAGATATTCTTATTTCATAAATTATGATAATAGAGAAGTTAGATTTTTTTAAATAAATGCTGTTTAGTTAAAACTATTTTATGGAGAAATGTAGACCAATGCACAAAAATATCACCTATATTGCACCTTATACTTTGGAATTTCATTAAATGCTGTATTTATATTTCTAAATTCTTAAACCAACCATTGTTATTGTGATACTATAAAGATTTATTAACTTTTAACGCTTAAACATAAGCGGTAACACTATAAATATTATTTCTTTCATTGACTATACTTTGACAGATACATAACGTGAAAAGCCTTAAATGCCAAATTTTTAAAAGACTGCGTTCCGTACGTGGTCACGTGGTGGGACTTTGAGGTGTGGAGCATAGTACCTGATGAAAAACAAATAACACAGTACGACAAAATTTGATTTTTTTCCCTTTTTATGAAAAATTTATTCACTCAATAATTGGACAACCATTAAAACTATTTATTTATTTTAAAATTATTTTAATTATATACAGGGTGTTGCACATTTAAGAAATACGGGTGTTCACGTTCGTGGTCCATTGAGAGTTTCTGAGGAATGGCAAAAGATATCGATTTGAAATTTTTAAAGCGGTTATAATCCAATTAAGCTTATTTTTCTATAATATTTTAAACAAAATGCCACTTCCGGTTTGACCGGAAGTGACATCAACTTTGTTATTTTAACAAGAACACCCCATATATTTTTAAATTCTACATACAATTTTGAGTAAAGTTATAGGCTATTTTTGATTGGCGCGCATTTGTTATATTTTAACTGTAAAAATTAATAACTCAAAAACTATTCACTTTAGGTATAGGACATAGTATAGTAATTTTACTCAGAATTTTATGTAGAATTAAAAAATGTAAAAACATATGGGGTGTTCTATTTGAAATAACAAAGTTTGTGTCACTTCCGGTCAAACCGAAATATTAATTTTTAAATTTCAAATAAATATTTTTTCCGTTCCCCAGAAACTTCCAATGGACCACAAATGTGAAACCCTGTATATCAAGTGGTGTTTTTAGGTTGTGATACCACTATAGATTCGAAAGCAATGTATAATCGTCAAAATAAAAGATCAAGATTTGTTTCCAACATATATTTAATATAAGATAAATACAAATCTGTTTTTTTATCAAAAAAAAATCAAAAACTAAAATCAGAAATGTTTTTTTACTTAAAAAAAGTATAACTTTTGGATTATGTAAAAACATAAAATATTTGTAAAAAAAAATGATTTATAACAGAATAGAGAATTAAAAATCTGTTTAGGTTAAAATAATAGGAATGGCTGTGTAAAAAATTTAAATGACGTGATTTCGTGAAACGGTGAGATACGGGTACGTTTTTTTAACCTTTCCCGGTCAACATTGTAACGTAACAGTAACCAAAATATTAGGTAACGATTGTGATGTGTAACGTTACAGTTAAATAACCTGATGGTTGCAAATAGGTTCCTATTTCCCACTCATAGGAGTAACATTGTTACATAACAATGTAACATTGCCGTTATTAAAATGATACATAACTGTTTCGTAACATTAACCAAAATGTACCGATCGTAATATTACAGTTACATAACCTGACGGTTGCAAATAGGTTCTTATTTCCCGCTTTTTTAAGTAACATTGTTACGTTGCAACGTTATTATGCTCGACATGAAAAAGTCCCGTCAGTTGAACGCTAAAGCGTACCAAATGATACATAATATCGTATTCTGACTTTCCCATAATCATGCATACTGTTTGAGGTCCAATGACAAATGGACATGGTGCGCTGTCTTAACTTCATTTATATACCTAATGGAGGTGGTAACACGAGCGAGATGTAAATGATGTTTATAAGTATAAGTTTGTTACGTAAAATAAATGTAACTGTTACGTAACAAACTAATTACAATAATATTGCAATGTTACGTTACTGTTATATTGCAAATTGGTAATTTTGTTATATTACATCAGTTTTACAATGTTACGCTGTTATATTTCTTATTGGTAATTTTGTTACATTACAATAGTATCGCAATGTTACATTATTGTTATATTGCATATTGGTTAACTTGGAACGGTAACAATGTTACCATTATTTTATGTAACTGTTGCGTTGCATTTTAGTAACATCGTTACATTGCAATGTAACTCCTATGTTACATAACGGCAATACTGTGTTACGTTAAATGTTCACCGGGTTATTTTTAAAATCTGTTAAAATTTTTCTTGGGAGGAAAATCGCGTTGTACTGTGTAATGATTTTACACCTTTTAATTAATAATTTACTGTTAAAAGTGATTACGTTACATTTTTAAAAGTAAATTAACTTAATAATACGTGGACGTTCAGTTTTGATTTTTTCTTATCAGTCGTTATCAATAAGAAAAAATCCTTTTTTTCAAGCCATTAATTCGTATGCAATTTTTAATTTTAAAAAATCAGTGGTTTAAAATATTGTTTTTTTAAAAATTATAGTTTTAATATTTTATTTTACAAAATTATTGGTTTAAATTTGTAAAGAGTCATTTAAATGACTTAGTCAATAAATTTGTAATACAAAAATTCTCACATTATAGGTATTTAAATGACTACAAATTAAAACCGATAATTTTGCAGAACAAAATATTTGAATTAAAGCTTTTAAAAATTAATATTTTTAAGCTTAAAGTTTTACAGTTTTACAGTTATATTTTATATTTAGAGTTTAAAAAAATTTCTGTTAAAGCATCATTAAAGTGCTAAACTTTCTTCTTCAAACTGTTATCTAATAAATGCTAGAACGGCGTGCCATAGAGATGTGAAAAAAACTAGAAAAAATACGTTTTTTTTTCGTTTTTTTCAAATGCGCTACAATAAAGCATATTCTGTCAATAAATAACATCAATCTTAAAAAATGTATGTTAATAATAAAGTGAAATTTAGAATATATTACATTTTCCATTATTGAAAATTTTGACTGATACTAAGAAATTTGATTACTTAGTTCACATAATAAACCAATAACAATGGAGTAACATTAGAATTACCTTTAGTTTGCCTTAATAATAGTCGCAATGGATATGAAAATGTGAAATATTTATTTTTTAGAGGTAGATGGGCCTAAAAAGTATGATGACCCATATACCATAGTAAATTATATAATCTATTTGGTGCAACTTAAGTTAAATTATAATCTCCAAACCAGTTTATTTCTCAACGAGCGTTCAAAACACTTTTCAGCGAGTTGAGAACGCTATTTTTTCTACGACCTAAACTACATTAATAAAACAAAGCTTCAATTGTTAGCAAAAGTTCAAAGTTCAGAAAATGAAATAATAAAAACACTAAAACCTAAAAAACTGAAATTACCCTTTAAACATTGTTAAAATTTTTATAAATATTTCAACGTCATATCACTCGATGGTAGTACTATTTAGTGATATGGCGTTAAAATATTCATACAAATTTTAATAATTCTAATGCAGTATAGTATTTTGTGTAGTAAATTTTAAGGTTTTTAAAATTTTATTTTTGTAATTTAAATGTATTTGGGTGAATACCTATATATAATCTATAAAATGCTGATTGTATCCTTTATCACATGTCAAAATAAGGCTTTTGGGGGGGAAATACAAATGCAAATAAAGCATATCACCCATCTGTTATCATTGCCATTTATGTTAAGTTAATTAAGCTTGTACTAATTATTATAACCCTAATTAATTTTTAATACACGTGTTCCTAATTTTTGTTTAATTTGTATGAATTCCGAAATACATTAAGTATTAAAATATGTATGGAATTTCAATTACTTCATGTTCAATATTGATATTAAACATTTATACGTAAATTACCACGTAAAAATGGCGTATAAATTATTTATTAATAATTAAAATATAATTAAAGCAAGGCAAGATTCCAAATCAGCAAACGTTATAAAAAATGACTTTTTCATAAAAACGTAGAAATACAAATTCGAACTTTGAAGGCAAACTGTATATTAATGACTTTGATATTTGTTTATTTTTTTCGGTACAAGTTTATCAATTTTACATTTAAATTATTTTATTATCATGTTTTTAAATCAGTAGTATGTTAATTATTTGAATTCTTGCCTTAAAACATGCAAATGTTTTTTTATCATATAAATAATATCTGTATATTAGTTTATTATTTATAAATTGCTTTTGTTGTTTTAAAAAAGTAAAATTTAATATGTGAAAAACATTGTATTTTTACACAAAATTTTGTCTATAAAATAATTTTTTTATTTCTTTTTATTTTAAAGCAATGCAATAAGACATTATAATAGCTAAAATAATTTATAACATAATAACATAATAACGTTGTAACAAAACTTTGGGTTTTGCCACTTTAAAAATAATACAGATATTTCTACTTTTTATAAATAATACAATAATATTTACCAGTAACACAGATTTTGCAAACAACAAACAATTTTGTGTTTTTTATTTATTGTTGCTGTATTATAATAATTAATACTAATTCAAACAGTATATTTGTTTGTATTCCTAAATTAAAGCCACAAATCAATAAACACTTTATAATACTAGTTATTTATGTCATTAGGCCAAAAAGACACTTCTTGGCAAAATGGCATACATTTTTTAAACGAAACATAAAAGGTACTATTATTAAAAGTAGAAAGTGAGGTTGGGTCGATCTGACAGAATCGAATTTTTTATTGGTACTAAGTAGTAAATAATGAATTTTTACAGCCCAGGTCATAAATAATAACCTAACCCGATTGGTCTATATTGCCTAGGTCATAATCAATTATTTTAGAGTGTTAACAACAATAAAGTTTAAATTATAGACTAATAAAAACTTATAACAATTTCAATTTTATAAAAATACCAACATTATCAAAAATGTCGAATTAAAATAACAAATAAAAATTAAGTTGCGTTTGATGTTTTAATTAGTACATTGTTTTTATTTAGCGTTGTCTATGCTAATAAACATTTATTTGTATAGCAATTACACCTATTTAAATAATTTTATTGATGTTTATTGTTAGGAAACATATACGCTAAAGAAGTATCGGGTTTTCGCAACGCGCGCGCCATCTGGTGAACTTCGAATGCATTGCGTGAATTAAGGAATTGTCAACAATAAATTTAAAGCACCGATTATACATTATTTTTAAATAAATATGTAATTTTTTTTAGAAAAGGGAGGAAGGAAGTCTTACCCGACAAATTTTGTTCAATTGCACAGCTAAATCGCGCACGTTATTTGTGTTTTAAGTTGCAAGGAAAAAATTAAAAAACTTTTTTAGTACTCGATTTCGATTGGTTCTTCCTTATATCATTGATTAAGAAATAGAACGCTTAAATGCTTATATAGTTACGTTAGTGTGTGTATTTTATCAAAGGGATCATGGTTAATTGTTGTGTTTTTAATTGTAAATAAAATTCAAGAACTAAATCGTTGCATTTTCATGTTTTGCCAAAGGATCCAATTCGATAAGTACATTTGTTGGTGCACAATTAACTAATGATAACTTTACCTAATATAATTTATATTTAAGTTTGGACATTTTTAAGAAATTAGTAAAAAAAAATGTTTGCACAAACATAACCTTAAAATCAACCTTTATATTTGAGCTCTCTAAAAAACGCCGACAACTGTATTTTAAACAACAAAATATACCTACGAAATCATGGCAACATAATATTATATACTTATAATAAATAATATAATGGTATTTTACCGTTGAGAGAAAGAATTTCTAATCAACGCTTTTAATAATGCTAAATGCTGTTTAAATTTAGACGAATATTTGTTTGACGATTTTTACTGAATTGAAATGTTTACACTTTTCACGTTAATCACTACTAAAATGTGTATTTATTGTATCTAATAGGTACAATTTATATTTACAGAGACTGTATGCAATTTATTTCTTCATTCAGATTAACACTGTTTATTGGAAAACCGGTAAAAACTCAACCCAGGATTTCCTCTCGAAATACACCCAACAACACAACAAATCGAGCCACGGTTTTTTTCGATATTTTTTAACATTTTCCGGCTTTATTCTCAAAAAACACTCGTTTGTAACCTAAGCGTGTGACAGCTGATTATTAAAAGTGGTACATTTGTTACGATGATAACAGCCGAGTGGTGGCGCTACTAGCGATACTTCTTTAGCGTATATGTATAGAAATCATCACTTTTGTTATTTTTATTTTTGTAACCAGTTTATTAATATAAAAGTTTATCTCCACGCGGTCTATAATTTAAACTTTATTGTTGTCAACATTCGATAAAGAAATACCTTGTTATGGCCTAGGCCGATAACATTTTTTATAAGGCAAGTAATTAGTTCGATTTTTTCTCGCTGGGGTTAGCTTTGACAAATTAATCCTTTTCTAAGAAATTAACGTACTAAACTGGTTTAATTTATTTATAATAAGCACTAATTTGTTTGTTTTACTGTTAATGTTTAATATTTTTCATTAAATTATTGTAAAATTAAATATGAATAATAAAACAAAAAGTGAGGTTAGGCAACCAAGAAATCGCACGATTCTTTTTCTACGATTTAAATTATCTTTAAGTTTTAATTTGCTTTTAGTTTTCAGTGAAATTAAATGTTAAACAAAGCTTAAACATTCCAAACTACCTATTTTTTTAAATAAAAATCCAAAATAATTGAAATTAGATACCTACCTATTTATTAAACAATTAATTGAATTCAATGTAATAGCAAAAATCCATTCTACTTAAATCATGTTGCTAGGTATTGTCAAACTATTACTGCTTCTAAAAGCAATAATAATTATTGTACATTTAATGTAATCTTTAGCTAATGAATAAATGAGATTCTAAAAAAGTGGGGTTAGGCCGCTTTGATGTTGAATTAAATTGACCTATATAAAGTGCTTTGAAGATAAAATGTTGTATGCCATTCGGCCAAGAAGGGCCTTTTTGTGCTTCGCTCAATTGTAGGCCTCCGCTACTCGTCGGCCTTCAAACCTTGAGCTTAGCACAAAAGCCTTACTTCTTAACCTAATGACATAAATAACTAATAAAAACATCTAAAAAAAACAAGTTTTTATTAGTTACTTACACATTGTAACTTTAACGAAAATAAAACAATTTTAATGTCTTATTTGTTTTTTCAGAGTCAAGAGGGAATCGAATCCTCGAGGCAGCGGTGGTTTTATGGGGGTAAACTTTTGGGGGACAAGCTTCACGTGGAAGAGGCAAAAATACCCAACGGTTACGTCGTACAAGTGATTGTTAATACGGAAAACTCGCCCGTCATGAAAAAAGCCTTATGAGTCAAATTTTCGCTTGTAGTTTATAGGTAAGTTGGTATGTTTTTATATTCCCCCTCCCGCTAAATGCACATTGACAAGTTGTGGCTTTATGGCGCTTTAGTCACGGGCTAAAGTTAGCAACAGGTTTTTAGTCAAGGGCTGAAGCTAGCTTTAAGTTATTTGACGGTTTTCAAATGTCATACAATCGTTAAAATAAAGTGCCTTTCTTGTAAAATAATACTTTATGTAAAATTTATTTTATTATCTCAATACAAAAGTGTTAAAAACTGCTTCTATATCGATTGTTAGTCTATTTTTAAGGGATACATTTTTATTTGAACAAAAAAATTTGAGATTTTAACGCCGGTAGATTCCCAAGTAAAAAAATTAAAGGATAAAATATTTCCTTAACATTATCAAATTTTTAAGATATTTTAATATTTTAATGTATCAATGAGTGTTAAGTTTAATTAAAATAATAACGGTTAATGGTTAAAATTAAGTCAAAAATGTTTATTGCGATGGTTACTTTATTTTCGTATAGATGTCGCTTTAGACAAATATTTAATGTAAGTAATTTTTTAGATATTATTAAGTATTTGTCGTAGAAAAAGTATAGTATGCAACTCGTTTATAAACTTGTCCTGAATTAAGCACTCGCTCGTGCATAAATTAAATTCGTGACTAAAATCAAACTTGGTACGTAATATACTATTATTACAGCTCTCTAAAAATACTGTTTCTATATACAGGGTAAGTCATTTAACTTTGAAATATCTCAGTTAGTATGCATTTTACGAACAAATGTTTAAAACAAAAATTAAATAATTCGATTCCAGTCAATCAGTCCTAAAATTGGTCCTGATACTCTCCTCCTTATATGGGGAACAAGTAATAACTTTAAAATTTCCAATTCCAATTTTTTTATTGCAGATTCGGATCATTTGACTAAAAATAGGTGGATTTTGTCTAAAACATTTTTTCATATATGTAATAGATGGCGCTGTAATGAAAAAAAATCAATTTTGTTCGATTTTTCTTCTGTATACGATTCTCCAATAATTTTTGAATAGAATATTTTTTTTTATTTTTTAAATTTTTTAAATTTATTTATTTCGTTTTAATGCTCTGCTAGCACTGCTCTGGGATATTCCCAAATCTCTAGATAATTCTCGTGTGCTTGCATGAGGATTAGCGGCCGTTGCTGCTAATACATTAATTTCATTATTTCCACCTGTGACTGTTGCTCGACGAACTCTTTTTTTCGGTTGAACACTCCCGTTTGTAGTAAACTGCTTGACTGTACGGTGAAATAAAGTACGTGATCGATTTTTTTCCGGAAAACGCTGAGTGTAGATATTAACAGCATCATCAAGATTCCTGCCTGCTTCTCCAAAAATCAAAATCATTTATATTTTTTCTTCCACTGTTAAAAAATCCATTATGAATAACTGCTTAACGAACGGAGGTCTTTTTGTTTGCAAATTAATCTTCGAACTAAATTGATTAAATAATGCTAAACTATTTATAAATAGTTTCTTTATTCCTCAATAATAATTATTATTTATAACTAAATACCATTTTTTTATACCTCAATTAGGATTAAATTAATTAATTAACAAAATAATGTGTTTTTTTACCTTAAATGAGGTATTTTTATTAAAAATAGAACAATAATCCTTTAAATTAAAGGATTTAATGCTGCCAGGTAAAAAGTGACCATGGTGCGTAATTGATAATTATCACCGAATGAAATTATGTATAAAACTTAAACCAAAGGAAACTAACTAAATTAGATTTAATTTTAATAAGATTATTTCCCTCAATATTATATGAACCAATCAAAAGCCTTGAATTTTCGAATAAATTTCGTTTAAATAAGCGATTAAATCAATCACTAGACCTTTTTAACAGCGATTAAATTTTAGCCTCCATATTGGATTTTTGTTTACGATTTTATGGTTTTAACAAACATTTTTTAAAAAACAATAAAAAATAAGTTATCTAGTTTACGAAATATCAATTATTACTTATTACATACCTTAAATTAATGGAATTTTCTTTAAAAAAATATTTATAAACTTTGACACATACGTCAGATTTTATGAATGGTCACATAGAAAAACCTCTATGAATGGTCAAATAGTTTCCTTTAATTCGAGAAATAATCTAGACGTATATCACTCAACCTATAAAATTTAATCTGTCAAACTATGCTCAGTAAGTTTTTTATTTGATTTTTCTTTTTGAAAAATAGTTTCATGCAAAATAATTAAAAATAAAACCCCTCGACCGCTACGCGGTCTCGTGATTTTATTAAATTATTTTGCATTCAACATTTTCCAACAAAAACCAAACAAAAAACTACTTAGCCTAGTTTACCCGATTAAATTCATAGTTCTCGTGATATAAAGTTACTGCCGTTAAATTTGCTTTTTTAAGGCGTAATTCTGATGTGTATAGAAATCGTTCATTTGCGTATTGTTTACCAAGAACTGTAACAATTTCCTTGTTTTAAAACGTTTTTTCACGAAATTATCAAAATAAAACCATTCACTTAGTAATTTTTGTGTGTGCCAGTTGGTAATAGCTTAAGGCTGGCGCGCACCGTTCAATATTATTGATGGGTCGCTGTCATTTTATATTTGACGTATTTTTGTAATTGTGACATTTCGTCCGGAAGCATCGTTTGTTGCAAATTATTATAAATAATATTATACATTATGTTTATAAGATTCTATCCCTGGATTGTGCAAACAATGATATAAGGCTTGTTGGCAACTAGCCGTTATTAGATTTCGAAGACATTGCGCCCTTAATAATAAATTTGGGGAAATAATCAGACTTCAATTCTGACCTGGTTTGCTCTGATGACAAGGACGACTGGTAATTTATATATTTTGTGTTTCTGATAATTTAGAATTTTTTGTTATGTGCATATGTAATAAAAATGTAATAAACTCCGTTTGTTTTCTCTTTAAACACATTTAATAAAAATTTGCCTGTAACAAACTCCTAATTAGTTAGTGCAGAAGATTATAACAAGGACGTCATAATTCTATCTTAATAACAGCCCCCACCGCTATAAACAGTCAACAATACACGAGCGTTAGATTGTGTCTGGGCACGTATGAATAGACCTTAACGCTGACGTCATATGCCGTTGATGACGTGCACCCATACAGATTTGGCCGCGACTATATGATTATTATTACCAAAAAAGTGATATTTTTATATAAAAATTATTGAAGAATGGTATAAGAAGAAAAATCGAACAAAATTGATTTTTTTGCAATATTAATTAATCACCTTATTTATTGTTTACAATCTTATATACAAGATGTCCCTGAAATGCCCTTGCAAAGTAAAGATTTTTGTTTATTTCACGATGTTTTTAATTTTTATATTTGCCAAAAAACTTTATAAAGTCAAGTAATGATTTTGCCCCATTTATATGAAAAAATTAAAAATAGTACACAAAATTGTATTATGTAAGCAGTTGATTGTTTAATTCAGATTAAATTATTGATTTGAAAAAATTACCGAAATCGATATACATATCGCACATGGGCGACAACAGTGTCATAAGTAGTAAAACGAAAATTCCGATATAAGTTTACGTAAAAGATTTTTGAATAATAAAATTCTGACATTTTTGTAAAATTATATTAACTTACAGTGTAAGTTAATATAATTTTACAAAAATGTCAGATTTTTATTATTCAAAAATCTTTTACGTTAACTTATATCGGTATTATCGTTTTACTACTTATGACACTGTTGTCGCCCATGTGCGATATGTACATGTATATTTATATATTTTTTAAATTGCCCATAACCTTCCAGCGAACAATTTATCGGATAATAATAACTGCCCCAATAATATTATTTTAATACAATGTGGGCTTATTTAATTGATTTATCAAAGCTTGCAAAGGTAAAAGTTTTTTATAAAACCATAAATAAAGTTAAACCACTTTTTTTACTCCCAACTACACATTGACAAGCTGTGACTTAATGGCACTTTAGTCACGGGCTGAAGTTAGCAACAGGTTTTAAGTAAAGGGCTGAAGTTAGTTTTTAGTTGTTTGACAGTTGTCAAATGTCATACAATCGTTAAAATAAAGTGCCATTCTTGTAAAATAATACCAAATGGAAAAATTATTTTATTATCTCAAAACAAAAATATAACACTATTAAATAGTTTTTTGACGCCAATATTTGAAAAGATTGTATAAACGTTTACTGACCTTTTGATTTCGCAGTAGTAGTGCAGTTAACTAGATTTAACTGATAAAGCGTTAAAAATGTTGCTTACAGTGCCCATAAAGCATTCTCTTCTCTTTTACTCTAAAAACTGCTTTAATTCAATTGTTAGTCTATTTACATAAATTTTGATTTACACAGAAAAATTTGAGATTTTATTGCCGATCTGTCACTTTTTCAGTGTAAGAATTTTTAATACTTTGCAATTATAGTAATAAAAAAATCAAAGTATAAAATATTTTCTTAACATAATCATATTTTGTTATTTTAATATTTTTTCTACTTCCACCTTTAAAACGCGCTTTATCGTACATGTTTCCATGACACTAAGTGACCTTTTAAATACACATTGACAAGTTGTGGCTTTATGGCGCTTTAGTCACGGGCTGAAGTTAGCAACAGGTTTTTAGTCACGGGCTGAAGTTAGTTTTAAGTTAGTTGACAGTTGTCAAATGTCATACAATCGTAATACTAAATGTGAAAATTATTTTATTATCTCAATACAAAAATACAAAAGTATTAAATAGTTTCTCAACGGCAATATTTGAAAAGTTTATATGAACATTGTACTGACCTTTTAATTTCGCCGGCAGTAAACTATAACTTAAATTCGGGAACGGACTCCACTGTAAAGTGCTCATAAAACATTTTCTTTACTTTCCCTGTGAAAAACTGTCAATTTTCAAGAAATACATTTCGATTTATAACCTTTATACCTGTGTTTATATCTGTGTTTATAAAATAAATAAATTTGACATTTGACGGTGACACTCAGTTCCCCAGTTGTTTCATAGATGGCGCTCTATACAATTTTTTGATTTAAAGTATTTGTCGTAGAAAAAGTATAGTATGCAACTCGTTTATAAACTTTTCTAGGCACTCATTTAATTAAACTCGTGACTAAAATGGCGTTTATGAAACTTGATACATAATATTTTATAATAACAATGGACATTTCCAAGAACAGAGTTTTTATTAATAGCCCCTGCATAAATAAAAAGTTCATGGAGAAAATCGTTTAAACTTTCAATTAAACCGAAATAAATGTTGCATGCTTAATGGTATGTTCACGTACATACATACGTGAATTACCTTAAATTGTTTAGAACAACACAATTGATTTTATTAAAAATTTATTCAATACATGGACTGCATGGATTTATATGTAATTAAATTCTTCTGACTCACTCACGCGATATTCTAAACAAAAAGTGATTGAATGTTTAATTTGTATGTAATTGTAGGTATTACATTTCCTTTTACGATTCACAATTATCTAATCGATAGGTTCCAAGCGAAAATTCGCTGAGAAACAATCATCTTATTTAATTTCGTTTGAAGTTTTACCTCCTTAATTTCTACTTTTAACAATAATTATTATAATTGTACGTTTTATGTATCGTTAAACAAATACAATTATTTGATAGGTAAAGTTCTTTTTTTTTATCTGGACTGCGGCAACGTTGCAAATTTAGGGTTTAGTTTAGTTGTCAAGTTGGTCGCATTGATTAAAACAAACTAAGCTAGTTATAAATCTAATTGTGGTTATGTATAAATTATTGTAGGTTACATTGTGCAGTTGTCAAGTTGAGTTGTCGAAATTCGTAGTTAAAAATGCAATTAATTTGGCTTTGGTGGTGCTTGGATGAGTAAAATCATGTAAAAAAGTAGTTAAATATAGTTTGCTTTACGGCCCAGAAGAGAAAGTATTCCTAGCGGATAATAATCTTCGCTTTGAAAAGAATTTATGTAAAAGAAATTAAAAATTTTTGTTAACGTAAATGTTGTCCAATGGTGAATAATGTGAAAATAATGTGTGATGTAATATTTATAAAACCATTTCGTTACTTTTTTACTCCAAAAATGTCCATAAGGCGATGTACTTCTTCCATTGTGGCATTTGGCATAATTTCATCAAAATGAAGTTTTGCCCTCAAAAGGGCTTTTACATTTGAATTCGTTGCTATTATTTTTGGCATAATTATCTTTTTATTTATAGTTGACAAGTAAATTATCGTAAGTAATATCATAAGGGCATTTAATTTTTCCGAAAAGAATCGAAAAAACACGTTGCTAAGTAATATTTTAACAAAAAGCATGAGTGCTGGTGGCAACAAAAATCCGAGTCGAAGAGGAGGATTTTTGCACCTGCACGAATGCATTTTGTTAAAAAATATTACTTAGCATTGTGTTTTTTCGATTTTTTTCACAGGAAAAATTAGATGCCCGAATGGTATTTGACAAGACTATTTCATGAGTAACAGTTAACAATTAAAATATAAATTTTTGGTGACAGCAGCTGTCAAGTTTTGCCGCGGGTAAACTCGAATAAACTGCTGACAGGTGCTGTCACACAGTTTTTTCACCTAGAAACCATTTGTAATTCAAAATTGCGTGTTTGTGATTGGTGGAAATTAAGACGAGGGAAATAGTCAATAATAAATATTATTGTCAATTTGACAGTGTCAAAGTATTTAATTAAATTCTAGCAGATGTACCATTTTTAAATACTAAAAATACTAAGTCAAACTGGCATAAGCCACCAACCTAACAAACAAACACAAGACCAGATAAAAAAATGAACTGCAGGTAGTTAGTATATTTTTTTAATAGTTATAAAATATTTACTACCTACATATCAAAAATAAAATTATGCCTTGCAGATATCATGTTGTATGTCATTCGGCTGAGAAGTGTCTTTTTGGGCTTTGCTCAACAGATTTAAAGCAATGTTGCCAGATGTAAAATATTAACCTTTTTAGGAAAATTTTATATGCAACACATTATACATTAAAATAATTAAGTACAGTTTATAAATGAGTTGCATATTATACTTTTTCTTCGACAAATACTTAACATTATCTAAAAAATTATTTAAATTAAATATTTGTATAAAGCGACATCTATACGAAAATAAAGTAACCGTCTCAATAAACAATGTTGACGTAATTTTCACCATTAACATTTCCCTTTATTATTTAACTGTTAATACATCGTCTTCTTTCAAAAAAGAAAAAAAACACAAAAAAATTAACAAAAATAAATTAATCTTAAAAAACGAAAAATTGGGAATCCTTTAAAAATTTAATAAAATTAACACGATGTTATATAAAATTTTAAGGTGACAGGCTACATTTTTAAGGGTTGAAAAATTACCATAGTATAGTTTTTGTTCCACTGAAGTATTTTAACAATTTAGGAACCAGTTTGGGTAAATCAGTTTGAGACGACCCGTATAATAACAAACCAATTTTGAAGCTTTTTACTTGAATATTACATGTGTTTAAATCGTAAAAATTGTTTATCTAAAATTTTACTAAAAAAGCTTCTAAAATTAAATTTTAACGAACAGCAAATTCGTTTGAACTTTATTGATTTTCTACTTTTTTGCAGATTAAATCAACAACTACGCAATTTCGACCAAAACAAAAAACCATTGTGTGATTTTACTGTCCGAGCAATCGTCCACTTCAACTATAATCGAATTTTGCCTGCTTAAACCGAAATTTTTAGGAATCGCTCAGGAACAAAAAAAAATCAAATTCGAAATTTTTGGGTGTCAAAAAATGCAATCACCATTGGTTATATCAAAACGAGTTTTTTCTGTTTTTATTAGTGTGTGCAATCAAATTAAAACGTTTTAAACGTCAATATATATATAGGGTGTTGCGAAATACTCTGTGTAAAGTTTGTTGACCTATTTTCATAAAGGAAGTTCCTATCACAAATTGTTTGATATGTATTTTTACATATGCCTAAAATTAGATAAAATCGCCATAGGTTCTAATAATTTCGTATGAAAGCTTGGACATTTTTTTTAAATAGATACACCTATAAATTCTAGCATGGTGGACCATATCATAGTTGTACAAAAATTATTAGTTTTGAGTAATTATTAATATAGATAATAAAAAGATTATTGTTTATAGGGTTAAATTTATTTAATTTGGAATATTTTTGGATTTAATTTTTAAGGATAATTTGTAAAAGTAAGGAGAAGTTACGTTAAACTTCTCTTAATCATGCATTTATCAATATTTTTGACTGAATATATTTTATTTGTACAGAATGAGTAAATATTGCTTTATATCGACTGGAAGTTGCTTTTTGTATTATATAATTTAATATGCTGTTAAAATTTAAGCAAAAACACGGGGTGAACTTATAGAGAAAATATTGTGCAATTTAACAGGGTGGTAATATAAAAAAATATTTTGATGTTTTCTTTAGTTAAAACACTTCTGTTTAATCAGAGTTTTTTATATTTTAAACGTTTACATAATATAGAAACGTTAAAAATATCATTTATTATATACAGGGTGTTTCAAATCATGATTATATACAGGGTGTTTCAAAAACATGTTTTAATTCTCGGCTTCACTTTTCTTAAAAAAATAATAAAAATGAAGAGGTAGTTTTTGTTTAACTGAAATTTTTTTTTTATGGATATGGTTTTTATTTTTTCTGTGGAAAACGAAAAGAGACCAAAAGTTGTATTTTTTGTGGCTTAATCATATAAAACTTAAAAAAAGTGTAAAAAAGTCAGTGACGTACATTAATATTCATTAATTTTAATCTAGTTAAAGTAAAATAAGCTCCTTATAGGGATAAATAACGCAAATTTAAATCTTTTTTTTACTATAAATTTAAAACGTCTTCTGCGATTTATCTAAAATTTGGTAAGTTATCATAGTTTTAAGTGAGAGAAAGTCAATTCCAAAATTATCATCGTTGCATGGTTGGGTACTTTTTAATAGTAAAACTAGTTTTTTTAGTTCAAAACTAAAGTTTTATGTTTTTCAGTGCTCCACCCCGTTTATAGCTCGTACATAAGTTCGCCCCGTGAGACTAATGTATTTTAAAAGTTTGTAAAATATTGTGTAGGTTTTTTATACGAATTATTACATACGATTTAATTTTAGTTAAATCACTTGTTAAATAAAATCGTCATTATTTTTACGAGTGAGATTATTTCTGTACACTTCTTTCGCATACGGAGTTCGTGTCTGTCTACTTATGCAACCCGCTTTGCCAGTTGTTGTTCTCTTTGAAGATTTAAAAAAGGCGTTTCAGTTTTGTATCTTAAATATACAGAGTGTTCTATAAATTATAGACTATAATACAGGGTGTCCAGGAAAAGGAAGTCAATCCGTTAACCATATATTCTTTGAGTTAAAACAATAAGACTTTCATAATACCATTTTTCAATTTAGAGCTTCATGTTCGATATACAGGGCGACAAAGTTTGAAATTTAAAATTGATTTTTTTAAATAATTCGAGTAATTGATAGGATATTAAGTTTAAATTTGGTACACTTCTTCACCATAAATAGTTACATTTTTTGAGACCCACAAAACAAAAAACAATTGTCAAATAATCAAAATAGGGGGGTCCAGTACTCACTGACTATTTTTTAGTACGTGCGCCAATGACTTCCAAACGGTATTTTTTCAGGTAATCATTTATTGTTGAACATTTTTTGTCTCTTATAAAATTTTGATAAAATGATTTGTTTTAGAGATAATTTGTAAAGTATGGGTCAATCCATATCAAATTTTTGAAGTTTAATTTTTTTTTTAACTCAAAGAATATATGGTTAACGGATTGACCTCCTTTTCCCGGACACCCTGTATATAATTAAACTGTTACTAAAACAACAAATTACGATTTTTTTTCATAGAATTATACAATCCCGTCCATTAATTTCTATAATCTATATACATGGTGCACTAAGTGTCCTTCTATGAACTGTTATAGCAGCCATAATTACTTAAAACAAATTATAGCGATGGTAACTCAAAACATAGTGGCAAAAAAATTGGATGAAAAGGTATGTGTAATGTGTATTTTTACATGTAAAACTTACTTGATTTCAAAATTCCCAGGAATAACGATTTTTAGCTTTAAAAGATTTTTAGTTTATTTCAAATATTTTAAGAACCACTGGTTTTTTCCAATTGCAAATTTCATATTAAATTTTAAAGGCTTGTAAACCTAAAATAACAATAAAAAGGATGCACCCTGTAAAAATGGCGGATTTTAATATGTTTTTATTAGTTATTTAAATAAAGATGAATAATGACTGGCGAGTATACAGGGTGAATCAAAATAAGTAATAATTCTGCTAAAATACAATAATTATTCAAATGTTAAATCGCATTTTTGTCTTATTTTTATCCTACATGCAGTTGTTACCTAATTTTGAATCGCCCGGTAAGAATAACATTTTAATACTCACTGGCAACAAAAGACTGCAATCTAGAAATGTTATGGTATTACTAATAATTGATAAGCAATAGAACAGCTGAGGCAAACATTTGCACATAATAAATGTTGAGTTTTTTATTGTTTGTTGTATCAGTGTGTATGAATATATCTCATTAAAAATTTGTTACGATAATTGTGTATTTTTTGTCAAACCTATTTCAGTCTGTGCTGATATACAGGGTGTCCCATGGTCACCAGATTACCTTTTAAAATTTATCTAATACATCTAAATTTACCTCTATATAAAAGTTATTTAATAAAATCAAAAACGAACTTTTAACTTTAACACCCTGTATCTTGGGTATTATCAACTTTTGTGTAGAAGTAAATTTACTTAAAACGCATTATTTTGGTTTCAGGTATATGTGTTATCAGTTTTGGGTGATTTTAAAGTGGACCCTAAATTTACCAAGAATTTTTAACAATTTTTTTTAAACAAAGTCCCTATAGAAGAAATAACTACCTACATGATTTATTCAAAAATATTCACTTCTTTAATATTTATAAACAATCAAACTTTTCAGCATTCAATGATTTTTTTTGTAAATCATTTTTATACAATTTGTACTTTTGTGTAAAAAATATTTCATTAAAAGTAAAAAAAATGGTAAATTTTTTTTATAAAGTAAGCATATTCTCTTTTTTTAATAAAAAAAAATATATATTATGTTTATTTCAATTTCAATGATTTTTTTTGTAAATCATTTTTATACAATTTGTACTTTTGTGTAAAAAATATTTCATTAAAAGTAAAAACAATGGTAATTTTTTTTTATAAAGTAAGCATATTCTATTTTTTTAATTAAAAAAAATATATATTATGTTTATTTTTTTACTTATAAATAATGTAATAAGTATATTTTAAACGAAAAAAATAAAGTATTGTAGAAAAATGTTTTATTGATTTACAAAAACAATCCTTGAACATTTGAACAACTCATTGCAGGGTAAGTTTTTAAAAAAAGGACTTTGTTTTGATAAAAATTGTTATAAAATTCCACCCATTCGTAAATTCAGGGTCCAGCCTTACCCTTATATACATACCTACATGTAGGTATATACTATATACTTATTTAGTTTGTTTTATTAACCTAGAATTCAGTTACAAGAAAAAATTGGGTAAATAAAAAATCCTTCCAACACATTTATACATTTATTTAATTACTTTACAGCTTATAATACTTATTTAGGCAATTTTTTTAACTCGTGCGACAACCAAATAGCTGTGGAAAGTAAAGCTAAAGATCCACTTTGATGGGAAGCTGCTATAGCTGTGGGGACGTAAGTAAGAAGTGTTGTAATGCCTAGTCCAACCTAAGCAGGAAATAAGTTTGTTAATTTAAATTTTTTTATTTTTTTTTTTTAGAATATTTATTAACGTAAAAGTATTTAACACAATTTTTAAAATTTGTAACATATGGCACGCCGTTTTAGCATTTATTAGATACTAGTTTTAAGATTAAAGTTTGGCACTTTAATGTTTTTGCAGAAATTTACAAAGTTAATTTATTTTAAATCAAAACAATTGATAGTCAACAAATTTTTTAAATATAAAATGCAACTGTAAAACTTTAGGCTTAAAAATATTGACTTAAAAATTTTATACAAAGCGTGAAGTCTGTAGCATATGCAGTCAGCTAAAGCAGCGTTTACACTTTGTGAATTAAAAATTATCGACTTACATTTAAATGTAATGTGAATATGTTTGTGTTAAAAATGTATCAATTTAAACTTGTTAAAAATAAAAGTTTTTGGTTTAAATTTCTCAAGGGTCATTTAAATGATAGTCGATCAATTTTTAATCCAAAAATTACCACTTTAAAATTTAAAACTAACATTTAAATGTAATGTTCAAATTTTTGTTTTGAAAATTTATCTACTATGATTTAAATGACTCTTTACAAATTTAAACCAATAATTTTGCAGAATAAAATATTAAAACTATAATTTTTAAAAACCAATTTTTAAACTTAAACTTTGCACTTGCATTTTATATTTGAAATATTTATTGATTATAAATTGTTTAGAGATTAAAACAAATTAACTTTTTAAACTATTTTGATAGAAAATGTTTTGTGTTTTTATTTTAAATGTCTTGACGCTATTTTTAAATACTAAAAAAATTAACTTTACCAATTTAATCTAAATAAGTTAATAAAAAATTTATTTAGCGTTACAAAATTCTGCCCAAATAAATTGAACTTAAGAAATTATTTTTATTAAAAAATGATGGTTGAAAATTTTTGCAAAAATTGATTGGAAATAATATATAATACAGAAAAAGAAAACTGTTAGTTAGTAAATTTTGTCTTTCAATACATGAAAATATTTTAAATTTATAAATGTAAACTAAATTTTTAGTTCATTTTTTTTAACTTTAACGTTGCAAATTCAGGGGTTTGGTTGGTAAATACGGAACCAAAATTGGTTGCATTTATTAAAACAAACTAATTAGTAGTTTAAACTACTATAGATATAAATGGATAATGCTTATTGAAAAGGAACTTTTCTTAAAAGGATTGGGAAGGTTCCCAAATCATTATTAATTTTTTGAGCAGAATTTAAAATTAGTTATTTTGCAAATAATTTTGTTTACCCCAGAAAAAGTTTTTGTCGCTTGGTTCCTTTTCGATAAACGCTATCGAAATGTAATTGTGGTTATGTTTAAATTAGAGGTGGGAAGTTCGATTATTTTTGGTGAATCAATTCTTTAAATTCATTCTTTTAAAATGATTCGTTCATAAAGATTCGTTCGCGACTGATTCACTTTCTGGTTCAGGAACAGATAATTAACGAACAATTCAGGTTCGACCGAATTAATGACTTGGTTCTTGAATCGTTTGTAATGATGACTTGTATTGGTTGTATTGTTAAGTGAATGTATTGTTAAATTATTGGATTCGATTTTTATTTTGCTTACGTGTAAATTAACATACGGCTTTTCCGCAATAACAGCACAGCTTACATAAAAAAACAAAATACAAGTACCTAGGTTGTATTGGAAACTTTTGAATCAAAAGAGTATTTTGATATTTCGTCACCTGAGAATTATAGTGTTCTATCTGCATTTTCTTTTTTTATTCAGGTTAGTCTTGTTTTAAGTATTAAAGATGCATATTGTTCTATCTATATATAATTGGGGTAGAAATTGTACAGTTTAAACCTTAACTATGATTTCGCGAAAGAATCGAACGATTTTGGGGTATTTTTTTATAACACATCTCAGATTTTTTTTATATTTTAATATTGTGTTTATACATCTAATTCCACCCTAAATCTAAAATTTTTCTTTTATCTGACCTAAATTTTGGCTCCCAGAGACCATTTAATTTTACCTTTCGCAAAAAGCCATAATTTCATTATATTCGCATAATTTTTATATTAAAATACTGAATGTTTTGAGATGTGGTCCATAAATGACCCTTATTAGTACCTACAATTCTACCAAAAAATAAATTAAATTTTTTACATGTAGGTGGCGCTGCAATTTTTTCTTCTTCAAAAATAGACGTTTTTTGAAGACCAAAAACTCTCTTAAGCAACAATGCCTAAAAAAACTAAATAGTATACCAGATAATATACATATTCCTTTATAATTTAATATATAAAAATTTACTTGCAAATGATGTTGCCGCCCGTAAACCCAACTTAAAGTTTTGTTTACCGCATTAAAAAAAATTGAATTACACTTACAACTTTATTCATATTTATTAACTAAGGAATTCCAGGAGATTACTTTTATTGGTAACAATAACACAGCAAAAAAAAGTTTTATTTTTTCACACCCAGGGGGCGCTGCAGCCTTTTTTCTTTAAAAACTATATAGCATTTCAGATAATATAGTTATGTATTTCTTTATTATAAAGAGTTACGTATTCCTTTATTTATTTAATAGGTTTGTTCTTTATTTTATTTATTATGTTTTTCTTTATTATTATTATTGATATTACTATTTCTTTATTATTTAACATATAACAATTTATCTGCAAGATTTGCATATATTAAATAATAAAGATATATCCTAATAATTATTATAATAATAATAATTATTACCTTTACATTAAATTTTAAACTTGTTGGGCTCTAAGGGGTATATTCTCTAACTTTTTAGTTATAAATAACCCTGGTTTATATCATACTGGCTGGTTCAAATCTCTAGAGCTACTTAGGCCGCAAAGGAACTACTTTAAAACTGATAAAACTTCAAAAAAACTTCATCCGCTTCTGTGCTAATTTCTTCAATTTCTTCAGGCAAATTTTTTAATTTTCTTTTTCTATTTTTGCTTAACCTTCTATCTGACGATAATCTTGATAATAAGCCGCGTATCTGATTAGGATGCATATACTCGTTTGAAGAAAACTAAAATTTGCCATTTACTTCATAATGTTGTAAAGCTGTTGCTATATATTCACCCATAATATAACAAGTGGTATGATTATCATCGATGATATTTTCGAATTGAAACCGAGCTGCAGATTTCACGAGTCCGCAGGACGAGTGAAATGTGTTGCTTCGGTTTTAATGAGCTGCAGTTTTAGTGATTTTTTACACTTTTCAAAGCTTTCAAACATACGAATTTTTGAATTAAAAAAATAATCCTGGTATAGATTCTTTGGGAAATTTTATGCTCTACAAGAATCCGCCGGGTAAAAAATTTTATCTCAAACGGTTCAAAAGTTATAGTCTTTTTAATGAAAAAAGATTTTTTTACGTGTTATTTCAATGGAAAACTTAGAATGCTCACCGACACCTTTTAAAATTGAGCAAAAAATTTTGCCTTGCAGGGAAATTTTTTGCTCGGTATGTAGGTTCATTTTAACCCATAAATCCGATAGGTTAGTTTTTTTGGCTCACCCTAACCTATAGTTTGTCTAATTTCAGAAAATTTATGATTTTGAAATTTAAGGTGGTTTAGAAGATCATCTTCATTTTCAAAAACCCTACTGCAAAGTAATTCGTCGCACCTATATTTAATTGCTTTTAAATTATTTAGATTTTCCTTTTGTCGACTCGATGATGTCCAAGGAACTTTCATGTTTACTCCAGAAGAAAATTCAATTCCTAGACTTTTGATTTACTTAAAGAAGAAAATTATTTACTTTGCGTACCTTTAAAAGCATGATATTTTCCCTCTCCAATTTTAACTTTTGTAATAACGGCAAAATTTTAAATGTTATTATGGTTACCGTTTGACAGTAACTGTCAACTGTTGGGGTAACTTGATTCCCAGCCTATAGGCTTGACTTTAGTTTAATTTTAAAGTACGATAATAAAGAATGCTTTGCCTCTAGAAATATACTAAAATATATTTAAACAAATGGTCATATTACTATTACTATTACTATAGAGTCACTAAAATACTTGATACCATTTGTAATTAAAATTTCTTTGGTTTTGTTACCTTTTGTCCGCATACAACAATAAAAGCGAAAAAATGCGTTTATATAACAATATGCGGGTACGTGCACTAGTTATAATGTTAATCGTCCCTACAACAGGCATTAATTATTGCAAATAAATTTTTATATGTCAAACAATAAAAGAATATCTATATTATCTGATACATTATAAATAATGTCATTAGTTTTTTAAGCAATGTTGCTTAAGTAACTTTATGGTCTTTATAAACGTCTATTTTTGAAAAAAAGGCTGCAGCGCCCCCTGTATATAAAAAAATAAAACTTTTATTTGTTGCGTTTTAGTTACCAATAAAAGCCATCACCTGGAGTTCCTTAGTTTAAAAATAAGGATAGAGTTGAAAGTGTAATTCAATTTTTTTTAATGCGGTAGACCAAACTTTAAGTTGGCTTTACGGGCGGCAACATCATTTGCAAGTAAATTTTTATATGTCGAATTATAAAGGAATATCTATATTATCTGGTACGCTATTTAGTTTTTTTGAGCATTGTTGCTTAAGAGAATTTTTTGTCTTCAAAAAACGTCTACTTTCGAAGAAAAAAAATTGCAGCGCCACCTATATGTAAAAAATTAAAACTTTTTTTTGACAGAATTGTAGGTACTAATAGGGGTCATATATGGGCCAAATTTCAAATCATTCAGTATTTTAATAAAAAATGTATGTCAAAATAATGGAATTTGGCCTTTTTGTGAAAGGCAAAATTAAATGGTTTCTAGGAGCTAAAGTTTAAGTCAGATGAAAGAAAAATTTTAGATTTAGTGTTAAATTGGATGTATAAACAAAATATTAAAATTAAAAAAAAATCTGAGATGTGTTGTAAATCGATCGTTCGATTCTTTCGCGAAATCATAGTTAAACTTTACAATTTCTACCCCAATTATATATAGATAGACCAATATCATCTTTAAGACTTAAAACAAGACTAACCTGAATAAAAAAAGGAAAATGCAGATAGAACACTATAATTCTCAGGTGACGATTTGACAAAAAATTCCCTGAAATATCCCTAGAAATATCACCAGTTATTCAAAAAGACCAACATTTTAGCGTAGTGATCCGAACCTAGCATTTAATTCAGTGCTTGTAATTTTAAAAAATAATTCAAAAAAGAATTGATTCTTTTACAAACTTTGTTCGATTCATTCGGTTCATTTAAATGATTCGTTCTTTTTGAACGAATCGGAATCAAACTTGCCACCTCTAGTTTAAATTATTGTAGGTTACATTGAAAGGTTGTCAAGTTAAGTCAAGTTGAGTTGTCAAAATTCGTAGTTAAAAATGCAATTAATTTGGCTTTGGTGGTGCGTAGATGAGTAAAATCATATAAAAAAAGTAGTTAAATATAGGTGACTACGGCCCAGGAGAGACAAAGTATTCCTAGCGGATAATAATCTTCGCTTTGAAAAGGATTTATATAAAAGAAATTAAAATTTTATGTGAACACACGTGAATGTTGTCCAATCAATGGACTCCAATGGTGAATGGGTATTTTGTTAAAGCCACTGGACGTTAATACTTGTAAAGAAAAAGTTTCGTGATTATTGCTTATCTTTTTCAAACCAAAAGGATGCTATTTTCAAAGACAGAAAATTTAACTACTAGGTTTTTCACAAAAAGGTTGAACCCAACAGCAAATAATTTGTATTTTTTGTTTTTTTATTTCCCCCTTATTTTTTAAAATTTCAAAAATTTTTGATCTGCTTAGCTGAAAATAATGTGTGATTTAATATTTGTAAAACCAAAAAAGTTACTTTTTTACTTCAAAAATGCCCATAAGGCGATGTACTTTTTCTGCCATTGAGGCATTTGGCATAACTTCATCGAAATGAAGTTTTGTCCTTATATAAATGAACCGTAGGAAAATTTTAAACCTATAAAATTTTAAAATAAAAAACTATTTAATAAATGTTAAAACGGCGTGCCATAGTAACAGATGTCGCCGCAAGAGAATAGCTTAAACAGCGTTGCCAGATGGTCAAAATGAAATTACCGTACCTGCTTGGTAAAAATTACCGTATTTAAGAAAAAATTACCGTACATGAAAAATTAACATAAAATATTTAATTTATAAAAGCAACAAAACAATTTCAACAAAGTTAAAAAATATTTTTTATTGAAAACTCAAAATAAATACAAATTAATTTAAATAAAAAACATTCACAAAACAACTCAAATAATAAAATAATAATTATAATAATAAAAGTATACTTTAAAAATTTTAATACCTATATAATATATTATATTATATTATAGGTATTAATAATTAATAATTGCTAGGTGTAAAAAAGGCTTACCTGTTTTCGGTGGGTTCCTGTTATTTTTTTGCAGATTCATCATCGCTGCTCGAATCAGACATATGAGTCAATCCAAATGAAAACACCAAAAATGAATTTAAAAGTGCGCTGCATGATTTTTTATTTTGATGAAAAAATTTGAGGATGATCTTTTAGGTGTCAAATATGAAAATCCGTTGCCGTTTTAATTTTTTGTTGCTTTACTTTTATTTGGCACCCCTTAGAAGTCTGAAATAGTGTCAATTTCTTACTCTCTTATAGTGGGCCAGAACTTTTTTTCTGTGACAAATATTGAAATAATTTTAATTTTGTTTTACTGTCCAGTAAGTGTGTTTTCGATATAAATTATTATTATCCAATTAGTTAATCTGATAAAAGAATGGTAAACCACTAAAGATTCATGATAATTTGCCAATTTTTGTGATTTTTGTCTGGCTCCTGTGCCTATTTTACTGAATTTAGAAGGTTCATTTTTTTCAGGTATAAAGTACTTATACAATAGAAAACGTAACTATTATTTTAAGTTTCTAGACTATCAATTTCTTTATTAAAAAAATTATTGAAAATTGATAATTCTCAAAATTAGCCAATTTTGCCCTCAGAAATCATTATGTTGAGGAAAAAATAAAAATCTGAAACTTTCAGGAAATGTAGTTCCCACCTTCATCTTTTCAGTCCAGTTAGTCTTGTTTTGTTATTTTTATTCCTTTAAAAGATATATTAATTTTTTTAATGCCCGTTTAGTAGCGATATTGTTAGTTTTATTTATAATTTAAAATTTAGATTAATATAGCGCTCCATGGAGCCTCCATGGCACATACTTCCAAGTATGTGGTTTGTTCTGTGGTATGTGTTTAAATGTGTAGAAAAACCATAGACAAGACAATAAACATAAACACAAAAAATAAAAAAATTCTTAATAATATTATGTATAAAAATATGTCAGTTAGCAAATTTACCGTACATTTGTGTACGGTATTGAGGTTTGGACCGTATACCGTATTTTCATTCAAATTACCGTACAAATACGGTAATTACCGTACGAATGGCAACGCTGAGCTTAAACCAACTTATTACCTGCATCCACGCCATTACGGCGAATGCGCTGGCAGCAGTGTATGCCCTGGGCGGTAAAGTTCGCCTTCTCGATATCAGCCACAGAGCTGATATTAACGCCAAAGTAGTGGTGCCCATGACCCTGTGATCAAACTGAACGGTGGTGGGATTTTCGGTGAAGTTCGAAATTTTCGGCGTGTACGCCAAAATATCGTCCGGAATCCATTTGTCGGCCATTTTGGGGAAGGAGTTGTACACCAGACCGGCATCCAAACCGGCCACAAAGGCTCCTAACAAGCAAAATAACCTTTTAAACAATTTGAATTTTGATATTTTTTAGATAAATATTAATTTTATTACATAAAAAACTTCACTGTTTAATTTTATTGTAAAAAGTGTTTTTCTTGTTCTGAAAAACAATTTTATTCGAATTATTATAGTTTATAGTCAATTTACAAAATTTAATTATTTTTATGTAATAAAATTTAAGTTTTATTGCAAAAAATCATTTTTTTGTGAAAAATAATAATTTTATGACATAAAATAAGAATTTAACTTTCTTTGTTTAATATATTGTAAAAAGTGTTTTTCTCGTTCTGAAATTCTATTTATTATATCAAGTTTATAGTCCAGGAAACAAAGATTGTAGATGGAAAACTCGATGGTAGTCGGGTTTTATTGTTTTTTTATGTAGTGTCAGGGGTGCTGATAATTATTTATTTATTTATTCATATTATTAACATACAATTTTACAGCTTGTAAATAATGAATCAAGAATATTCCCCAAAAATTTCTTCCCGCGTCCCCTAATTTCATCCCTCAAAAGGGGAGTTTCTTTGCTTTTTGGCTCATAACTCGCTAACCGTGCATTTTTTCAAAATTTGACCTCTAATACTTTTGATTATGTACTAAATAAGGCACACGTTAAACCCCATTGCGCACCTATTAGACCAGTACAGAAGCCTTTAAAAATGGTAAAAAGAGAAAAAAATAACAGTAGGATGAAACCCATTGGAAAAGGAGGGGAATATAATAAAAATTAAAGGAAAAATAAATTACGGGCGATATGAGTTCGGGAAGTGGGAGGGGGGGTTTAAGGGTAAAAAAAGGTTTATCTCGATTTCCGGCAAAACTACAAGTCCTATGGAAAAAGATTAAATGTCAAAGTTGTAGGTAATAAAAAGATCTACAACTTTTGTATTTACAATTTTTTCACATAACCTCAAAATTTATGTGAAAAATTCAAAAAACCAAGTTTTTGGTTTTTTATTTTTATCTTTTTCAAAAAAATTTTTTTTTCCACGAAATTTGGTGAAAACTTACCTTTTTATGTCCCAAATACACTGTAATTTATTTGATTTGAAATATTTATTATTTCGCCTTATTTTGACTTAATATCAAAAAAGCACCCTAATTTTCAATCGAAAATTCTCGCGTCAAAATATCAGCTTTTTTCAAAAAGTCGGTGTGCTTTTTGTTCGATGAACTCTCTACTACTAAAATATACATTACTATGGTAAATGTTCTCAGAAAATACAAAAAATATTATAATGAATAACGTAATCAGAATGAAGTATCTAAATTCAATAGTATGATTTACATGTATTTTTATATTTTATGACATAAATGTTATTAGAATTTAATAAATAAACTTTTTAACTAAAAAAAATTGCAACAATCACATTTTTTTGATGAAATTGTACATAATGATTAAAATAAATTTTCGAATTCGAGTTTCTTCATTATTATTATTATTTTTTGATATTAAGTCAAAATAAGGCGAAATAATAAATATTTCAAATCAAATAAATTACAGTGTATTTGGGACATAAAAAGGTAAGTTTTCACCAAATTTCGTGGAAAAAAAATTTTTTTTGAAAAAAAAAATAAAAAACCAAAAACTTGGTTTTTTGAATTTTTCACATAAATTTTGAGGTTATGTGAAAAAATTGTAAATACAAAAGTTGTAGAATTCGAGTTTCTTCGTTATTCATTATAATATTTTTGCATTTTCTGAGAACATTTACCATAGTAATGTATATTTTTTTTACACCATCAGAAAGTAGAGATTTTAACGAACAAAAAGCACACCGACTTTTTGAAAAAAGCTGATATTTTGACGCGAGAATTTTCGATTGAAAATTAGGGTGCTTTTTTGATATTAAGTCAAAATAAGGCGAAATAATAAATGTTTCAAATCAAATAAATTACAGTGTATTTGGGACATAAAAAGGTAAGTTTTCACCAAATTTCGTGGAAAAAATTTTTTTTTGAAAAAGATAAAAATAAAAAACCAAAAACTTGGTTTTTTGAATTTTTCACATAAATTTTGAGGTTATGTAAAAAAATTGTAATTACAAAAGTTGTAGATCCTTTTATTACCTACAACTTTGCCATTTAACTTTTTTCCATAGGACTTGTAGTTTTGCCGGAAATCGAGATAAACCATTTCTTACCCTTAAAACCCCCCCCTCCCACTTCCCGAAGTCAGATCGCCCGTAATTTATTTTTCCTTTCATTTTTATTATATTCTTTTCCTTTTCCAATGGTTTTCATCTACTGTTATTTTTTTTTGGTTTAAAAAATTATCGACCCTGGTCTATATATGATGTGCCCTTTTGCTATGCGCAGTGTGCAAAGTTGAGCGTTGCTTTCAAAATCACTTTTTTGTTTTTTTTATTATAGCCCAATTTTAAAAGTAATCGATCCCAAACCTTACGGTAATCAAACATAACCGAATGGACGATTTTTTGAGGTACTAGACTTTTTTCAAAAGTTACTGCTTTTCAAGGTACAGAGGGTTCTTTTTTCAAAACTTTAATTTTTGTGGGGCACTTGCAATGAAAATAATTTTAAAAAAACTACGGATTCGTTACGAGGATAAGTGTATCTAAAAATCTAGGGTAGAACGAACTGGCTCATTAAAGCCGTTTGGAAAATAAAAAATGGGTTTTTTGAAAAATAACCCCCTGTACATTTAAAAGCAGTAACTTTTGAAAAAAGTCTAGTACCTCAAAAAATCGTCCATTCGGTTATGTTTGATTACCGTAAGGTTTGGGACTGATTACTTTTAAAATTGGGCTATAATAAAAAAAACAAAAAAGTGATTTTGAAAGCAATGCTCAACTTTGCACAATGCGCATAGCAAAAAGGCACATCATATAGGTGCGCAATGGGGTTTAACGTGTGCCTTATTTAATACATAATCAAAAGTATTCATCATCAAATTCTGAAAAAAATGCACGGTTAGCGAGTTATGAGCCAAAAAGCAAAAAAACTCCCCTTTCGGGGGATGAAATTAGGGGACGCGGAAAGAAATTTTTGGGGAATATTCTTGATTCAATATTTACAAGCTGTAAAATTATATGTTAATAATATGAATAAATAAATAAATAATTATCAGCACCCCTGACTACATAAAATACAATAAAACCCGACTACCATCGAGTTTTCCTTCTACAATCTTTGTTTCCTGGACTAATATAGTTAATTTATAAAATTTAATTATTTTTTGTAAATTTAAGTTTTATTGCAAAAAATATTTTTTTGTGAAAAATAAAAGTTCCATGACATAAAATAAGAATTAAAAAAAATATTCATATTAACTTTCTTTGTTCAATATATTGTAAAACGTGTTTTTCTCGTTATGTCAACTTTACAGTTAATTTATAAAATTTATTTTTTTTTGTAAATTTAAGTTTAATGGAAAAAAATTATTTTTTCGTGAAAAATATTAACTTTATGACATAAAATATTGTTTAGAATTCAAAGCGGCACTTATAGATAGTTAAAAAGAATAGCAAAGTAGCAAAAATAATTTATATACAGTATGTCCACGGCTGGGGTTACAAAGAGAAAACAACAAATTTATTTTACATTTCTCAGAAAATTTAATTATTGATAAAAGTTTTTGCTTGAACTCGCATCATTTTTATTGTCTATGGTTAATTTGCTATTTTGAAATAAATATTTTTTAATATTAATACATATTAATCGCGAATTTTACTTCAAATTAATTTCTGTTTTTTTTTAATAATTTTAAAAGCATAAATAACTAAAAATCAAAATTTTTAATTTTATATTTTAAAAAAGGTCAAATTTAAAATTACTTTTAAATACAAATAACTAAAGATTCTTCTGAAATTTTGAAAAAGTAGGTATTATTTTTTTTAACTTGTCAAAAAATGTTTATTTTTTAAATTTATAAAAAAAAATTTGATTTGATTTATTGTGCGATTTTAACCGGATTTGTTTTAAATTGTAGATCTTGACAAACTGTTTTTTAGAGCAAATAAAGCATATTTTTACATAATTAAGAATTTAACTTGGCGATTTAAAAAAATCTATGCACGGTACTGGATTCACTATTCCTCAAAACGATCCTATACTAAATTTTATTAATTATCGATATGTATTTTTACCTGATACAGCCGTCAAGAACACCATCCCCTTGCAGGTATGCGCGAGCATTCTGAACTTTCTGGACGCTTTCAACGCAGTTTGACTGGATATTTGTATCGACTGCGCCGGTATTAAATGGTCCAAAGCGGACCACAAAAATAATGTGTACAGGCCGAATGCCATGGTCAAATGGCTGGCCAGTCTGTACTGAGACACCCTGGGAACGTCGCATTCGCCGTGAAATCTGTCCTCTAACCCCGATTTTACCATGTACCAACCCATAAGACCCTAACAAAAAGAGATGGAGATAGAGTGCAGTTTAACCAAGAAATCGATTGAAACTTTTTCACCTTATTTCTGCATCTAAATGCAGTACTTTTTTCAAAAAAAAATCTCGTCCATTGACAACTTTGTTTTTATTTCTATTTTTTTCTTCGCTGTGTTAAAAATGAAGAAATTTCATGAAATTAAAAAAACTTTTTTATTTCATGACGTATCGATTTGAAATTTGGAAAAAATGTAGATCTTACTAATGACAATTATTCCATGAAAAAATTTGTTTAGATTTTAACGTACAGGGGGCGCTGGTGATAATTTAATTTAAAATTTAACAATTTTAAAGGGTAAATAATCGAAGAAGCAACTTTGTTTTATAAATTTTAGTACAACAAGTTGAAGTATTGATATTTGACTATTATTTGATATATTAACTTTTTTATGCAAATGATGTTTCTGTGGCCAGGATCAGTTTTGAATTAGCAGTAGCAGTATTCATAAATGTTTAGTTAAGTACATTTTGTCATTTTTATACAAATATTGTTGTATCTTTTAGTAATAATTAAGTATAGCATAACACATAAATTACGTTTAATATACAGGGTGTTTCACGTACGTAGTCCGTTAGAAGTTTCTAGGGAATCGCGAAAGACATCGATTTAAAATTTTAATAGCGTAAATTATTCGATTCAGACTTTTTTCCTAAATTATTTTAAACAAAATAATACCTCGAGGATCCTGTTTTACCGGAAATGTCTTTAACTTTGTTATTTTAAACAGGACACCTCCTATATTTTTACATTTTTGAATTATACATAAAATTCTAGTAAAATGGCCAAACCATATCCTATATCTAAAGTCAATATTTTTCGAGTTACAAATATTTTAATTAATTTTAAACAATGAGTGGTAAGTGGTAACCATGAATACTGTCTCATTAACCCACATGTAGAATTTTACAGGTTTGTTGATACAAAATAGTATTGAAAATATTAGAAATTGTTAAATGCCTCTAAAATTTTAACTTTAGGAAACAGTTATTATAATACTAATCGAAAGATTCTTTAATTTTCTATTTGATTATGTTAAAACATACAGGGTTTTACATTTATTATTGATTGCCTAATTTAAATTGGTTTTGAAAAACCTTTAAAAAATTAAATTATTTAAACAATGTTTTAATATTCCAAAAATTCCAACCCCATGACAGCAAACCTAATAACAAAAACATTAGAGGCTATTTTTGATTAACGTGCATTTAGCAAAATTTTAACGAAAAAAATTAATATCTTGAAAACTATTGACTATGTATAGTCTAAATCAAATAGTATATGCTATTAAAATTTCAAATCAATATTGTTTGAGTTTCTCCAGAAACACCCTGTATAGCATTATATTAAATATAAAAATATGCAAAATAACTAATTACAAAAAAGCGAAAAACAATTGTTTTAGTTAACTAAATAAAAAATATACATATATCTAAATAGCCGATCGCAACATAAAAAATAAAGTCTTTATTCTAATTTATTTATTGGGTAAATATTACTTTCCTCAGTTTGGAATTAAAATTAAAGCTTGCTTATAGAGTAAAAAATAAATTGAAGCTTGGTTGTGGAGCAAATAATAAAATTAAAGTAGGTTATAATTTCTAACTTGCTGACACTTTTATTTAGTTTATTCATTTTAATAAATTAATGTTTTGAGTTTATAGTACACTTATAAATTGAAAAGCAATCAGTCATTTTCAACTTATAAACTGAACTGTCAAATTATCTTTCATGCCTCCAATGGTAGGTTACCATAGAGAAAAGTATATGATGCCTACTATGATCAAAATTAGTAAAACTAGATAAAAGAATATATACTTTGTAAAACACGTTAGTGCGAGACCTTTGAAGGCCTAACTTAAAAATGATGTATCTCGTAGAAACATAATTTGCATGTAGAAGTTTGTATATCAAATAATAGTTAATTGTCAGTACTTTAACGTGATATACTCAAAATTATAAAACAACGTTGCTTCTTCGATTTTTTAACTCTTAAAAAATGGTAAAATTTTAAATTAAATTGTCCCCAGCGCCTCCTGTATGTTAAAATCTAAAAAAAAATACGTGGATTTATTGCCATTAATAAGGTCTATATTTCATCTTAATTTCAAATTGATACGTTTTTAAATAAAAATGTTACTACAAAATATCGAAATTTATCTATTTTTAACACAGTATAGTGACTTAAAGCCTGAACCACAGCGGTCAATGGATGAACTTTTTTTTTGAAAAAAATGCACCATTTAGATTTAGAAACATGGTTAAAAAAATATATTTAATTCATAGATAATAAATCATATAGATACGCCACTGTCACATATTTGACGCCCCTTGTTACGCACACTCGGCCCGCTATGCCGCTAGTGTACCCGCCTGACATTTATTGGTTTTAGGTTATGGTTTTAATTTAGGTTATCCTGTCAAATTTTGACAGTCAAAATAGTAAAAAATAAAAGGCCTGATAGTTTATTTAAATTTTTTAATTGAAAAGCAAAAATAAATGTATTACCTATATTTTAAATTATTCAAGGTATTTACTAAACTAAACCAATTAACAATATAATAATGTATTCAAGTGAATTTTATCTTATTAAAGAACACAAATCAGTACTATTGTTTTAATAAAATAGTTATAATTGAATAATACAATACAACCTTGTCATCATTGTGAAAAGTATGCATCATAACTTGACTGTTAGAGCAGCCCACAGCACAGCACAACACCATGTTAATGTTCAAATAATGTAGCAATATATAAAAAATAGAGTACACAGATAACGATAAATCGCAATTATAAAAGTTTTTAAGCGTACAGAACAAACCAAATTAACACAATATGAATTTACAAAACTTTACAAAATTTATCAAACTGAAGTTTGTTGATTTCGTTACCAAGCAACCGTCAAGATTAACCGCCGCTCCTGCCACATGCAACTCGAGTGTAAACTAAAACCAAAGTCGACTAGACAAAAATGTGGATTTTGTTTGTTTCACAATCCACATTGTGGTTTGTTTAAGGCGAGTGCACAGGGCATGATTTAATTCTGGCATCACTTGCAAACAAATGTCCAAAATTTGTTCGATTTTTACGCGAAACCAAAGTTAATATACATTGTAAACAATTGTTTACATTAATGTCTAAACAAATTTTAAATCTTGTTAAAAATTGGAGATGCTGAACGTTTTAGAATAAGCTTTTAACATTTTTAATTTCATGATTTACTTAAGTTGGCAACATATAGGAAAATTTGTTAATATTAATATTAAGAAAAAAAGTTATTCTTCATAAAAAGTTCTGCATGTTCTAAAATCTAAAATACAATCATCAGATATAAAAAAAATTCAATCGTAAACGCGGTTTCTCAAAAAATATGAATTTTACTCAATAGTAAAGTACCTTTATATTTGACAATATCGAAAATTCTTATATAAAAAAGTTGATCAGAACTAAAAACTACGTTCAAATATGGAATTACTTCCATTTACATGGAAAAAAACATTTTTTCTTTTTTGTTTACAATAACAAAGCAAATGTAACTATAGTTACATGTAATCTAGGATGCACTGACAAACAAATGATTTGTTGATAGCAAGAAATATTTGACATTAAATGTTAAAGTATATTTACTATACTTTAAAATTTTCGGAAAAATTGAGCCGGCGAAAAAAAAAAGGAAAAATTGGGAAATTAAAAAATTTTTTTTGAATTATTTCCGTATTATACGTAGTACCTACAAATTGAATTTTTTTTTTAATTTTCCGAATTTTTTGAAATATCTGTTGCATTTATTTGTTCTCCTAATATCTAGAAAAAAATTAAAACTTAATTTTTCTGCAAATTTGCCAGTGCTTTAAAGGTTAGGACAAAATTTTATTTTTCGTTTTTTTCTGCAAGGTGTAAAAAATGTTTTTATTAAAAAAAATTCGATTTATTAAGTTATGAACCAAGTAAAAATAAAGTATTTATTCATAAATAACATAAAAATTAGCGTAGTTTAATTTTAATAAATTATATTCTTAATATTAATTTATGTTCAAATTAATATTGTATCCAAATGTTTTTTGGATTGAAAAAAACTAAAAAGTTTTTGCATAATATGTTTATAAAAATATTAAAATGTAATTTAAAAAAATGGACTTTACCTGGGCTCCAATTAGACTTCCAAACGCCAATATTCTTGGCTTCATTCCAGGTTTAAACCTACCGCGTGCCCAAAAATAGGCTGCCGGTATTAAAAACGCTGCTCCTATACACCTACCCCACTGCCTATGACCATATTCCATGTGCCATATAAACTTGAACTCTGACAAGGTCATATCTTTGTTTTTGCTATGGAGGAATAAAAATATAGTTTGTAAGAATTTTAAGTCTAACTTTGACATTTGAATAACAAACGCAGTTATTTCATGAAAATAATACAGTATAAGTATGTTTTGTTACAAACAAAAAATACATATACCGTATTATTTTTGTTTACCTACATTTGAAACTCTGGAAATTGCTGATACTGATGAAATTCGTCCTCCCATTCTTTTTCTGTACGCGGCATTTTTTCTCCCAGTAATTTCCATGTCACCATAGATAATCCAGACTCAGTAAGCCTTGTAACTCCCCCTGAAAAATCGCGTTGGCTCATATCCTATACTCAGTTCAGAAAGTGAAAAATCGCGCGAGAAAGTTAAAATGCCAAGTACTCAAAAAATAATTAAAATAACACCGTGAAAGTTAAGTACGTTATTAGGAAGAATGTTTTTTGTCTGTGCATTAAATTTTGTTATTATAGCCTTCAAGAATATACAGATATTTGAGTTTAATGTTTATTTTTCGCTTTTTTAGTTATTGAATATACTATAGTGTATAAATAACAGTTTGACATTTCAATTTTTAGGTTAATAATTAGTGTCAAAATCTAAGCCTACTCGCGTAGTTTCTTTTTAGTATTCATTTAGCAAATAAAAAGGCAAAACTCTCAATCAAAAATTTATTTAACAGTTTTTTTAACAACTTCATCCAATACCAAACAAATACTAATAAGAACTAAAAAATATCCAACTATACCTAAAACAACAGCAACAAAAACCATTCCGCTGCATGTCAACAGCCAATACCCAACTGCTTTTTGTCCTTTTGGTGAAACATTCGAACTTAATCGTACAGCAACAGTACCTGTTCCTCGAAACAAGTTTTTCACCTGTACAACAGTATTATTAGGTTGTTTTTAAACAAATTCCTGCAACCTTACCTTAATGTTGTTTATCAATGTTTGCCTTTTCCAAACAGGGTTTGAATTTGGTCGTAAAGCAAGTTTTTGTAGATTCCGCGATGAATTTAGGCAAACATTTTTTATTTGTGGTGTAAATCGCGATATATTGCAAACCCTCGTCAAACTAAACATGATTAAATGCCAGTTATACCTTGCTATAACTAAAACAAATGGTTATTTATAATATAGGTATACCTACCTATAGGTTATGTTTTTGTTTCTAAAAATAGATTGTTTTATCCATTGTGGTTTTATCTTTGGTTTTAGGGTGAACCAAAAGTTACTATGGTAGACATTTTTTCAAACAAAAACAAACTGTAGTGTTTTATCTTACAAAAAGGTTAAATAACTAGATTGATAAGACAGTTTCCATGAATGTGTTGAAGAATTAAAATACTATGGAAAGAAATAATGATATAATTAAAAGAGTTTTTCAAAGTATGGAGTATGGTAAAAATACGCAAAGTGCTGAAAAAGCTTTGGTATGTATCAACCACAAAAATATTAAATATAGTATGTTTAACATGTTAAACAATTTTTTTAGGAGTGGTTCAAGTCCAAAAATTATAAATTTAGTTGTTTTTGTCTTGAAAAAGAAATAGAATTATTCAACAAAATTTCCACTGAAAAATCAGTGCTTTGTACAGTGCAAAAAAATAAAACTTTGCTTCATAATACAACAACCAATTGGAGCACTTTCACACCTTTTAAAATATTTTCAACATTAACCAAGTAATATAAAAATACTTAAAGGTGTATTAATTTTAATAATGTATAATAGATTTTCAGATGAAATTTACAAAAATATAGAAACTATTTGCCAAATTGAAATGCTGACGAGAGGTTTACTTAAAAAGGACACAAAGAAACAAGCAAATCTAATGGGCGATTATATAAAATATTATTCGTCTTATGCAATGCGATGCAATAATGAAAAAAATGATGATTGTGATTGTAAGTATACTCACTAGAGTGTAAGGTTTAATAATAATAATATAAAATATTATTTATCTTATGCAATGCAATTCAATAATAACAACAATTATTATTGTAATTACACTCACTAGATTTAATAGTGATTAGGTATTGTAAGTATACTCACTAGAGTGTAAGATTTAATTTTGTCAACACAAAACAGCTTGTTGTCAATTATTGACAATTGATATTCACACAGATTATAAAGATTATGGATATTCACGTCAAAAAGTTTTAAGGTTAATAACTTTGGTTCAGTGCAGTGTTGCCAACCATACCGAATTTTCGGTAGAGCTACCCTTCTTTATCTCTGGAGCTACCGATTTCTAAAAAAGTATTTAATGTACAACAATTCATCATCTCCTTCCCACTTTGCCCCGTAATGTTTTACTTGCAATGTTTTGACATTATCAGCCTTTTCTTGCTTTACCTTTTCGTCTTATTATGGTTTAATAGCACAAAATAAACAAGATAACTTTTTTTATAATTCTTAAAACAATAAAACGTAGATTTACCTACCTATTTTAAATATATTTTTTAAATGAAATTTACTGCAATAGAACTTAACAGTATGTACCAGTAAAAAACACAAAATTAAATCTCTAAAATACGTTATAACATCAAATGTTAGGATATCAGTTGACAAAAATTACTAATTTCTAATGGTGGAAAAATTGTATACTTTGCTGCAAATCTAGGTATCAGCTGATAGTGGAGATTGTCGACTTTGCACTAAATGTCATTTTAAAATAGGATTTTAGGCAGGATTTACCTCCTTTTGCAGCACATAAACTTTATCATCTTATAGATAATTAGTTGAAGTATATATACTTAGAGACTATAGTCTCCGCCAAAAATCTAAATTTTGACCAAAAGTGGAGATTGTCGGTTTTGCTATGACAGGCCTCATATAATACCTGTTGTCCAAGTATAATATTTTTTAATGCAATTTAATCTAAAAAAAGATATTTATTTGTATTATTGCAAGATTTAGGTTTTCGGTAGAATATTGACGTCTATCGGTAGATCGGTAGAATTATTTAGAAATTTGTGGATCTGGCGAAATTTCGGTATTGTTGGCAACAATGCTGTTTGTTCTTTGACTTTTAAAAACATAGGCGTACCTACATGCCCATTTTTAAAGGTTTTAAACTTTGGTTTATAATGATTTATAACTACAATTTTATTTTCTAATACGATTAATTTTTAGAATAAACGGTTTAGGTTAATTTTTGTAATATTATGATATATTATTTTTAGATTACATAGAAATTAATGAAACTACTGGGTTGTCGGTAATAGGAGCTGCCCTAGGTATAGGTATGGCAAATGGGTGGGATATAGTATTCTTTTGCCCACCATTGCTTGTCCCAATTATAACATACATTTTTGAACTCGGGCAAAATGCTGGGTAAAATTTGAAAGAAAAAAATGTTTGTGCACATATTTATGTAATTTTTTAGTGTTTCAGTGGGTGATTTTAAAATTCTTTCCTTAAACAAAACACATGTTCCATATATTAAATGTGTTTATTTTAAAGGTACTTAGTTAACTTTAATACTTAATTTTACAACATTAATATTCATGTTTTAGTTGAGAGATTTAAGATACCCATGATAATTTTTGACAGCGCTGATTTGGACGCCGCCTGCGATTCCGTGACTGAAGCTGCTTGGGGTCACATGGGCACTGTAAGTTTTAAGAGAGTAAAAAGACTACAAATGTTCGAATCGTAACGTTTTAGCTGCCCGAATCCGTTGGCACGCTGATAGTGCAGGAAAGCGTGTTCGAATCGTTCGTGAAAAAACTGAAGGACGTCGTGAAAAGCGCGAGGATCGGCAACGCGGCGGACGGCCTGGCCGACCTGGCCTACGCGGACAAACCGACCGCGGAGCGCCTGATGCGCGAGGCGAGCGAGGCCAGAAAGCGGGGAATCGAAGTTTTTCAGGCCGACGCCTCCTCCAAGACGTTTCAGCCCACTCTGTTTATAGGGGCGGCCGCGCGCAGCAATCGAGTCGTCGACGACGATGCGCACCTGTCTTGCGGTGTTGCCGTGGTGTCGTTCAGGCACATCGACGAGGCGGTCCGTTTGGCCGAAAACTCGAAGCAGGGGTACGCGGCTTCCGTTTGGACGGAAAACGTCGGCCTGGCCAATGAAATCGCCGCCAAATTGAATGTAAGTTTATATAGGGTGTGCCAAGAAGAAGACGAAAAGTACTTTGACGTTTTTTGATCTGACTCACCTTTAATTAGTAATTAATTAAATCATGTTGCCAATCACAGGCTTGCTTTGCGACAAAAAGAATGTCAGAAAACTTAACCTAAAATCATAAACACTGACAGCAGTGTTGCCAACCTCTTCGAACATTTTATCGGTAGATTCTTTGTAAATTTGATGATGATAAAATTTCGGTAGATTTTAATACATGTGTAATTTTTAGTTAAAAAAAACTCAGGTAATAGATTAATATTTATTAAAAATAAAAAATCTATTTAAAACAATATCATATTAAACTTATGTTAACATTAGTTAACATAAGTTGAATATTTATAAAAAGAAATGTAACAAAAAATAATAAAATTGTAAAAAATACAAATACAAAAAAATTAATATACATAAATCAAGAGAACAAGCGGCGTTTGTCAAACGCCGCTTACTTTTTGCACAAAGTTGAATGTTCTGTACTTTACCAATCTACACAGCAAAAAGCAAGAATAGAAATCTGTTTATTGTATCATGAAAATTTGCGATACCGTCGTAGTGCGACTTTTGTACAAATGATGTTGGTAAAAACATTTTTAATCACATACTAGTGAAAAATATATAATACTGTGTAAGTATAATATTTTAATGCAATTTAATCTAAAAAGTTATTTATTTGGATTATTGCAAGATTTAGATTTTCGGTAGAATGATGATGGTAGGGTTGGCAACACTGACTGACAGGGACAACCATACAATAATGGTCAATTCACACTACTATGGAATTTCTACATAAATGTGTTTTTTTAATTTTTATTTAATTTTCTATTTAAGTATTCAAAAATCTACAAATTTATTACTAATATATATGGGCAGATCCATTACTTTTCGACAAAAGTGTGCGGGGGTAAAGCCGAGTTCATATAGATGCGAATTTGCGAATTTACGAATTTGCGAAATACGAATATTCGCATTTCGCAGCTCCCATTCATATAGATGCGAATTGTCGGAACCATTTTAGGGAGATTGTTTTCTCACTAGGCGATATTTGCCATGGTATTTTAGGGACATTATTTTCTCTCCAGGTGATATTTGCCATACTTGGTTAACATTTTCTATAGGTAGGTAATTAAATAGTAAAGTTACTTGTAAAAAAATATGCTACTATAAGGTAAAATAAGAAACTAATGTAAGTACCTCCAAAAACTCTTTGTCCATTATAAAGAACAAAAAACAACTTTAGCAAGAAACATTTCAAATAAAACTCAACAACGATGCAATACAAATGAAATAAACACAGAACATAAACAAAAATGGCGCGGGTACATATAACAAATACGTATAATAGACATCTGCATTAATGCGCATGCGCATCACGCCAAATTCGTGCGATTTTCGCAAAATATTGGATCAATCTCAAGATTCCCGCCCCCCAGATTTCAAATCTTGCGAATTCGCAGAATCTGTCGAAACGTCGAAACACTTTTCCCGCCAAATCAAATGGACCAATGAAAACATTTTCGCATTTCGCAAATTCGCATGTCGCATCTATATGAACCAGGCTTAAGTCACCGATTTGGCTGCCGATTTTTTTCTCGAAAGTAGGTCATATAGGGAGACGATCCTGAAAATTTGAGCTCGATATAGGTAATTCCGGCTGCAAGAAAATTTTTTGAAATATAAAAAAGTCGATTTTTTAGTCATTTTCAAAAATTCGTATCTCAGCTCCTATTTAACTTAGAGATTTGATCAAGACGGCATTTTTCTCTGTTATCCCTCTATTTTCAAGAAAAAAATAGGTTTTAAGTTTAAACTCAAATCCGGCTAAGCTGTACGCCTCCAAATAAAACACTGCTTAAGATAAATTTTGCCAATTTTTAAAGTGCTCTCAAATCTACAGTTTTTGAAGCAGTGGAATAAATGACAGATGATATTTTTCGTTAAGGTATACTCTGTTGGAATTTACCCATTTTTTACTTGATTGCTTCGATTTCTCTAATGTATGGCCACTCAAAGACAATTAATTTTTGAAAAATCAATGTTTTCAGATACCTACAACTTTTTTCTATCGATCCGAAATCCTTTGAAAATTTCAGGGATTATACTTTATTCTATTCCCAAACAAACCATCAAAACTTTTCCTTGGGTATTGAAGTGGTTTCCGAGCTATGAATTTTTAAAAATGTCAAATTTTCAATATAATATGACATTTTTGGTAGTTTTATTATCAGTTAAATGAATTATTAGTAATACTTTAGTCAATAATCTATTAGACCTTGTTCATTTTTCTCGAAAGTAGGTCATATAAGGAGACGATCCTGAAAATTTGAGCTCGATATGGGTAATTCCTGCTGCAAGAGAATTTTTTGAAATATAAAAAAGACGATTTTTTAGTCATTTTCAAAAATTCATATCTCAGCTCCTATTTAACTTAGAGATTTGATCAAGATGGCATTTTTCTCTGTTATCCCTTTATTTTCAAGAAAAAAATAGGTTTTAAGTTTAAACTCAAGCTGCAAGCCCCCAAATAAAACACTGCTTAAGATAATTTTTAAAGTGCTCTCAAATCTACAGTTTTTGAAGCAGTGGGATAAATGACAGATGATATTTTTCGTTAAGGTATACTCTGTTTGAATTTACCCATTTTTTACTTGATTGCTTCGATTTCTCTCTGTATGGCCACTCAAAAACAACTGATTTTTGAAAAATCGCTTTTTTCAGATACCTACAACTTTTTTCTATCGATCCGAAATCCTTTGATAATTTCAGGGATTATACTTTATTCTATCCCCAAACAACCCATCAAAACTTTTCCTTGGGTATTGAAGTGGTTTCCGAGCTATGAATTTTTAAAAATGTCAAATTTTCACTACACAGCAAACGGAAAATTATAGAGGTGTATAGGATGACGCCACGTTTGAATATCGATTTCTAAATCTCCCTACGGTATAGAGTTGTATTCGTCAGTCGAGCGTTTCAATACTCTCCACAGTATAGAGGTCGTAATTTCACTTTTGAACTAGTATTAATATAAAAATTATTTTATGCTTAAAAAAAACTATATACGACATGATTGTGATTTTTTTCATTTTATTAATTAATTAAGCTGGGTTGAATATTTTTCCTAAAGGAATAATTGCCAATGGGCCATTAATTCATTTGTTCGTAGATGCTACAATAACCTGCACTGGTGTGTACTTTTTCATCAACCAGATTTAAATATTACAAAATTAACATATACCAGTGGAGATAGTGCAGGGTCTACCAACAGACCTAATTACTAAATTATTAAAGTTTAATAGCATATCGATCATTTTTCAACATAACCTCTTAAATTTTTAATACAAATATAGGTACTTTATATAATACATAAATATACTTTATGCACGATGACATTATAATATGACAATTATAACAAAAATTCTTTGACGTAAACGTCTTTTTATAGCCCGCGGGCGTTATTATGACCCAGCGGGCTATAATGAAACGTCAAAAATTTAAAACAACAATGTTACACATTTGATATATTCGAAGTAAGTTTTTTCGTATAAAGATTTTAATTTTTTCGGCAGCAGGCCGCAATTTTTCGCCTTTTCAGCTGCTTCCTAAATTTCATTCATCTTTAAACTTTAAAACTGACTGCAGTCATCATGATGTCAGTTGACATTATAATATGACAATTATAAGAAAAATTCTTTGACGTAAACGTCTTTAAAAACAATAATATATTAAAAATAATAATATATTAATCGTGCATAAAGTTTTGTATGCATTGCTGGCATAACTGGTTTTTATGGTCCTACGACGCTTTTATAGCCCTCGCGCTAACGCGCTCGGGCTCCAAATAGCGCCTCGTACCATAAAAACCTTATTATGCCCTTAATACATAAATAACTATAACATCATATCCTCTGTGCTTTACATACCTGAGTTGTTACGGTAAATAAAAATCAGACAAAGGAACCAAAGAAAGGAACTATTTTCAACAAAATCATATGGAGAAATGAGAAAATTCATCCATCAAAAGATCAAAACTTCTTGCAATATTACACCCTCTTTTTATACTCTCAGAAATATTGACTAGAACAGTATTAGAGAGACTCCAGTTTCTATAACTTGGTAGAGTAAAGAGAAGTCGAAACCGTTGCGATATTGCATTGCGCTGTTTTTGTATAATTCTCGGGGACATTAACGAAAATCATTGCCAGTAAAATTCGAAAAGCTTGAGTTTCTATGTCTCTGAGGAGAATAGGAATCCGAAGTTGCTGCACCATTGGACTGAACCCTTTTTTAATAATTTCTAGAGACATATATGACTGCACCATTCGACAGGGTCGAGTTTCTACTCCTCTGTTGAATATAGAAAATCAAAATAATGTATCTTGTAAGACACCATTGAGTTTGACTTTAAATATAGTCGTGCATAGGTATAGAGCCGAAAAATATAAAAACAAAGCACGATTCAATACAGTTATGATAAAACTTTAAGATTTGATATTCAAACGCGGAGTCATCCTATACACTTCTATAATTTTTCGTTTGCTGTGTAGTAATACCACTAGAGGTCAAAAAATTTCCGGATTTAATTTGACCTCGTGTGGTATTCGGTAAGAAAATTCCACACCAAATTGTGTTTAAATAATTAAAATTTATTTTTTGATTTAACTTGACCTCGACTTGATTATTTAGTTACCATGGCAACTAAGTCAACCCCAACCTAAAAGTTATTTCAGTTTTGAAGCTGTCAAGCGGCACGACGTAAAAAAATGTGAAATTGTCTGCTGTAATGGATCAATCATCGTGCAATGACTTATTTACTCGCATTATTAGAGGATTGTGGGTCCTACTTGAAGAAAGAAAATTTGTTTTGAATTGTTCACGAATATTTGCATCTTAACTATTCAAAACTCAAAGTGCTAAATGGAAAAAAAGGTGAATAGAATAGTGTCTAAATATTATATATATATTTCATTAGACATAGACATTTAATTTATTTCAAGTCCTGCATTTTCGCCATTAAGAAGAAAGGAGGTGTCCAACGAATATAGAAAACATCTAAACTTTGTAATGGAAATGTATCAAAATTATCATGTAAACAAATAAAAACCAGATTGTCAAAAAAATATTCTGTCATTATAAACGTCAAAAAATTTCCAGTATAATTCGCTGTTGGGTACCCACGAGGAAAAAATTTCCACTAAAATTCAACCGTTGCCATGGTGATCTATCAAAAATACACGTTTTGATTGGTTAAAAATTACAGGTGTGGAATTTTCAATATAATATGACATTTTTAGTAGTTTTATTATCAGTTAATTGAATTATTAGTAATACTTTAGTCAATAATCCATTAGACCTTGTTCATAATGTGCAGCCAGCCTATAATGATAATTAATTTAATGCTTACCGACAGATATCAATTAATTTATTACGAATAATTCATTTAACTGATAATAAAACTACAAAAAATGTCATATTATATTGAAAATTTGACATTTTTAAAAATTCATAGCTCGGAAACCACTTCAATACAATAGTGTTTTATTTGGAGGCTTGTAGCTTGAGTTTAAACTTAAAACCTATTTTTTTCTTGAAAATAAAGGGATAACAGAGAAAAATGCCATCTTGATCAAATCTCTAAGTTAAATAGGAGCTGAGATATGAATTTTTGAAAATGACAAATAAATCGTCTTTTTTTATATTTCAAAAAATTCTCTTGCAGCCGGAATTACCCATATCGAGCTCAAATTTTCAGGATCGTCTCCTTATATGACCTACTTTCGAGAAAAATGAACAAGGTCTAATAGATTATTGACTAAAGTATTACTAATAATTCATTTAACTGATAATAAAACTACCAAAAATGTCATATTATATTGAAAATTCCACACCTGTAATTTTTAACCAATCAAAACGTGTATTTTTCATAGATCACCATGGCAACGGTTGAATTTAAGTGGAAATTTTTTCCTCGTGGGTACCCAACAGCGAATTATACTGGAAATTTTTTGACGTTTATAATGACAGAATATTTTTTTGACAATCTGGTTTTTATTTGTTTACATGATAATTTTGATACATTTCCATTACAAAGTTTAGATGTTTTCTACATTCGTTGGACACCTCCTTTCTTCTTAATGGCGAAAATGCAGGACTTGAAATAAATTAAATGTCTATGTCTAATGAAATATATATAATATTTAGACACTATTCTATTCACCTTTTTTTTCCATTTAGCACTTTGAGTTTTGAATAGTTAAGATGCAAATATTCGTGAACAATTCAAAACAATTTTTTTTTCTTCAAGTAGGAGCCACAATCCTCTAATAATGCGGGTAAATAAGTCATTGCACGATGATTGATCATTACAGCAGACAATTTCACATTTTTTTACGTCGTGCCGCTTGACAGCTTCAAAACTGAAATAACTTTTAGGTTGGGGTTGACTTAGTTGCCATGGTAACTAAATAATCAAGTCGAGGTCAAGTTAAATCAAAAAATAAATTTTAATTATTTAAACACAATTTGGTGTGGAATTTTCTTACCGAATACCACACGAGGTCAAATTAAATCCGGGAATTTTTTCTCCCTCATGAATATTTTTAGAAAATTATCCCTCGTCTTCGACTCGGGATAATTTTCAAAATATTCATGAGCTCGAAAAAATTTCCGGAAATAATTTGACCTCTAGTGGTATTACTAGTGAAAATTTGACATTTTTAAAAATTCATAGCTCGGAAACCACTTCAATACCCAAGGAAAAGTTTTGATGGTTTGTTTGGGAATAGAATAAAGTATAATCCCTGAAATTTTCAAAGGATTTCGGATCGATAGAAAAAAGTTGTAGGTATCTGAAAACATTGATTTTTCAAAAATCAATTGTCTTTGAGTGGCCATACATTAGAGAAATCGAAGCAATCAAGTAAAAAATGGGTAAATTCCAACAGAGTATACCTTAACGAAAAATATCATCTGTCATTTATTCCACTGCTTCAAAAACTGTAGATTTGAGAGCACTTTAAAAATTGGCAAAATTTATCTTAAGCAGTGTTTTATTTGGAGGCTTACAGCTTAGCCGGATTTGAGTTTAAACTTAAAACCTATTTTTTTCTTGAAAATAGAGGGATAACAGAGAAAAATGCCGTCTTGATCAAATCTCTAAGTTAAATAAGAGCTGAGATACGAATTTTTGAAAATGACTAAAAAATCGACTTTTTTTATATTTCAAAAAATTCTCTTGCAACCGGAATTACCTATATCGAGCTCAAATTTTCAGGATCGTCTCCTTATATGACCTACTTTCGAGAAAAAAATCGGCAGCCAAATCGGTGATTTACCCCCGCACACTTTTGTCGAAAAGTAATGGATCTGCCCATATATATATATATATATAGTATATTTAGGGTTGTGGAATTGACCGCTCAAATTGTTTTTGGTCAATTGACCAAAATAAAATTAAATAAAATAGGTATCAAAATAAATATTACTGATTTATTTGTACTTAATAAATAGGAAATTAAAATACGTTTCCATTTTTTTTTTATTATATAAGTTATGTCCATCTGTAGAAACGTTTGTGCGGCTTTAAAAAGTTATGTTTCGCTATAAATAAAGATATGTCCCGCTTTAAGGGCAAAGCGCCGAGTCCGGCCTAGCAACCCCTCGACTCGGGGAACCACCAAATTGTAAATGATGTCGATATTGCACGATCGCAAAAATTTTGAGATTCAACGGTAATTGTTGATACCTAAATAAAATGTTGCAAAAATTAAATATATTTTGACCGGTCAAATAGGTAGCGATGACGATGATGATCATCCCCAACTCTAAGTATATTATGTATCAAAACTGAAGTTTAATTATAAACGCCATATAATTCACGAATTTAATTTAGGCACGCTCACTTGCAAGTGCTTAATTAAATGAATGCCTAGAAAAGTTTATAATGAATTGCATACTATACTTTCTCTCCGACAAATACTTAATATTATCTAAAAAATGATTTAAATTAAATATTTTTATAAAGCGACATCTATACGAAAATAAAATTACCATCCCAATAAACATTTTAAAATGTATTTAAATTTATTATTATTATTTTAATTAAACTTAACAATTATGGAAATTTTAAAAATATTAAAATACTTAACTTTAAAATATAATTATTTTATGAAAATATTTTATCCTCATGCTGAAGGACCCCGGTCGATGGCCTTTTGTATATTTTGTATTATATGTTCTGTATTGTACTGAATATGCAATAAAAACTTTATTTAATAATAATAATAATAAATGAACTTTATTGAAAAAAAAAGTTAATACAATTTCTTACAAATGGCCATTGACCGAGGTCCTTCAGCCAGTGAACATATCTTGAATATATGTAAAAAAAAAACTTTATTTATTTATTTTATCCTTTAATTTTTTTTAATACTATAATTGCAAAATATCACAAAGTATTAAAAATTCTTACACGGGAAATGTTAAAGTTACTAAAAGTGACAGTTGTATGTATTAATTGGAATTCCCGTTGTAAATCAAAATTTGAAAATAGACTGAAAATTGATATAGGAGCAGTTTTTTCACAGTAAAGGAGAAGAGAATGTTTAATGGGGAGTGTAAAACGCCATAAAGCCTCAACTTGGCAATGTGTATTTAAAGGTCACTTAATGTTATGGAAACGTACGATAATGGGCGTTTTAAGGTGGACGTAGAAAAAACTTTTTTTTAAATTAGTTCAACTACTATATTTTACTTAATTTTTTATTTTAGTATGGCTTCTTTAATTAATTAATAAATAATTAAGGGTGAGTCAGACCAAAAAACACCAAAGGATTTTTCGTCTTCTTTTTCCCCAGAAATATTAAATCATTTTTTTTTCAACACCCTGTATTGCAACAATGTTTCGTATTTTAAAGGTTGCTAATGTATGGTTAAATGGGCATGGTCTCTTTAGCGCAGAAGTACCAATATCTCCAAGAAAAGATAGTGGTTGGGGAGTTATTGGAGGGGAAGGTAAATACAATAAAAAATAGTGCAATAAAATTTTACATTTGTATTAAAAATGTAAAATTTTATTTCGGAAATAATTCCAAATTTCAAGACAGGGAGTTTAGTGACTTAACTTTAGTCACTATTTTTTTAATTTTACCATTGATTAATAAAATACTTTCTTACTTAACGGTTTTACAATAACTTAAACAAAGTCTTGGCATTTATTTTAGTTGGTAATGCTAGAATTAAAAGAAAATTACTACCCTGGTTTTTTTTATTTGTCTCAATAGCATGCTAAACTTAAGTTAACCAAATTTGGTTTCCCAATATTCTATATTGTTTGAAAGTTATTAAAAAAAATTGAAAATTCTTAATACCTTGTAACTTTGAACAAAAAAACATTAGAGCATACATGCTATATAAGTTATAACTTCATATAAAAAGCTATTATTTTAACTAACAAATTAACCATTTCATTTGTTTCCAAAATTTATGTATTTTAGGTTACAGGCGACCATCTGCTAATCATAACATGGTTATAAATCAGTTAAAGCCTAAAGCTACCAAACCTATGTTGATAGATATTTTCTTTAAAACAGTAAATAATATCATGGAAAATAAAAATAGGTAATTCTTATTTGTTGAAAGCATTTATTATTTATAAAGTAAAAAAAATATTTTTAGCCATATACCTGAAGATAAAAAAGAACACTTGGTAACATTAATTTTTGATTGTATTACACGTAAAAGCCAGCAAAATAGCAGCAAACTAATCTCAGGCCATATGGTTAATTCCTTAGAAGAACCCATAGGACAAATTGATTTTAATTTTGAAGATTTTTGTAATGAAAAAATAAAAGCAATTGTTCAGTCAATATTGGATGGTAATTCAATAATGGTCTATGCAAATGATAAAGGTGCTTTAATTTTAAATGAGATTTTCAAATATTTTCAAAATGATGTTATAAATATAAAACCTTTAGACAACTCAACAAAAGGTAAACTTTATTGTGAAGATTTATATTTATATCGGGAAACAACTTGTTCAAAAAACATATGGACAAATGTGGGTGCATCAAGTCAATATAAAATGTAAACTTTAAACTAAAATGATTTATTGATTTTATATACAAATAAATATTCTACTAAAACACTGTTTTATTGGAACAAAAATTGAATTTCTTAAAATACTGGAATAACAAACATCTATAAACTTAAGGGAAATATTTTTACAATCCATCACCCTGAAATAAAAAAGTTTAATATTTAGTTCACAACTGTAGTTTGTTTATAAATCAAAAAATATTGTGTAAAATACAATTTTTGTGTTTGACTAACGCCTTAGAATTTTGTACTTACCCATTCTTTTGCCATTACAAGAAGAGTGTGTTTGTCCAACTGTGGTCCAATTAGAGGATTCATTTGAGCCACATAGCAGCAAAGCCAGCTAAAATACAAAATTATAGCAAATGACCTTCTGTACGTAAAACACTTATAATCCGATACTTAACTACAAAACGAATAATACTTACAATAACCAGCAACACACCCCTGTCAGCATTAATATAACTTGCATAATCCTAAAAACATGAACAGGAATTAAGTGTTAAGGCAAAAACAGCATTTTTTGTTTTACCCCTTGTTTGGTCCTTTGGGAACTAAAAATGGCAGCACAATACCAACACCAGCCCAGAAGAGGGTTATTATAAGAAGAGGTAATAATTGAGCCCCCATTATTCTAAAAACTTTGCCACTTTCAAACGATAAAAACCAAACCTCTTTTGATCACCTGTCAATCGATCATATGACTTTTAGTAACTTTTCGCAATTTCAGTAATACCAACTGAAATGTTAACACCCCTCCCAACTCTGGAGTACAGTTGAATTCTGTTGAAATATTCCCTGCTTTAAAAATATTGTATATTTTATGGTGATTAAACAAGTATAATATAATTTAAAAAGTTGAAATTACAATGTAGAGAGATTATCGTACAATCTGTCAATATTTTATGTTGGCATTCCTGTTTTAACATAACTTTCTTCATCCTAACCATGGAGCCTACACAAGGAGCCCGAACTTAATAGGGAAAATTGACAAAACCTGTCCACTAAATTGCACAAATTAAGTCTTTTTTTTTCACCACCAGCGGCGCTGATTGTCGATGCATCCGTATGACGTGAAAATAGTATCGAAAATACATGTGAAGTAAGCAAGTAAGTTTTGACAATTGATTTGCAATAATGTTTTGACGTACGAATCGTTTTGTTATTTAGGGCTGTAGCTGGTAGGTAGATGCTAATGAATAGGTTTTGGTTGTGAAATATAAGTGATTTTTTATAATCTGTGAAGTGATTTTACGACTCTTGAGAAGCAAAATTAGATTTCCAGGTTAGAAATACACCGCTATTTAATAATTTAAATTTAATTAAATGAATTTAAAATAAAAAAGTATGTATAAAATGAGTACACAGCATATTTAAAATTTCTACCTTTATTTGTTTATATTGAACTTTTGTTGTTGTTAGTTTTACACCCCACGACATTCTTTTATAGAAAAAAACACGTATTTATAAAAAAACTGTACTATGCTCTGCATCAGAAAGTCCAATATGAATTCCAATGTTAAATTTGATATAAATTTATTGTAAATTAAGACCTTTATACACAAAACCAGGTGTTTTCAGATATCGATAAACTGACAGTTGCATAACCTCAATTATTTGCACAATAATAAGTGGCGCCATCTCTGGTTATACCCCTCTACTGTTTTGGGCCGGTAGTACACCAGCGCCCTCTTATCTTAGGAAGATTCTTGTTTACATGAAGTTCGGGCTCCTTGTGTAGGCTCCATGATCCTAACCTTTATTTTGACTGATATTTATATTCGCTTAAAAATGATGAAAAACTACGTTTCAAGAATTTTCCAGCCGTTTACAAGCATTCCTAAACACGCAAATACATCCAAACAAGAAATTACATCTAAAAGTCAAAGGGTATAGAAAAAATGTCGTTTAAGTTTATTATTTTAAACTTGTTTTTTTATAGTTAATGTTGGAGTTGGGAATAATACAGCAGGCAAATCCTGGTTGTTATCACTTACTACCGCTTGGTTTAAGATCCCTTGAAAAAATAATTAAGATTACTGATGGAGAAATGAGTAAAATAAATGGTCAAAAAGTTGTTCTTTCAACACTTGTAAATAAGGCTTTATGGAAAACCACTGGTAAATAATGTTTCATTTTGACACACAATTACGAGGTTAATAATTTAATTAATTTTTTAGGTAGATTAGAGGAAACACAATCAGAACTATTTCAATTAAAAGATAGACATAACCATGATTTCCTGCTATGCCCTGTAGGTAAATTGTACAATGATAAGTGTATATAATTTTGGTAATTATGTACTTTAAGACTCAGGAAGAAACTGTTACCACTTTGTTATCAAACATTGGGCCAATCTCATACAAAAGTTTTCCATTACGGCTGTACCAAATAACAAGCAAATTCAGGGATGAAATAAAACCTAGATTTGGGCTTATGCGTGCCAGGGAATTTATTATGAAGGACTTGTATAGTTTTGATGTTGACTTGAAGAGTGCTCAGGAAACTTACAGTGAATTAAATGATAGTTATGACAGGATTTTCAGAAATATTGGTTTGGATTATGTTAAAGGTAAATATGAGATATGTTATTTGATTGGGAATATTTAAAACAATTTAAAAGCACAATTTAAAATGTAATAACATTGTTTTTAGAACACAATTTAGAACGATATTTCACATTTTAGAATGTGAAATATCAAAAACATGTTTGTCAGATACAAATTTATTAAATTCATACATTTAGAAAATTATATACATTTTGACAAAAGAAAATTTTAAAATTTTAATAACAAATACCTAATTAAATAAAAAAAATTGAAAATATGAGATATTTTATTTGATTGATATTATTTAAAATCAGTGTTGTAACAGTTACAATATTTTCAGTATCTAGCTACAGTTACAGTTACTTACCAAAATTTGTAGCTAGATACAGATACATATTTTATTGCAGTAACTAGTTACAGATACAGTTACCTTCAAAAAGTATCTACTGTCTGTCCACTCTAAGTTGGCGGAACTAAGGAATTTTTTAGTTTAGATAATAAAGAATTGTCGTACTGTGTGCTTTTAAAACAGATTTTATATTATAAATAATACTAGTACATATTATATACTAGTATTATTTATAATATAAAATCTGTTTTAAAAGCACACAGTACGACAATTCTTTAATATCTAAACAACAAAATTCCTTAGTTCAGCCAACTTAGAGTGGACAGACAGTAGATACTTTAAGATACATACAAATTATTTTTTGCTTTAAAAAATTTAAAATAGAAATAAAAGGGAATTTTAAAGTGACAACAAAAATATATACATATGTTTATTTTTTTTATAATATTTAATTTAAAATAACTTATTTTTTATAATATTTTTTTTTAATAAATTATAGTCGCAGTTTAATTAAAAATGTATCTTTGTATCTTAGCACACCTAGTTACTTAGAACTTGTAACTAGTTACAGTTATAGTTACTAGATTGGGATAAGTAACTAGTTACACAAACAGATACATAAAAAGTATCTAGATACTGTATCTAGTTACTTGTAACTAGTTACGTTTCAACACTGTTTAAAACAATTTAAAAGCACAATTTAAAATGTCAAAAAAATTGTTTTAAAACACAATTTAGAATAATATTTCACATTTTAGAAAGTAAAATATCAAAAACATGTTTTGTCAAAAGAAAATTTTAAAATGTTAATAATAAATAATTAAATAAAAAATATTGAAAATATGACATAATATGTTATTTGATTGAGATTATTTGAAACAATTTAAAGGTAAAATTTAAAATGTCAAAAACATTGTTTTAAAACACAATTTAGAATGATATTTCACATTTTAGAATGTGAAATATCAAAAACATGTTTTTTCAGATACAAATTTATTAAATTCATACATTTAGAAAATTATATACATTTTGTCAAAAGAAAATTTTAAAATGTCAATAATAAATAATTAAATAAAAAATATTGAAAATATGAGATATGTTATTTGATTGAGATAATTTAAAACAATTTAAAAGCACAATTAAAATGTCAAAAACATTGTTTTAAAATACAATTTAGAATGATATTTCACATTTTAGAATGTGAAATATCAAAAACTAGTTTTTTTAGATACAAATTTATTAAAATCATACATTTAGAAAATTATATACATTTTGTCAAAAGAAAATTTTAAAATGTCAATAATAAATAATTAAATAAAAAATATTAAAAATATGAGATGTTATTTGATTGAGATTATTTAAAACAATTTAAAAGCACAATTTAAAATGTCAAAAACATTGTTTTAAAACATAATTTAGAATGATATTTCACATTTTAGAATGTGAAATATCAAAAACATGTTTTTTCAGATACAAATTTATTAAAATCATACATTTAGAAAATTATTACTATACATTTTGTCAAAACAAAATTTTAAAATATCAAAATTTTTGTCAGATACAAATTTATTAAAATCATACATTTAGGAAATTATATACATTTTGTCAAAAGAAAATTTTAAAATGTCAATAATAAATGATTAAATAAAAAATATTAAAAATATGAGATATATTTTTTGATTGAGATTATTTAAAACAATTTAAAAGCACAATTTAAAATGTCAAAAACGTTGTTTTAAAAAACAATTTAGAATAATATTTCACATTTTAGAATGTGAAATATCAAAAACATGTTTTTTTAGATACCTACAAATTTATTAAAATCATACATTTAGAAAATTATATACATTTTGTCAAAAGCAAATTTTAAAATGTTAATAATAAATAATTAAATAAAAAATATTTTCAAGATTTAAAGTTTTAGCTTCTGTATAAAGTGTAAATTAGTTTTAGGGACGTCTGGCAACATCGGAGGATCAATTTCGCACGAATTTCACTATCAGGCCGACATAGGCGAAGATAAAATACTCACGTGTAGCGAATGTGGATATTCGGCCAATACGGAGTTGTCCGGAGACTGTAGCTGTCCGAAATGCAAAAGCAAAAACATAAATATATCGTCCGGCATCGAGATAGCGCACACTTTTCTGCTAGGCGATAAATATTCTAAACCGCTTAAAGCGACGTTTTTGAATATCAAAGGAAAACCGGAAGTTTTACAAATGGGGTGTTTCGGTATCGGAATTTCGAGGATTATGGCCGCTGCTGTTGAGGTTATGTCGCTGGAACAGGAAATCAGATGGCCTGATGCCATAGCACCTTTTAATGTCATTATTTTACCACCTAAGGTGAGTCAGTCACATTTTACTGTATTTTAAACATTAATAAAAGTTAAATAAAAACCTACCCCATATTCATATTAATAAGTAAATTTGAGTAAACAAATCATGCACCACTAATTGACAAAAATGTTTGTTATTTAGTTAAATATTTTCATGGGACTATTTTACCTTTAGTTATAGCTCATAACAAATATTTTTTTGCTTCATATTATATTTTTTAAGATTGAAACATTAAAATTTGAAAAAATAACAAACATTTATACACATACATATTATTAAAAATTAAAAGAAATAATTTTTATAACCATTTATGTGGGTGTTACAAAAATTGATTCTATCCTCCGTGAATCTGTTTTTGTTTTAAATTTTATGCAACGGATTGCGCTTTAATCATTTTAAATAAGCAAAAACCTCTGATTACGACATTATAGATGCATGTGATTCCTGAAAGTCAGTTAGAATTTATATGCAGTTTAAGTTCATTAATTTGCTATTTAAAATCTATCCACCGTGAAGTGTAATATCTCAGTAAGTAGATTTTTTTTATAAATATTTTATGTATGTACAATTGTATAAAAAATAAATAAGGTGTCAAAAATTACAATAACTTATTTCAAATATACAAAGGGATGTTTTTAAAAAAACATACGAAATCCTAACCTCCGTGAAGCTCTAATATTCAAAATGTATGATTTCTTAAAATTCTTGCATTAGTGCAGAACCACTTATGTTATGTTATAACTAGACCTGGTGGCTTCCCAAAAACCTCATTCTAGACTAACAGTGAAATAAAAAAATAAAAAATGATCATTTTCACTTGGGAGACATCTCAATATATTCACCCATTTAAGAAAATGTTTTAGTTTTAAAATTTTTAAGATTTTATATTAGCGATTTAAAATAAATCTATGCACGGCACATTCTAGACTAACAGTGAAACAACCAAAAATAAACAATAATCATTTTTACTTGGGGGACATATCAATAAGAAAAAAATTTAAAAAATTAAACAAAAAAAAAAGATTCTAAAACATAATTTTAACCAGATTTTCTTTAGATAAAAATTAAACTTTTACAAACATTTTTTTTGCATTCCAGATGTATTTTGTGTTACTAGGGATTTTTTGTCCATGTGGTTTTTAAGGAAATTAACGTAGAGACAAAAAATCGCTAAAAACAAAACAAAATCACCAAAAATTTTTAAGAAAATCAAATTTTTATGCGATTTGTTTTTTTTTTGTAAAATCAACCGCAAATTATAAATTTCATAGAAACCATATTTAAAAAAAACAAAAACCTTTCAGAACCAAATATTGTTATAAATTTGTTATATCTGGGAATTTTGAAACAAAGTAAGTTTTCCATGTAAACATACACATTAATCCACATTTTTATCCAATTTCTTTGCTACCATGTTTTAAGTTAAGTAATTTGTTTTTATAATGGCTACTACTACTAGTTTGATACACCATTGGGTTCCATGATTTTTTTCTATCCATCCATGTAAAATTCCGATATGGCGGCCATAGGAAAAACAAAGGATGGTGGTGGTATCTTAAAATCATGCAAATTTTTTTTTTAATTCCTAAAAATAACAAAGGTATCTCGATTTTTCGTTAAAACAAGTTTTCAGTTTTTTTTCAAATTATTTAAAAGCTGCAGATTTTTTTCCAATTTTTAAATGCCATTTTAATAGACCTTGTTGCCATTCAAATAAAAAAGATACCCATACATAGAAGGATAGTTAGTGCATATTATAAATCGTAAATGTCCAAGTATTATAAAAAAGTTTATCCACTTCAATAAACTGATTATGGTCCAAGGAATATGTATTAAATAGAAATAATATAAAAAATAAGAAAACTAAGGAAGCAAAACAGGAAAATGGGATTGTTTTATATTTATTACGTTTTTCAGAATTTTATTTGTCATTTGACTTCTGTCAGACAGTTTAAACCTCACTTTTTACCAATTTATAATAAAGCTAACTTTAGTCATAAAGTTATAGCTTGCCAATATAATATAAAATAAATTTTATATTTTTCTGTAAATGTTTGAGGCATTTTTGTACTAAATCTTTGTTAATTTTTATATTCTTACATAGCAACAAAAATATAATTAAATTTACTATTAATAAAAACAGTACTAAAACATTTGTATCAAGCTACAAGTTTTAAGTTTTAAAACCTATTAAATCCTAAAATAAATTAATTAATTTAACAAATTTTAATATTATTTAAAGGTTTTTAATAATTTGTGTATTTTTAAAACCTGCATACATTGTTATAAAAAATTGTTTTTATTTTAGTTTGGTAGTAAAGAAGAACAATCAACCAAAAACCTATCTGAAAAACTATACACAGCCATAGAAAACCTACCAAACCTTAAAGACAACATACTTATAGATGATAGAATATCATTAACAATCGGAAGACGATTTTTAGAAGCAAAAAGAATAGGATATCGCTTTATTATAGTTATAGGCAAAACATCAACAGAAAATGTACCATTATTTGAATTAAATGACTTAAAATTAAACATACAAATGCATTTAACTGAATCTGAGTTATTGTGTTATATTAAAGACAATTTAATATTTTAATAAATTATTTTATTTACCTCCTATTCTATATAATATTAGATGTATTGCAGTATTCATTGATTATTTTTTGTCCAAGAACTGCCACCAGCATAACAAAAGTGCTCCAGTATTTTGGGCAATTACATGCAGCTAAAAATAGAATAAAAATATTATATATACCTATATATTTTTTAATATAACTTACCTGTATAAGAAATTAACTTTGTTAATGTCACATACAATGAGACAAATTGTGTGTTGATTTCCTTAACCTTAAAATCCCATATTAAAGCAGGCAATAACAAAAATATTCCCACACTTGATAGAGTAATTGTTTTAGCAATTAGTACAAAAGTTATAGTTTTTTGGGCATAAAATCCATATATCTTACTTAATAAATATACAAAACATATTAACAATAGAGACTCTAAAAATAAACAATTAACGAACAAAAATATAAATATTTTAATGAATACTTAATAATGTGACTATAGTTATTTTATAAAACATTAAATCATCCAAGTAAATGTCAAAATTGTTTAAATATTCCTCGGTTAAAATTTCTACAATTTTTGATTTATTATTGTCATCATACAAAAATATCCACTCTGAATATGATTCCACAAGCACAATAAATAAAAACAGTCTCCAATATTTCTAAAATTACATTAAAATATATATACTACAAAAATCATTGCAATTACCTCAAATTTAAAGTTATGTAAAATATGTCTATAAGCAGTAATTCTCAATAGAATAATATCCACTGTTATTAAAACTATATCATACTCAACGTATTTATCAGCTATACATTTACAATTGTCCTAAAAGAAACAGTATTTAAATAAATTAAAAAATCATAACATCCACAAAACTCACACATTCTGTTAATTTTAACACAGTCTCGCTATATTTTTTATACAAATTATTCACAGCGTTTCCGCAATTTATGCAGTAATACTTTTGCGCGTCTTTTTCTTCCATTATTAACAAATAGAACAATTTCTAAAAAACATAACCTATAAACATATTTTGAAATGTACATTTGAACTATTTTGATACCAACATCAGGAAGTAAATATGACGGTTCGCAGTACCTTCAAAAAGTGCAAAGCGCACTAAGATTTGGTTCGCTTAAAATAAGGGTAGTTTTATATGTTTATTTTTAATTTGTTATAGTTTTTAATAATAATTATTGTTGTATAATTATTAGGCGTTTATATAATGTATATTAAATAGATATACATGAATTTTCAACAATACCTAAACTAGTGCACTATAGGGTAGTTAGGGTAGTGAAAGTTACCATTATTGAGTTTGACAGTTGGTAAACATTGTGTTGTGATTGTGCCACTTTTTGAAATCGATTAAACTTTTGATTTGTTTAAATAAAATGTTTAGCGTCAAACATAGTGAATGTATTGGGTTTGAGTCGAAATGGAAGGTTGTGAAGTATGGTTTTATAACCATAAAAAACATTTGTGTGCTATTAAAAACTTATTTCCAGGGTTTCTTCTGAAGCTGGCATGCAAACTTCAGAGTTTCAAGTTGATACAAAAGGGACCAGTACTGTTGAAAATAAAGGCATTTCTGTAAGTTATTCAGGGTTTTAATAATACGGACTTTTTTTGAAAAAAATACTTTTAGATTCAAACTGACTCAACTGCATGTCAAAGCAAAGAAGTTGATATGCAAAAGGTTGCAGATTGGTTAAATAGAATTTACCCAAATGTAGCCAAAGAATTAAACGAAGCTAACAATTCAAAAGCTTTTAAAGGCTATTGTTTATCAAGTGATTCTAAAGATTTCAGTCTTAAACACTTGCAAACCATAGAAAGAAATGTTGTCACTGAAAAAGGGGATTCTAATGGTAAATTAGTTAATATAAATACAGTCTGTAGAAATTAGGGTGTAGCATTTATTTGATATCTGCCTTATTGTTTCTATGTTTTTAAAGTAAATATTTTAGATACAATTTCGTCGATGTCTTGGAACAGTACTGGCAAAATTTTGTCTGTCTCATATGCTCACCCACATAAGGGATGGTGTCATCATAATGGGTGTATTTATATTTATAAATTTAAAAATGGGATTTTGGCTGAAAATAAAAAAATCTCCACTGATTTTTGCGTTACAAATATAAAATTTCATGCTACATACCCATCTATTATAGTGGCCGGAACATATACAGGTAAAACACAAATTTTTATCAAAAAATAAAGTTACCTAGTTTTTTAAATTTAATAATTGCTTCCTTCATTTAATTTTGAAGGATCAATTAACATATGGGATTTACACCGTGAAGACAATGAAATGTTGGTGGCAAGTATTAATGGACACAATGAAAATATTACTCAGTTATCGTGGATACCGGATATTATTTCCACAAAAAATTATTTACTTGCATCATCCAGCATCGATGGGTTTTTGAAAGTGTGGACTTACGATTATACAACATCAAATTTGGCTATTAAATCAAAGTAAGAAAGAAATTATTTAAATGTAAACCCAAATTTTATCAAAATTTGTGATGTTATTATTTTGAAGATTGTATAATTAAGATTTTTGGTTCAAAGTTTTAATATAAAGTGGTCAAACATTTAAAAAACCCAGGTAGCACAACGTGACGAAACCGTGACAATTTGTGTCCAATTGGAAACAATGGACACAAATCGTCACGGTTTCGTCACGTTGTGCCACCTGGGAAAAACTTGCAATTTTAATATTTACTATTTAAGCCTTTTTAATTAAAATAAAAACTTTATTGTAAATGCTTATTTATGTTATATAAAGAATTCCTTATCATCTTTTGAGCAGTATATTTTATAGTAAATTGCACATTTTTAAAAAATGGTGTTTAAATTTCATTTTAGTAGACATTTATCTTTTGGTAATTTTTGGAGATCCAGGAAATTAAGTATGAAATGTATATAAAATTTTTCTGAAGATCTAAAATATTTTTCATTTGGCATCATTGCTCTAAATATAAAAGTTCTTGACAAAAATTGCATTTTCACCAAAACTTGCAATTTTATTATTTACTATTTAGTTCTTTTATTAATTAAAATAAAAACTTTATTGCAAATGCTTATTTATGTTATATTAAAAATTCCTTATCAACTTTTGAGCAGTATATTTTATAGTAAATTGCACATTTTAAAAAAATGCTGTTAAAACAAATAATTTAATTTTAGTCGACATTAATATTTTGGTAATTTCTGTAGACCTAAGAAATTAACTATTAGTGTTTGAAATGCATATAAAATTTTCCTGAAGATCAAAAATATTATACATTTGGCAACATTGCTCTAAATATAAAAGTTCTTGAGAAAAATTGCATTTTCACAAAAAGTTGCAATTTTATTATTTACTATTTAAGTCTTTTAATTTAAAATAAAAACTTTATTGTAAATGCTTATTTATGTTATGGGTGATTCTACAAAAGTTGGGCAACTTTTGACCTCATTTTGTTTATATAGTTTTCGGAGAAAATTAAACAGTATTTTGTTATGAGAACATTGATAATAAAATAAATATACTGTTCCAGACCGGGCCAGTCACTTTTTCAAACAGTTTCTGAAATATCTGTGTTTTCTAAATTTGAATGCGAGGGAAGTGACAAGTATACCAGGGTTAGGGTGGTCCATGCTTCTATGGCGAAAAAAAAAAGTTCAAATAGAAGTCACGCCACCCCCTTGTTTTGTTACACGTACCATTCCCATTATGTGTTCAAAATTTTAGCCCTCTATCTTATATACAAGGGGGTGCTCATCGACTTTGAAATATCAGAATTTTATGAAAAAATCCTTAAAAAGAACTAGTCAGGATATTTAGTAAAAAACATAAAATATGTATCAAGAGGAAGTTTTTGTTATTCAAAAACAGTATTTAAACACACCCAAAATGTTAAAAACAAAGCAATACTTAAAATATTATTTATTACAGTTCTTTATTCTCAACCTAAAACTAAGTTTGTTAGCACTTTTTTGGATGTTTCAGTAGATACGATCTTTCTGTTTTGTTCAACGACTTGAAGTAAAAATTGTTTTTCTTCCTCATTCTTAGTGAGTATCGTATTGTAATCTTCAAATAATTTTACACCCCTCTCCGCAGTGTCGTTAACCACACGCTAATTTCTTATGCAACTTTTACCTTGAAGGTAATTAACATTATCACACCAAGTCTCAGGAGGTAATTGCAAAAATGAGGCCTTAATATCTAGAACTGAGAGCGTTTTCAGTGTTCTTTGCGATGCAAAGTCTTCTAATGTGGCTTCAGTGGATAGTTTTTTAGAGTCACCTCGTACTAAACGACAACCACCGTCAACATCCATTCTTTGAACAATAGCCATTTTCTCCCCATAAGACATCTTGTCGGAAAACAAGGCAAAGGCAATTAACTCATCGGACAAGTACCTCAAGTGATGCTCTAAAACACCCCTTGCTGCTGCACCTATTTCGGAATCAATGGCTTCGTATGATTTTAATCTCTTCCAAAGTTGCAAGTCATTAATCGGTGCATCTGCTGCAAAAGGGGCTTCGATCCAAATTTTGGTATATATAAGTGCGCCGAAAGTAACAAATCGAACGATTTGTTTTTCTTCTCTTTTGGTTAGCTTAAATGCTTGTGAATTATTTCTAAAGAGAAAAATCTTCATAGAATACAGCAGTTTCGCCATCCATCGCGCATGGTGTATTGGTCCCGGAGCACGCCAATGAATCCTTGCAGGTGGCTTGTTTAGAACAATTATTGTGAGCTCTATTAGCTCCTTGTAATCATCGCGAATTTGTTTTTCTCCAGCTAAAGCAGTCGTAAGGCTTTCAAGAGTGTTTTCAGTAAACTGTTCCGCGATAGTACTAGAGTCAAGACAATCGTAGTGCTCTTTTGTAAATGTATCCCAAACATCTCTGAATCTCTTAAATAATGGAATCTCGGGAGAGCTTGATGGCCCAAAGCATAGTGTAAATACTTTTGAAAGCATTATTTCAAAGACGTGATGACGACAAGCAAGCCATAAAAGATCACGGCCCGTCTTTGCTTCTAGGAGAGTGCACGCTCCTTTTTTGGCACCGGTGTTAGAGGCAGTGGTGTCAAAACTCATAGCTCGGACTTGATTAGTGACATTCCACTTTTTCATTGTGTCAAAAACAGCATCGGACGTGTTTTTTCCTGTTCCTGCAGTAAGTTTGGGTACGCCTAACAGTTTTTCGCAACCATTACCGGAGACAAGAATCGGAAGGCGCTCTACTTTCTTATTACCTGTTATATCAGGCAGTATTTTCCCATCCCAATGTATTACCAGTGGATATGTCGGGTCGAATGTTTCTTTTATATTCGAATTAAATTCTGTCCTTGCTTTTTTTCTTGCACGCCGAATTGAGCTTCGATAGATTGGAAGTGAAGCGGGATTACAACCAAGTGCGGCAGCCAATGGTATAATCAGTCGCACTGCTTCTCGGTCGGTTATTTTGTTACGATCAAGAGCGCTGGTAACATGTTGTGTAAATATACCACTACTCAAAGGCACAATTTTAGTGGCACTGGTAGCGCTCTGTGTCTTTTTTGGTAAAGCAACCACAAAATCATCTTGCTTATCCTTTAAAGAGCTATCGGCACTAGAAGTGCAGGGCTCCCAGCAGGTAGTTTTTTTAAAGACTTGTCTATATTTTTGTCTTAAGTCTATAAAAGTCTATTTTTTTACCTAAAGTCTATAAAGTCTATATTTTCTGTTAAAATCAACTATTAAAAAATATTTTTTTAAATATAAATATTCAAAGTTTTATAAATATCGAAACCACAGTAAATCAAGTGAAACATTCGAAAACTTCGCAGTTTACATTTAGTTCCCGCCGTCCAGACCCGAACCGCCCGCCAATATTATTGCTGAATTGTTTCTGGTTTGGTCTAGGGTTTCGTTTACGTTTATAGTTTCGGTTCGCTAGGTTAACACTACCTATACAGGGTGTCCGGGAAAATGTGGAAAATATCTCGGATTCAGATAGAACATGAAAAAATAAGATGACACATTCCTATAAAAAAAATTCCTACTGGCCCTCCTTGCGGAGACATGGGCCCCGAAAGGACGCCCCTGCAAATTGGTTTTCCTTGAATAACTTTTAAAGTACTGAATATAATTTAATAAAAATTTAATATGATGGACCCTGGTAGGGACCTCTTAAAGTAGTGTTCTTGAAACATGTTTTGCTTTTTTTGTTTACCAGGGACGGACTAAGTTTTATACCTTAATGCTTAAATTTTGAACACCCCGTATGTAAAGACTTAAAAAAACTAAATTTGCGTAGCGTGAACCTTAAACTAAAATAAAGGTACTCTTGTTTATTGTCAATAAAATGAACCGTTTTCGAGAAAAAGAATAATAAACGAATTATTGTTTTATATTAAATAAAAAAACCGTTTTCGGGAAAAGGAATAATAAAAGAATTATTGTTTTATTTTTAATAAAAAAGACCATAAAGAACGTATTGTTGCAAACAAATAAAAATGTTAAAAAAATATGTATGGCTCAACTAATGTTTGAAGGGGTGAACCATCCCAAAAAAGAAGCGGGGAAGGTAACTTACAAGATTTAGAAAAGCGAAAGGCGAAAATTATAGATCAGCTGCAGCCCACCAAAAAAATATAACCCATTAAATGACTGATGCCAGTGTCTTTTATATAAATGTGATTCTATTCAGGGCCGTAGCGACGGACTCAGGGGCCCCGGTGCAAAACTTTAGGATAGGATAGGATATCGAAAATTACGATTTTTCAGTAAAACTTTTTAGTTTTGGGGGCCCCTTTGAGGTCGGGGGCCCTGGTGCACCGCACCGCCTGCACCAGCCTCGCTACGGCCCTGATTCTATTTATTATAAGTCATAATTTATTACAGAATTTAATATTTTTTTGTTATTTATGTATTTTATAACAGTTATGGTTACTTGTTAAATTTAATTCAATAAAAATTTATAATTTCAAGTTATCTCTATGTATTTTAAATTCAAATTTAGATCTTTTATCCCAAAAAAATGTATACCTCCATTTTATAGTTATTTCGGTAATTAATTTGGTCTATATTTGGTCGTTTATTTTTTATTATTAGTCTCTTAAGTCACTATTTCTCGCAACATGGACTGCTGGGAGCCCTGTAGAAGTGCTACTAAAGCTAAAATCTAGTTCTTGACTTGACACTACCGAAGTTGAAGCATTACTTTTAGAGGCCTTTTTTCTTAATTCTTCAGCCCTTTGTTTTCGTTTTAGAGAACGTTCTTTGGTATTTTTTAGCTTCTTGTCAATCGAAGTTATAATCATCTTACGCTTACCTCTTTGATCAATGAGAAACTCTCTGTCTTCCGTAATTTTGACTAAATTCATGGCATTAGCATGGGCAATATCAAAAAGTTTGTTTAGCTCTTCTGTAAACAAGAGCTCTCTATGTTTCTGTGCTTCAGAATCTCTTGTTTTATTTTTCTTTAAAAGCAACCAGTTCTTATGAATTTTTATAAGTTTTTCAACGCAGTGATTTGATTTTCTGGTCGGAATACCAGATTTGCTCCATACCTCTATGACTTCTTGAATGAGTATATGCGCAGAATCTTTTACATTTTTTAATTCATTTAATGTGTGGTGAAAACGAAGTAGAACTTGCCGAAGAGTTGGTAGTTGGTTAAGCCTTACCAAAGGCTCAAGATCCCGAAATCCAAGTAGAAAAATCTCGCCTTTTTTTCGAGTTGATGAACTCATCTCAATGTTGATTCACTCACAGTCTAGTAAATAGGTCCCACAGTTTTTTTACTTTTGTCTATAATACTCTTTAACAGTTGTATTTGAAATAAGATTTGATTAATTTAACACACGAAACTGACCTGTAAAAAAAAACAAGATTAAGCATATTTCACAAAAATTTGAAAAGCAGCACTCGATTGAGCACCCTCTTTCGCTAAAGCTAGCGAAATGAAATTTTACTATGTTATTGCTATGGATTCATGTTACAAATTTACGGGGTGGCCAAACTGAATAATAAAAAAAAATTTTTTTGGACCACCCTAACCAGGGTACTAATTAAATACATAATTTATTGGAAAATATAAGTTTTATTGCAATTTTGAGCATATATATGCTATAATATTATACATTAAATATCTTAAAATCAAATAATACCACACATCAGTGGTGGCTGGTGGATTTTGGGTATACCAATATCTCAATTATTAGATATGGAACCTACACCAAATTTATATGAGTTTATAATGACATTAAATAAACAAGTTCTGCGCAAGCAGAATTTAAACTGAAGTTTGCGAAAAAAAGATAACCGAAACATCGAACATGGAACTGACGAATCGATGTTTTTTATTAATGGATGCTACTTATCAACAAATCACATGTACCCTTATATAAATTACAATGAAATATATATACCTAAGAAAATAACTACTCACCACAGAACTGAAATTTTGACTGGAACTATATGTGCATTCACCACAACTTCGCCGTTTGCATTGTTAATGCAAAACGAGGACTTGACGTTTAAACTTCAATATTTCGCAGGAATTTTGAATTTTAACATTGGACACAGAACTGACGGGTAAAAGTGAGTACTATGATAAAATATGAACAAATTAAAAAAAAATATGGACAAGTTAAAAAAACCTGGATCTTTTGTTATATACTAAAATATTTACAAAAAAATATTAAAATACCTACTCTATTGACTGATGACATCAAGTTGTCCAACTTTTGTAGAATCACCCTTATATTAAAAATTCCTTATCAACTTTTGAGCAGTATATTTTATAGTAAATTGCACATTTTTAAAAAATGGTGTTAAATCAAAGTTTAAATTTAATTTTAGTCGACAATTATTTTTTGGAAATTTTTGGAGACACAGGAAATTAATTACACTGTGCGACAAATTTTGACCTTACAATTTGAACTGGGATGAAATGTGGAAAAATCGAATCTATGCAACCCCCAAAACTAATCTTTAAAGGGGTTTTGCTAGTTTAGCTCGAATAATGGAGATATACGAATAATGGAGATATACATATATATATGTATATCTCCATTATTCGAGCTAAACTGGTAAAACCCCTTAAAGGATTTGTTTTGGGGGTTGCCTAGATTCGATTTTTTCAGATTTGATCCCAGTTCATTTTTTGTGTTGCACAGTGTTATTAGTGTTTGAAATGCATATAAAATTTTCCTGAAGATCAAAATATTTTACATCTGGCAACATTGCTTTAAATATAAAAGTTCTTGTGAAAAATTGCATTTTCACAAAAAATTTTTAATATTTACTATTTCAGTCTTTTTAATTATTGTAAATGCAAACCCCCACTAGTTGTCAATTTGACAGTTTATGTCATATTTGACATAGATACTAGATTGTTGTTTTATAAAAATTCTAGCTACAAATTCAAGCTGCCAATATTCGGAAACATAAAACGCGACACCCCTACACCGAAAGAGATATCGCAAAAAGTATGGCGGGGAGTCGTCGCTTTCGATTTCTCCAAATTCTTGAGCGACATTTTTTTGGTGGCCCTCGAGGGCGGCTTGATCGTGGAATGCGCGATGTCGGCCGCCACGGAGATCAAGGGCGGCTCCGAAGAATCGCCCCTATCGGATCCCGTGGTTAAGTACTACGAGTCGCAGGAAAGCGAAATTTCGGCCGTTTCGTTCTCTCCCAACCGGAAGGAGATGTTCATGACGTTGGGAACGGACTGCGACGTTCGAGTTTATGTCCTCGATCAGGTACGTAGCTGTCAAACCGTAAACATCCTTGACATTTGAATGCAAATAATTACTGTCTGTCCACTCTAAGTTGGCGGAACTAAGGAATTTTGTAGTTTAGATATTAAAGAATTGTCGTACTGTGTGCTTTTAAAACAGATTTTATATTATAAATAATACTAGTACATATTATATACTAGTATTATTTATAATATAAAATCTGTTTTAAAAGCACACAGTACGACAATTCTTTAATATCTAAACAACAAAATTCCTTAGTTCAGCCAACTTAGATTGGACAGACAGTATATGGTTATGTATCTTAAGGTGGAGCGAATTTTTTTTTCCTTAGCCTGGGGGTGGAATTTGTAGCCTATAAAAAAAGAAAATTTTTGAAAAAAAAAAATTTTTACTCAACGTCTAGAGGTGGCCCACTGATTTTTTAAATTAAAGTTCTTTTGAATAAAAAAAATTGTTTTGGCTTGTAATCTTTAAATTTATCTAAAAATAAACAAATTTGATGGTGTTCAACTCGAAATTCGCTCTATTGCCTCAGAAAAGCATGTTACTATTTTGGAATTTTTTTAAAAACAACAATAATGACCACAAATTTTTTTTTTTAGTAAAAAAATTTATTTTTTATAGGCTACAAATTCTACCCCCAGGCTAAGGAAAAAAAATTATTTTTTTTCGCTCCACCCTAATGTATCTGTCATTTTAACGCTAATATTGTCTTATTTTGCGAAAATAATGCAATATGCGCTAGTTGTCAGCTGTCAAATGAGTTTGTTACAAATAGGGTTTTAAAATTTCCGGAAAAATTGAGCCGGCGGAAAAAAACGGAAAATTGGGAAATTTTCAGAAAAATTGACATTTAATTTTTTAAATTTTATTTCAAGGGTAATACGAAAAAATGCAAAAGTAATTTTTTTTTAAATCTCCAAATTTTTACGGATAGTATCGTACACTAATATAGAGAAAAAAGTGAATTTCCTACGCTGATTATAAACATATAATAGGTATTAAAATTACAATTTTAATCATTCATTAATTTATAGTTAGATATTTTTAATGGACACCTTTTTGCAATAAAAAAAAACCAACAGGCAGTATATTTTACGTTTACCTTTATTTTCTTAAATTTAATTTAAGGTTTAGTTTAATTGAAACTTTGCGAACTAAATTTGTCGAGTAAGACTTCTGCTCCTCTCTTTTGTAAAAAAGACCTTATTTATTTTAAAATGATGTGTAAACTGTATGCTTTAAAGGTATTGTTGCCAATTCTTGATTTCCCACAATGATATCAAGGGCCACCAGATGGCGCGCGCTTTGCAGATTAGAATAAGACGAAAGTACTAACCTCAACTAATGGTTTTCAAACGTCAAAGTGGGGCTTTTTATTTTATTTTAGGAAGATCCGGCTCAAATAATTTACACCAAAGAACCTTTATTGGCAACTACATGGATTCCTTACGAAGATAAGCTGATCGCTGGATGCGGCAAAAATGGAATGTTGGAAATTTTTAACGTGCAAAAAGCGAAGTTAATCGAAAATATCAACTCCGACAAAGTTTCAAAGACCGCGCTGTCCAAAATCGCTGTTAACAAAGACAAGTAAGTTTTTTTGATACTGCATACAATTTTAACGACTGAGATTTTAAAAAGCGCCACCTTCATAGCTACACAGCAAACGGAAAAATATAGAACTGTATAGGATGACTCCCCGTTTGAATACTAAATCTTAAAGTTTTATCAGAACTGTATTGAATCATGCTTTGTTTTTATATTTTTCGCCTCTATACCTATGCACGACTATAATTAAAGTCAAACTTAATGGTGTCTTGCAAGATACATTATTTTGATTTTCTATATTCAACAGAGAGGTAGAAACTCGACTCTGTCGAATGGTGCAGTCATTTATGTCTCTAGAAATTATTGAAAAAGGGTTCAGTCCAATGGTGCAGCAACTTCGGATTCCTATTCTCTTCAGAGACATAGAAACTCAAGCTTTTCGAATTTTACTGGCAATGATTTTCGTTAATGTCCTCGAGAGATATACAAAAACAGCGCAATGCAATATCGCAACGGTTTCGACTTCTCTTTACTCTACCAAGTTATAGAAACTGGAGTCTCTCTAATACTGTTCTAGTCAATATTTCTGAGAGTATAAAAAGAGGGTGTAATTCAATATTGCAAGAAGTTTTGATCTTTTGATGCAAGTAGTTTGAATTTTCTCATTTCTGCATATGATTTTGTTGAAAATAGTTCCTTTCTTTGGTTCCTTTGTCTGATTTTTATTTTCCGTATCAACTCAGGTATGTTAAGCACAGATGATATGATGTAAAGTATATTTATGTATTATATATAGTACCTATATTTGTATTAAAAATTTCAGAGGTTATGTTGAAAAAATGATCGATATAATAATTTAGTAAAGAGGTCTTTCGGTAGACCCTGCACTTTCTCCACTGGTATATGTTAGTACAGCAATATTTAAATCTGGTTGATGAAAAAGTACACACCAGTGCAGGTTATTTTAGCATCTACGAACAATTGAATTAATGGCCCATTGGCAATTATTCCTTTAGTAAAAATATTCAACACAGCTTAATTAATTAATAAAATGAAAAAAATTACAATCATGTCATATATAGATTTTTTTGAAGCATAAAATAGTTTTCATATTAATACTAGTTCAAAAGTGAAATTACGACCTCTATACCGTGGAGAGTATTGAAACACTCGACTGACGAATACAAATCTATACCGTGGGGAGATTTAGAAAACTATATTCAAACGTGGCGTCATCCTATACACTTCTATAATTTTCCGTTTGCTGTGTACGTGTACTACACGACCACAAACGGTAGTGCTTATTTAATATTTTTCAGTTCCAATATTGTTGCATTGGGCAGCATTAACGGCCAAATTCAGCTGTGGAACGTACCTTGGAACTCAATTGCCTTTAATAATTAATTATAATTAATATATTTTTTGTATATTTTACATAAATAAAAACTTAAAAATGTGCAGTATTATATTATCGGTCCACGTCGCCAAAAACCACGTCTATTGTGCATACAATCGGCACCAAATCGGCCAAAAAGTTGCCTTTGCCCATCAAATAGTCTATTCCGGATAGGTGGATGAATCCCGGGGATCTCACGCGACATCTATAGGGCTTTGAGGAACCATCAGACACCAGGTAAACGCCAAATTCCCCTGGAAAAAAAATAAGGAGGAAATACAAGACATATATGGTCTCAAGTAACACATGAGAATCTTTGCTTTTACCTAAATATTATATCAAAACTTTATCACACTTTGAAAAGATGTTTGGGTTTATGGGAGTTCAAAAAGGTTTCGCAAAGGTTCAAGAAATCGATTGAAACTTTCTTACCTTATTTCTATCTTAATGCAGTACTTTTTCAAAAAAAAAAAAATCTTGTTCATTGACAACTTTTTATTTTTATTTTTTTCTTCACTGTGTTAAAAATGAAGAAATTTTATTTTTTTAATAACTTTTTTATTTCAAAACGTATCGATTTGAAATTTGGACAAAATGTAGATCTTACTAATGGGCGCTGGTGATAATTTAATTTAAAATTAAACAATTTTTAAAGGGTAAATAATCGAAGAAGCAACTTTGTTTTATAAATTTGATTATAACACGTTAAAGTATTGATATTTGACTATTGTTTGATATATTAACTTTTTTATGCAAATGATGTTTCTGTGGTCAGGATCAGTTTTGAATTAGCAGTAGCAGTATTCATAAATATTTTGTAATTTTTATACAAATATTGTTGTATATTTTATTAATAATTAAGTATAGCATAACACATTAATGAGGTTTAATATACAGGGTGTTCCACGTACGTAGTCCGTTAGAAGTTTCTAGGGAATCGCGAAAGACATCGATTTAAAATTTTAATAGAGTAAATTATTCGACTTTTTTCCTAAATTATTTTGAACAAAATAATACTTCCTGTTTTACCAAAAATGTCTTTAACTTTGTTATTTTAAACAGGACACCTCATATATTTTTACATTTTTGAAATCTACATAAAATTCTTTAATACTTTTCGAGTTATAAATTTTTCAATAAAATATTTTAATTAATTTTTTCTACTCCCACCTTTAAAACGCCCTTTATCGTACATGTTTCCATGACACCAAGTGACCTTTTAAATACACATTGACAAGTTGTGGCTTTACGGCGCTTTAGTCACGGGCTGAAGTTAGCAACAGGTTTTTAGTCACGGGCTGAAGTTAGTTTTAAGTTAGTTGACAGTTGTCAAATGTCATACAATCGTTAAAATAAAGTGCCTTTCTTGTAAAATAATACTAAATGTGAAAATTATTTTATTATCTCAATACAAAAATATTAAATAGTTTCTCAACGCCAATATTTGAAAAGTTTATATGAACATTGTAATGACCTTTTAATTTCGCCGGCAGTAAACTATAACTTAAATTCGGGCACGGCAACATTTCCTTTACTTTCACTGTGAAAAACTGTCAATTTTCAAGATACATTTCGATTTATAACCTTTATAATTGTGTTTATAAAATGTAAAAATGTGACATTTGACAGTTTCCCCTGTTGTTTCATAGATGGCGCTCTATACAAATTTTTGATTTAAATAATTTTAAGATAATAATAAGTATTTGTCGTAGAAAAAGTATAGTATGCACCTCGTTTATAAACTTTTCTATACAGTCATTAACTTAAATTTAAACTTAAATTAAATTCGTGTATGAAGTGGCGTGTATCAAACTTGATACATAATATACTATTAAACAATGACAGATTAAGTGGTAACCATGGATACTGTCACATTAACCCTTGCTAGAATTTCACAGGTTTGTTGATACAAAATAGTATTGAAAATATTATAAATTGTTAAATGCATTAGCTAATGTGTTACTTGGGGTAACAGGATTTTTTGTTTTTCTCGTTGAAGTATATATTATTTATTTGTATACAAGTAAATAATATATTCTCAAAAAAAAATCCCGTAAGTTTTTGATCACATCTCGTTTTTACCTTTTGGATGTTCTGTAGTCGTGAAAGTTGAGCCTGGAGGCACTCCAAAACCTTGAGAAAATAGTTTGAAGTGATGTATGATTGCTTCCATAGAAGTCTGGAAAAAATATGTAATGATTTAAATGATATCAATGATTTAATGGACCAATCAGATCCCTAAGAAACAGTTTTAGGTCGTTTGCGACATCTGATTGGCCTTGACTCTTGTCTAATTTATATTAAGTAAACCTTCATTTCCCCTCTTTTCGGTGGCGACACCTTGAAGTTGTCGACTTTAATTTCGCCCTCTGGCATGGAATTAATGCATTGCTCTACAATTCTAACCGATTGTCGGGCTTCCTCCAAACGCAGCAAATATCTTAAAATACAATTTAATAAGTCGCATGAGCAGTGGCGGCCCGTCAGGGGAGGCAGTGCCTCATCATAGAGAATTAAGTATAATTTAAATATTTTGCTTTCTATAATATACTATAAATTTTTAATATTTGGATTACATGAATTGTGAAATAGTCAATAAAATTGATTGATTTTATACGTGCAATACCCAGCAACATTTAAATTATTTGAATTTGAAACGACCGCATTTTAAACTAATATTCATAGCTAGATGATTGGCTCAGAAGCATGCCTGCACTAATTTAGACTCACGATTGGCGTTAGCCTTGTTGTCTCGTTCTATTACAATGCGATATCATAGTTGTCTCCTTCTCTCGTATTAGCATACGTGAGGCAGGCACGCCTACATCCAAGGAAATAAGCAGGTGTTGCGGCAACACTGTTGCGGAATTTTAGATAAATTATACTTTACACGTTTTTCAAAATTCAATAATAAATGGTATTATTTTTCTTATAATAAATCGATTTAATCGAAATTATATTTCTATTCTAAAATAAACATATTTTAACACTATCGCCATCTTGTAGCCATCACAGTAACCAATAAAATAAATACAGATTCCTTCTTTAGGTTTGTTTTGGTTATAAAATTCTGAACTGTTTAAAGAACAAATCTGTGGTTATTTACGCAATATTTTGTTTATTCTTTTTCCATGTGTTTGTCTATTTTATGATTCTTTTGTAAGTGGTTTATTCTGTGGGTTTAGTTAATTGAACTTGGTGATTTATGTGAATTTAGTCATTATGGATATCACGGTGAGAAATTGTACCGATATTGTTGACCTTCACGTGGTTCTTGCTGAACAATGAAATATTAATTAGGCAAAAATGAGGTTTATTTAAAATAAACGTCATTTTTACAATAAAATATATTTCATTGACAAAGTAGAGGATTCCTTCCCCACCACAGTCTAAGTTTTTTACTTAGTTTTAAGCATAGGTTGTGAACTGCGACGTCAGTTTTTTTAAGTTGGGTTTAAAAAAATTTCTTCGCCTTTAAATGAGGGCGAAACCCTGCCTCTGCCTCACCAAAATGAAATGTCACGGGCCGCCACTGCGCATGAGGGTCTTTTTTTGGTGACCCTGTATGGTACATTACCTGTCATAGGTGTCGCCATTTGAGGTTATCGGTACCTCGAAGTCCATTTCGTCGTAAACCTCGTACGGTTGGGTTTTTCTTATGTCCCATTTGACTCCAGTTGATCTTAACATGACCCCTCTAAATATAAAGAACATTATGCAGAATACGTTTCGAGTCGATGGTTTTTTTGCTTTTGTGTGTCAGTGGTATAAGTGTTTTTTGCCTTCTAGAATATAGAGGGCGCTCTAGAATAGCAGCATCATATATACGGGTCGTTTTCAAAAAATACCCGCCTTCCGCTGTCCGTAAGTTTGAATTCCAAGAACTTTGTTAAAAATGATCGGATCTTATTGATTTATAAACCAAGTGAAAGCCTAACAAGCCCTTAGTAAACTCTTTCAGAAAATGTTTGTTTAGTTATTTCAGAATATATTTTTTTTAATTTTGAACTTGTGAAACACACATTTTCGCATGTCACATTAGCGTTTTATAAAACTTACGTACAGGTTTTTTTTTAATATTGAATAACCAGAACTTTGTGTTGCTTTATAGCAATCCATAACATCCTTAGTTAATAAAGTAAACAATTTATATTTAAATTAATTAATTTTAATCTACTTTTTTTAAATTTGACTCATGTCCCAGACATTTTTTCCGTTGCGTTACGTCCGTCGCGTTACCGATAGAATATTTAAAAAAACATATATGGCAACTTTTTTAGCATTCACGTGATTAACAAATGATGTTCGGACGTACACATTACCCAGCTGAATTTATTTATTCAATCAGGAAGAAGATATCGGTTGAAACAGGTGCGGGTAACGCGAATGTGATAATTGTTTGTCCGCTAAGTTACTCAAAAAAATAATAAAAATAAGGTAAGAAAAAATACTATTTTTCATGTTTACGTTTATTTTAGGGCACTAAAGCTCATTGAGAGTAATTAATGACTAATGTTTTATTATTATTTTTTAAATATGGTTTCACAAAACTTTGTCCACTGCGTTACCGAGTCCATTACGATACCTTATGGTAACGCAATGGAATTTAGGGTAACGCAATAGAATTTTTCGACAACAAGTGGATATTTACCGTCGCTTTTATTAAAAGTAGTTTATGATAAACCAATTTAAAATTATTTGTGATTACAACTCATGATATAGATTACATCCAAGAGAAAATTCCACGCAATATACAAGTACTAAAAGACACCAGCTTATAGTCAAAGAAAAAGGGTGTCTATAATTTAGAAATCTAAGTTGTTATTCTGAAAGTGAGCACCACTACAAGGGATTTTGTTTATGCATTACTCTAAAATCGTACCACCCTATATAGTTTCTTTTTTACGTTATCTGATTAAGTCCTTTGTGTACCCCAGTCCGTTGTGATACCAATGTCTATTTCGTTACTTTTTGTAGTTAAAAAAATATCCTTAAAATGATTTTACTATCACTTGGTAATACCTACCTGTTTATAAATTAGAGTTTAACTCACTAATACAATGACTAAAAGAAAATATTAATGGTATTGTTTTTTTAACAAAGAACCGGAATGGTGTCTTTTAAAAAGTAACTTAACTAACATAAATATTTAAAAAAAGGCATACAATTTTTAATAAAAAATAAAATTGGAGTCAAAAGTTTGTGAACCAAGTACATTTTATTTCAAATTATTTTAATAATAACATTTTTTATTGAATTAAATTTTGGATTTCAAATTGGTAACAGTGGAAACATATAAAGCTAGCTAAACACATTCATCTGAAATAAACGCAAAAAAATTAAATGTAAGTAAACAAAACTCTAAACATTTATAAAAATCCAACCAAAAGTCAATTTAAGCAAAAAAAATTTGATCTTCATTTTCCTGAAAGCGGGTGTTTCTTGAAAATGACCCATATATGCATTAACATATTTTAATAAAATTTCCCATACAAGTTTTTTATTTGAATCGGTGATTGCAGAAGGGTACAAGTCATGTTTTTATCGATTTTGAGATTTTTATTTTATTTGAATATTAAATGCATACAAGTTGCAGTTTTAATATTCAATTAACATAACAATCAGAAAAACGATAAAAACAGTAGTACTTGCAATTGACCGATTGATTTAAATGGTAAATTAAAATAATAAAAGACCTTTTTATATAGTTATCAAAATATATTTGGTTAAAAAGTATAAAAACTACATGAAAATACAATAAAAAAATACAAAACAATACATTACAAAGAAAAGTACGACCAGCGTTATGTGAAAAATAAACTTCGGTCCAGCAGATATTCGAGTCCCAGATTTCGACTGGCCAGCAGTTTATCGTTTGCAACATCCGCCTTTCTTGGTGTACCGCCTTCTAGCAACATTACATGGAATACAATCGGATTCGCTGCTACTGTCAGAATCGTAACTGTCAGAATCGCTGTCGTAGCTTGAAGAGGAGCTTGAAGAATCTGTGTACTTTTCCCTTTTGCGCCTTGAACCTTGGGATAACTGAAAAAATAACATTAAAACAGGTTGTGTGGTTGGTTGCATATATACACTCACGTGCAAAATAATCGATCCACACAAAATTTCGATGAATTTCAATCGCAAATAACTTTTTTATTTGATGTCGGATTTAAACGAATATTAAAGAATATTGTAGATAAATTAATGGACAATCGCTCACATTTTAAAAAATTACTAAAAACTAGACGTACGTTTATAATATACAGGTTTAAACAAAAAGATGTTTTTTACCATAAGTTTAAGACACTCTGTAGAGTGGCAAAACCGTATATTGTTCTAAATTAAGTTTTATTTATCAAGTCACATCTATTCTTAACAGTTTTGTTTTTGGTTCACCTCGATATATTTATTTTTGTGGAAAATATGGATTTTTTTAAAAAACATTGCAATTTCCAATATTTTTCCTGTATGAAGAACTAAGGTTGCTATGGTCCATCCATAGCCTATGGAGAATGACAGTGACAATTTTGTTGAATCTCCCATACTTGGACATGTCATATACAGCTTTCAAAAGCTATCAAATTGTTTTTTGTAAATTAATGTGTTACTTTTAAAAATGTCTCCGACTGATGTTGCCTTTTGTACTTTACTTCTTGTGACGTTTAAAACACTTGCCACGTAATACTGTGACCGTCCATCCTGGATTAAATTAATAGCTCTGGCAACATCAGTCGGAGACATATCCATTTTATAAAGTAAGAAGACACCTCAAAATTTAAACATTAATTTGCAAAAAACAATTTGATAGCTTTTGAAAGCCGTGTACGACATGTCCAAGTATGGGATGATTCAACAAAACTGTCACTGTCATTCTCCATAGCCTATGGATGGACCATAGCAACCTTAGTTCTTCATACAGAAAAATATTGGAAATTGCAATGTTTTTTTAAAAAATCCATGTTTTCCACAAAAATAAATATATCGAGGTGAACCAAAAACCAAACTGTTAAGAATAGATGTGACTTGATAAATAAAACTTAATTTAGAACAATATACGGTTTTGCCACTCTATAGAGTGTCTTAAACTTATGGTAAAAAACATATTTTTGTTTAAAACTGTATATTATAAACGTACGTCTATTTTTTAGTATTTTTTTAAAATGTGAGCGATGTCCATTAATTTATCTACAATATTCTTTAATATTCGTTTAAATCCGTCATTAAATAAAAAAGTTATTTGCGATTGAAATTCATCGAAAATTTGTGTGGATCGATTATTTTGCACGTGAGTGTATATGCAACTTACGAGTTACGACTTACATTGGAGTTTAGGATGAAATTAATGATTGTGGGTAAGACTTGGCAAGCCACGTCTAGAACGTTGGGTTTGGAGGAGCACTGGCAGTTACAGCAACATTTGTTTGGTGTGTTGCTAGCATCCGCATTTGCTTGAAGAACAGCATTTTGACCCACGAGGTGCGGGTTTTCGCTTAGTAACGTTTGTAGATTTGCTGGTTGTAGATTTTTTAGTAGTCGTAGTTGTTTTTTTTGCTGCGGCTTTCTTTGGTGCTCCATTGCAAGGACCACAACCAGTACAAGGCATTATTATTTTCGTCTACAACAATAAATATTAATATTAACACAAAACATGAATTAAGTTAAATAAATTACTTACCTTTAAGTATATAGTTTCGTGGCTTCTTCTCAACTAACAAAATTTTGAGCCGTCGAGGTATTTATAGCATAACTAAAGCAAAGTAAAAACGCACACAAAAAACGGACGAAAAAGTTGTGTCGAGTTAAATTTATCGCGAATGCACGGTTTAGAGGATTTTACACAGAGTGTGCAAGTAAATTAAAAAATTATTCAACAATTATTTTGCGTATTTTATTGTAAATGCTTGTCTCTGATACATTGTAACATTATTGTAACGTTTCATCGTTAAACCAATGTTAGTTAAAAAATTATAATTTTTTTTTGTATACATTCACAGGCAAAATAATCGATCCACACAAATTTTCGATGAATTTCAATCGCAAATAACTTTTTTATTTAATGTCGGATTTAAACGAATATTAAAGAATATTGTTAATGGACAATCGCCCAAATTTTAAAAAATTACTAAAAAATTGACGTACGTTAATAATTTACAGGTTTAAACAAAAAGGTGTTTTTTACAATAAGTTTAAGACACTCTGTAGAGTGGCAAAACCGTATATTGTTCTAAATTAAGTTTTATTTATTTAGTCACATCTATTCTTAACAGTTTTGTTTTTGGTTCACCTCTACATATTTATTTTTGTGGAAAATATGGATTTTTTAGAAAACATTGCAATTTTCAATATTTTTCTGTATGAAGAATTAAGGTTGCTATGGTCCATCCATAGGCTATGAAGAATGACAGTGACAGTTTTGTTGAATCATCCCATACTTGGACATTTCATACACGGCTTTCAAAAGCTATCAAATTGTTTTTTGCAAATTAATGTTTAAATTTTGAGGTGTCTTCTTACTTTAAAAAATGGATATGTCTCCGACTGATGTTGCCAGAGCCATTAATTTAATCCAGGATGGACGGTCACAGTATTACGTGGCAAGTGTTTTAAACGTCACAAGAAGTAAAGTACAACATCAGTCGGAGACATTTTTAAAAGTAAGAAGACACCTCAAAATTAACACATTAATTTACAAAA